CCACTTTTGGAGGGTTTCCACCCCCCTGATCATGAAAAGGGTTCTACTTAGATCCTGGGTCAACATTAAAGGCAAACCAAACCGAGGTTCAAACAATACCCAGTGGATCCCGGTCGATCCCAGTTCCGGGCTGGTAGGATGAATCTGGGATAGACTGGGCAAAACGACCCACTTTTTCTAGGGTATTTGGTGAAGAACCGATCGGGTTTCCAGGGTGAATACCTTCTTTTTTAGTAGAGGGTCGACATCATACCCTAAAAAAGAGGGTATTTGGAGTAGGGGGTCTAGTTCACCGAACTGTTTTGTTTCTTTCCTGCCTCAACTCGGTGACTGATGGCCGTCTGTTTACAAGGTGCTGGTGTTTTTATCGCCACCCCAAGGCAGCTCCCCCGAAACGTGATGTTTCTATGTGAATGGCCCCCATTCCCTCATTGGTGGTTTCATAGGGGGTCAAGCAGTCAAGCAGTGCAAATTCAAAATTAACCCCGGATGAGCAACCCCGTCTGCTTTTGTTATTTTTTTCCCGTGGGGCGGGCTGTTCTGAAGCACAGAATCCCCACTACGACCCCCCCCCCCAGATCAAAATCCACCGGACCGTCGCCTATGGCGGGTGAGGGCACCGGCGCAGGCATCGCAGGTGTCGCGGGCGTTGGCGCACCCAACACACCTGCACAACGAAAAATGACGGGCCCCTGCGAGTGCCAGAAGCGAAAGCAAAAAAGAAAAGATAAAAAAGGAAAAAAGCGGGTCCCAAAGAACAAAAATGGATACTCCTTTTGTTCGCAACCCTCCATCTGAATTCTCCTCGCCTAGTGCCTTGGCCACCGGCGCAGCTGGCGCCGGAGCCGATGGGCCCGGAGCCGGCGCCGATGCGCCCAGCACGCTCAGCGCGCTCGCCGCAGGCGTGGCCGGCGCTGGCACCGGCGCCGTGGGGGGGGCCTTGCCCAAGACGCCCAGCGCGGCTGCGGCGGGCGCCGGCGCAAGCGCCGGCGCAGGCGCCGGCGCAGCCGGTGCCGGGGTGCCGGGGTCTTGCCCAAGACGCTCAGTGCCGCAGCCGGTGCTGGCGACGACGGCGCCGGCGCAGTCGATTTGCCCAGCACGCCGAGGGCTGCCGCGGCTCCGGGTGCTGCGGGAGCGGCCGGAGCCGCCGGAGCTGTTGTCGCCAGAGCAGTTGGCGCCAGCGGGGCGGCCGCCTTGCTGTAGGGCCCCAAACCAGGCGCGGGCGGCGCGGTCTTGCCCAGCACCCCCAGCGCTGCGCAGGGCGCGCAGGGCGCGCAGAGCGCGCTGAGCGCGCTGGGCGAAGGCGACAGAGGCAGCGTGCCCGTGGGCGGCCCCGGCAAGCCAGGTTTCGCCGGGCTCGAGCTCGACCCCAGCAGCCCTAGCGCCGCCTGCGCGCCCGAAGGCGCAGCCGGTGCCGCGGGTGTTGGGGCGCCACTTCCCGCGCCCAGCAGGGAACACGCCTTGGAGGCGGCGGACGGCAGCGCGGCCATGACATCGATCTAGATGCGCATCTCCGCGCGCAAGGTACGCAAGTCTTTGATGAAAGGCTATGCACTTCCTGGCTTGAATCCGTTGGTAAAGGGTTGTGCAACATCACTGATGGGTCATTCCGTGGCTTCTTTTCACCATGAGGGGGGATTCCCTTGGTATCACCAAACGTTTGTCTGCCCCTGTGCCAGCGAAGCGAATGCCAGGCACTCCTACCTACGAATGGCCAAACCTGCTTTGGGTCTTGGCCTAGGCAGCGGTTCGGCGACGCGATGAGGCTGGAGACGGCATCTGGGTGAAGCCAGGGTTTGGGTAAAGAACCTATGGTTTCCCTGAAAGGACACCATAGAGAAAGGACACCATAGAGCATGATTTTTGGGGTCATTCCTTCCCTCATTCCCTATCGAACCAGCAAGATAAGTTGCCTAGACTTCCCTGGATTGGCCCACCAAAAGTCTGAACTCTGGAGTCCGGAAGCTGCGAACTGAGTCAAGGTGCTTGCGCAAGCCAAATTTCGGAGGCCTTCACTCAACTCTACAAGTGTCAGCATGCCACCTCGCATGGGCTCACCATGCAGGGCCTGCTGGTCCCCAGATTCCGTGCATGAGGGAATGACCCTTATGATTCATCCCGTGCGGCTTTTCTTTAAGGAAATCCAAATCCCCTTCCGGTTCACATCCAAAACCCCTCGAACGATTTGCAGAGAACCAGCAAGGCTGGCCGATCCCATTCTCTTCCAAAGACGTCCTGGTCTTGACACACCGAAGTAGGCGCTTTTCAACATAGAACCCACTTGGACACCCAAAAGTCTGCAAAGAATGTGATCACGATCCAAGGGGCCCTAGTTTTCACAACCTGAGGCCGCAAAAGGGACCCCTTTCGTAAGCCCTTAGGAAATGGTGCTTTTCAATTTGCAACGCGTCAGGAGTAAGAAACCTTTAAGCAGAACCGCTGTCCGGTCCAAAGGCGAGGATCACTTTTGAGCACCTTCCCCAAATCCGCTCGGTTTCATTCGGTCGGCCCCTTCCCTTTCAACGAGGGACCTATAAAACCGGCTAACCCAGAGATTGTAATCCTAGAGATCAAATTCCGGGTCACCTAGTGTGGGAACTGAATCCACTAGATTTCAAAAAACAACAGCCCAGCTTTCATTCCATGGTAAATTTAGAGATGCGGGAACTGAATCCACTAGATTTCAAAAAACAACTGCCCAGCTTTGAGCAAACGAGAGCTTCAACTCCCATTGCAACCCAGATTTCCAGCGGCATTTCATGGGGAACACATCCATTCGGCAGCTTTTTTTTGGCGGTTGACTTTTCACGAACAAAAAAGATATCCAAAGAGAGACAAAAGGGGCACCACCGGGTTGGGGCAACATGTCAAGCAATCTCGTCCCAACACGTGAAGCTCCCCGGCGACATGAACAGAACCAAAAAAACAACAGCACGACGACATGTTTAAGAACGCAAGAGACTCAGAAGCCCAGTGGCCATGGTGAAAAAGAACCCCGTGTGTGTGTGGTAGTTGATGATAAGTTTAAAGGGAAACATTCTCCAAGAAAGGGACAAATCGGGCGATGTCTGGCTGTCTGGAGAAAGTCCTTCCGGCTTCACATGTCAGGTCCAGACATCAAAATCACACCTCGCCCCACGCACGCGGCCGCCGAACTTTTCACCCGAGCGCCATTGAGCGCCGATTCACAGCTCGCACGCGAAAGCGCCAACTCGCCGATTCGCCTCAGAAACTTGGCAGGTCGGAGGTTTCGGTGCTGGAGATTGGAGATGGCAGCCCTCCAAAGGGGTCCCTCAAATGGGTGTCATTTGTGAACCCCCTTTTGGTTCGTTTTAAAGGGAAACCACAAGGACAGGTCCGATTGCTATTTCAAGACAAACCCAAATGGCCGCCTGTTCCACCCCTACCCATCCAAGCAACCGGTCTGCCTTTAATCACCCTACACCTACTTGGTGAGTTGGATTGGTGTTTTTTTTGGTGACAACGGGGTGGTTTCCCATTTACCCTCTACAAAAGCCAGGGACCCGTTCAAACCCAACTCCCAAGCCACCGGGCTCCAAACCTTTTGCTTCAAGGAGAAACGAAGCCTCCGGGTCCGAGGAACCCGGAAAACGAGAAGTTGGGATTTCGCATTTCGCGTTTCGCAAGGACGGACATTCTAGGGGTACCTTCCATTTCCATTCTTTCCTGGGATCCGAATCTTTTCAGGAAACCGTCTTAGAAACCCAGGGAAGCAGCAGGTTTTTGAAAAGAACGATGGTTGAAAAGAATGGTTGAAGGAATCAACCTCCAAAGACACCTCTTTGACAAAAGGACGGCTTGTGGACGAATCTAACAGGGCTCCCGAGCTGTTTCCCCTCAAAACATCAGCTTTATGAAGGGAAGCTCACCTTAAATGGGAAAAAAAAGGTGATGTTCAAATCCACCAAAAGGGGAAAAAAAGGGACCCCTGTCTAAGAAGCCATCTCCAGGAAACTCAGTTCCCTTTTCCGCATGATGTGAAGAAAAAGAGGACTTGAAGCCAAGGTATGTGTCGAAGTAGGGGGATCCCTAAAATGGTAGTTGTCAGCAGGGATCCCCCGCAAAAAGGGCAAGCCACGACCAGCCCCAGCTCCAAAAACGCGTGGCTCAACCGCCTCTTTCATGTATGTGTTGCATATATATATATATATATGTCTAATTCACTTCGCTTGTACCCCTACCCACATCTTAGCTTGCCAGGAATTTTGCGAAAACATCTGAGGCCTGGGATGCCGTGAGGTCTCACGGCGCTATGACATCTCCTGGTTGCCGACGAGGCCTCTCTGCAAAAAAAGTCCTTCACTTTGTGTGGGCCCAAGCCGCAACAAAAAAAACGGTTCGACCAAAAAGACAAAAACAAAGAAAAAGATCCGCTGCCAAGTATTCCCACAAAGATCTCCAACAGGTGGTTCCCAACTAAAGTTCATAGCATCCGAATTGGCTTCCAAAGGTCGGACAGGCAACCAGAGGCTTGCTGAAGATGGTTCGACAACACCTGCCGCCTCTTTTAAAGGCACCCGGGACCTGCCAGATTCCGTGAAGAGGGTCCCTGACGCAAATGTTCACCTCTCAAATCTCAAAGATACTCGGCCAGCTCGGCCTGGGTATCGCCTTTGCTTTGAGAAACGCTCCATGGACTTTGGGTTGAACTCGATCGAGCCTCGACGTTGGCACAGAGCTTCCCCTCATACCCAACATCAGCGCCGATCCAACGTGACGTTTAGAACCGCAAACTAAAAGGAGAAACTCACTTGCCGAGTGGCTGGCCCAAAAAAAGTCTAAACTTTACATTTACCGCTAAAATGGTCTTCCCAAAAAGTTCAAAGTTCATGCACTCAGGAAGTGAGGAAATATGGGCGTGTCTGTTTTTAGGAACCCCCCCCCCGAAAGAAAAGAAGAAGAAAAAAACGTGTTCTTTTTGGCGTCCCTTAAAACCAACCAACAGGTTGGTACCCGAGGAACGGTCTAGGGCACCCCGCTCAGTCCGCTGCTCCGTATCCCTTTTCCTGGAGAGTTCAGTTGGCAAGACTTGCTGGTGCGACAAGGGACTGAGAAATGGAATGAACGGGAGGGGATGGATTCCCTTACAGGAAACAATATGGGATGGGCTTTTCGGGGTCATTCCATTTCTCATTCCCTACTTATCGCACCAGCAACCAGAGCAAAGAATCTGGGCAGATTGCTTTTATATGGGTGTGTCTTGCTTTTGAGTTGGTACCCTCTTTGGGTGTGTCTTGTGTTTGAGTTGGTACGCTTTTTGGGCGCGTCTTGCTTTTGAGGGAACCTGATTTTGGTGGTTCTGAGGAACAAAAAAAGGACAGCCACCGTAGGTGGTCCCCTAAAAAGGGCACACCCATATAAGAGGCAAAACACGACACGCATCATTCGGCTGTGGCTCGAAAAGTGGTACCAAAATGACAGCTTGGTAGATGGAACCAACGACTAAAACCTGCGTAACCCTAGCTAAAACCTGCGTAACCCTAGCTCTTTAATTTTGAGCCATACGCATAAAGACAACTTTGGCACGGCAAGGGGGCAGAGCAGGCCCATGGAGCCCTGCCCCATGAAGCTCTCCATGGTGACCTCAGGATGAGATCAAGGTCTGATCAACCCAGTGTACTTGCAGTGCCAACTTCGAACTTGCTAATCCATTGATCGATCGTACAAGCGTGTGCATGCATGTCTCTGCTTTGTGGGGGTACCCTCTTTATTGTTGGAAATGGAAACTTACAACAAGCAAGCCACCATTTTGTCAGGTACCTACTCAAAAAAAGAAGACACGCCCATCTGCCACTTTTGTTGGCAAAAAACAATGTGGGACTTGAAGGGACCCTGTTTTGGGCCTGGACCCTCTGTATGCCATTTGGGGTTGGAGCTACCCCGCTTTGGCGGGCTCCGTGGGTTCCAGCGTATATCAGTGATTTGGTTGGGCCTATCCACGGCAAAAGACTTTTGGGCTGACACCTTGTGCAAACCACAAACTTCGGTTTTCCAGTCGGCTCACCAACAGGAAAACTAAGAGGAAAACCACCATGAGGCCATTTGGGGGTAGTCCGCCCATTTTTGCTTCAGACGGCAACCAAACGCCGTCCTTGGACTTCTCCAAACGCACCCCGTTGCTTCGCAGCTCTTGATCCTGCGCTCGCATTGGTCACTCTTGGGTGCCGCGTCTACGTTTCAGCTTGGACCTCAAAAATTGCAAAACTGTGGTCCTTTGGGTTTCCCTGTCAAACCAAAGAGTACCCTGAAACTCGGCTGCCGAGAAGCTGCCCGTTTTCTGATCCCCATGCTTAACTTTGAGTTGGTTAAATTCGGACACCCCACCAAAACCAAAAACCACCAAAATCTGTTTGAGCAAAATGGCTGGGACACTGGCTGGCCAAGACCAGGCACCTGGTCAAACCATGGTAAAGGGTAAGCAGAAAAATCGAATCGGAGAATCTAACACGGGTGTTGAATCCTTGTCTCTGCTCAGCTTTTTATGTCTTCGGCTTTTGAGAATCGTTCGGCTTTTTGGTGGGTGTGCCTTCTTAGCCGTTGATGTCAAAAATACACAAACCCTTTTCTTTTCTTAACCTTCCTTGGAACCCTCCCCCATCCCCCCAAGAAAAAAGAAGAAGCAACAATCCTCTAGGGACGGCTCCTCACCCAAACCCTTGGGGTGGTAGGGTTCCATTTCAACCGTTTCCTTGGAAGGGACTGGGGGGGAGGGGGTGATAGGCAAGATGTATATTTCTGCTCATTGCGTTTGGCCTAGAAGCTAACTATGCAGGAAATTAACAATCCAAAACCAAACGCTCTTCACTGTGCATGAGTCCTGAGAGCATGCTTCCCTGCGTCACTTTGGAGCAGGCTTCTTGGTTTCCCTTCAAACACCCACTAAAGGCGCTCCGTGTCCCATTTTGGCGAACCGTCCCAGCCTTGGTCTCTGGGAGGAAAAGGAACACCAGCAGCGAGGCCAGCAGGAAGAAGCCTGTCCCAAGCTTCTGCGGCCCGAATCAGCGGGGGGGAATGAATTTCAGGGGAAAGCCATGGACACCTAGAGTCTATTTTTCAATACCCTAAAAAACCCAGACCCCAAAAGAAGGAGGTTGCAAAATAGACCCCACACGGGGGGGGGGGGGGGGTGGTTCAGGGGTATGTAACCAGCAGGTCCAAAAGGGCTCCGGGCAAAAGGAAGACCAATGGCAACCCCCAAACTTTCAACCAGTTGAGTCACAATCAAAACCGATCGGTACTAAAATGGATTCGCGTCTGCTTGGTTTCTGACTTGCCGTTTGACGGCAGTCTGTCTTGACTCTTTTAACGGCTCAATTGAGTCACAATCAAAAGCGGCATTAAAATAGTCGTAATCCCAGAACCATGTACAGGATTAAGAAGGCGGAATTCCTCAGCTATTTATGGCCAGGGGATCGCCGCTTACCAACCTTCATCTACCCAGGTTTTGATTGTGGCTCAGTTGATTCATAGGGGGGGGGTCAACAATTTATGTTGGGTGCATATTGTCCTTGGTTGAAAAAACAAAAACGCTTCTCGCAACACTTTAGAAACCACGGTTGAAACCACGGTTGGTTGGTAATTGCGGGGGAATCGAATCATTCCAAGGATTCTTAGGTGGTGCGAAATGGAGTTTGTCCATCCACAGTAGGTGGCCGGAATGGGAAATTAGATCGGTGAAACCCTGTCAAACAACACAGCCAAACCAGTAGCCGTCTATCTCGAGGCAAACTCACTGATCAAAAGGACACCTATATCTATGGGTGCGTGTGTTCGTTGCTGATTTATGTTTCTCCTCGTCCTCTAGTAGCTCTCCTGCAGCTTGCGCGTCTTCCCAAGAACCCCAAGGCTGGGTGTTCCTTTGGTTTCCCTCAAAGCCAAACCCAAACATGTCGTCTCGACAGAAAACCAACCTTTAAAACCACTCCAAAAGGGGTCCCTACAAAGAAACACTCACGGTATGATTTTTCGACGTTGCTGCCCTTTTCGAGGCTGTTTAAGAGGAAAGACATAGCCGAATAGGGGATCAAGACACAACGCAACGACCACCAGTTTTAGGCGAACCCCATGCAGTTGTCCTGCTGAGGCAAAACGCAATTTTCACGCAACCTGCCAGTTATCATTAGCAGTGTGCAAGTGCGCAGTGCTGAGCGGTCACGCTTGAGTGGGTGTTCTTGTCGATTGACTCAGCGGGCGCGCTTGAGCGGCAGTGCTTGTCAATTTGGCAGGCGTGTGCAGTGCTGAGCGAGCGCGCTTGGGCAGGTCGAAGGGGCACAGCACTACGAAACGCGCTGGGGCGGTGTGTACCCCTAGTTGGAGGTGTCAAAACCAAGCAAACCGAAAATCAACTCTCCAAGGAGGGCTGCAATGTCCAAAAGGGGCCAAGAAATGGATGTAAAGCAAAAACAAAGGCCAAAGGGACAAATGCAAACCAAAGGAGAACCAAAGGAAAACCAAAGGAACACCAAAGGAAAACCAAAGGAAAACCGTGAAGCCTCCAAAAAGGCTTGCCCAACATTTCTGCGCATGCCATGGTTATGCAAATGCACCCCCCGAGAAAAACAAATGAGACACCCTACCCAAAATTCCTGGCTCGTTTCGAAGCTCAAGATGCCCCCAAATGTCCGCCCAGACTTAATCCCAGCACAAAGTCATAAATCTAAGTCACAGAGGGGCAGCCCTTTTGCGCTGACGCAAATTTCTGTCCACATCCATTCCCACCAAAAACATGTTTGGCTCGTTTCGGACAGGATGTCTCCCCCAGTTGTTCAGACCCCCCCCCCCCGCCCTTACAAAAAAACAACAACACAAAAAACGAAACGCGTCTGGGCACTCATGGTGAGAAAGAGGAAGAGCCGCTGTGAGCTGTGCATCACAAACGGCACCACCTCGGTCCGGCAACTTCGATTCGGACGACTCGCGCCGGAGGGATAAGGGCCACACACCGCTAGGAACCAAAGAATAGGCACCAAGCAAAAATAGATTCGCCTGAAACTCCTTCTAGTTCACATTTGGGTGTTTTCTGCTCAAATAGTTCCCTTATGAACCCCAAAGGCACAGGGTGAGGTGTTCGGTTTCAGCCTGCAGCGAAAGTTGCCAAATCAGGCAGGCCCCAAGGGTCTTGGGCCTAATGAGGTGGGGCAAAATCATGCAAAGTCCACAAAAAAACAAGTTCAAAAACTGGCATTCAAATGAATCAAAATAGTTTTTGCCAATTTCTTGGCAACCACCCCGTTCATCCCACCCCAGTGGGGTCTTTGGGTGGGTCCCTGATCTTTCGGACTGCTCGCAAAGGGGGTTGGTTTGGTGGTTTGGTGGCTTGGTGGGTTTGGTGGCTTTGGTGGTTTGGACGTCAATCTTTGCCTCTGTGCTTCGAGTTGGTGGTTGGGAGCCCGGTGGTTTGGTGGTTAAGGAGGGGGCTTCTCATTTACCCTCCACAAAGTTACCCGCATCCCTACTGCGCATGGTTGCGAAATCCATAAATCGCACCAATCTAAATCTCGATATAAATCGCTGCAATCTATGCCCAACAAAGACACACATGCACATGTGGTTGGCCATCTTTTGGCTGGTATGGGGAAAATGAACATACTGGATAAAACTAAGGCACCGTATTGATGAAATCAGATTTGAATTCTGGGATTACGTCCACAGTATTGTGAAGAGCCTCATGTGTTTGCCAAAGTGGCATGTGGGTTGCATCCCTTGCATCCCTAGCATCCCTTTGCATCCCTTCCCTGGTTTCATCCCTTGCATCCCTGGAATCATCCCTTGCATCCCTGGTTTCATCCTGGTTTCATCCTGGTTTCATCCTGGTTTCATCCTGGTTTCATCCTGGTTTCATCCTGGTTTCATCCTGGTTTCATCCTGGTTTCATCCTGGTTTCATCCTGGTTTCATCCTGGTTTCATCCTGGTTTCATCCTGGTTGCATCCTGGTTGCATCCCTTGCATCCCTTGCATCCCTTGCATCCCTTGCATCCCTGGCATCCCTGGCATCCCTGGCATCCCTGGCATCCCTGGCATCCCTGGCATCCCTGGCATCCCTGGCATCCCTGGCATCCCTGGCATCCCTGGCATCCCTGGCATCCCTGGCATCCCTGGCATCCCTGGCATCCCTGGCATCCCTGGCATCCCTGGCATCCCTGGGCATCCCTGGCATCCCTGGCATCCCTGGCATCCCTGGCATCCCTGGCATCCCTGCATATGCCCTGCATCCCTGCATGCCCTTGCATGCCCTTGCATGCCCTTGCATGCCCTTGCATGCCCTTGCATGCCCTTGCATGCCCTTGCATGCCCTTGCATGCCCTTGCATGCCCTTGCATGCCCTTGCATGCCCTTGCATGCCCTTGCATGCCCTTGCATGCCCTTGCATGCCCTTGCATGCCCTTGCATGCCCTTGCATGCCCTTGCATGCCCTTGCATGCCCTTGCATGCCCTTGCATGCCCTTGCATGCCCTTGCATGCCCTTGCATGCCCTTGCATGCCCTTGCATGCCCTTGCATGCCCTTGCATGCCCTTGCATGCCCTTGCATGCCCTTGCATGCCCTTGCATGCCCTTGCATGCCCTTGCATGCCCTTGCATGCCCTTGCATGCCCTTGCATGCCCTTGCATGCCCTTGCATGCCCTTGCATGCCCTTGCATTGCATCCTCTTGCATCCTCTTGCATCCTCTTGCATCCTCTTGCATCCTCTTGCATCCTCTTGCATCCTCTTGCATCCTCTTGCATCCTCTTGCATCCAGTGCACCTGCATCCCCTACATCCCGCATTTTCTGAATCCTTGCATCTCGTTCATCCCCCTGCATCGGCAACACTTGCATTCCTTGCATCCCTTGCCCCTTGCATCCCATCCCTGGCATCCCTAGCATCCCTAGCATCCCTAGCATCCTGGCATTCCTCGCATCCCTCGCATCCCTCGCATCCCTCGCATCCCTTGCATCCCTTGCATCCCTTGCATCCCTTGCATCCCTTGCATCCCTTGCATCCCTTGCATCCCTTGCATCCCTTGCATCCCTTGCATCCCTTGCATCCCTTGCATCCCTTGCATCCCTTGCATCCCTTGCATCCCTTGCATCCCTTGCATCCCTTGCATCCCTTGCATCCCTTGCATCCCTTGCATCCCTTGCATCCCTTGCATCCCTTGCATCCCTTGCATCCCTTGCATCCCTTGCATCCCTTGCATCCCTTGCATCCCTTGCATCCCTTGCATCCCTTGCATCCCTTGCATCCCCCTTGCATCCCTTGCATGGCATCCCTTGCATCCCTTGCATCCCTTGGCATCCCTGGCATCCCTGGCATCCCTGGCAGGCCTGGCATCCCTGGCATCGCCTGGCATCCCTAACATGCCTGGCATCCCTGGCATTGCTGCCATCCCTGACATCCCCTGGCATCCCTGGCATCCCTGGCATCCCTGGCATTCCTGGCATGCCTGACATCCCTTGCATCCCTTGCATCCCTTGCATCCCTTGCATCCCTTGCATCCCTTGCATCCCTTGCATCCCTTGCATCCCTTGCATCCCTTGCATCACTTGCATCACTTGCATCCCTTGCATCCCTTGCCGCGCATCCCTTGCATCCCTTGCATCCCTTGCATCCCTTGCATCCCTTGCATCCCTTGCATCCCTTGCATCCCTTGCATCCCTTGCATCCCTTGCATCCCTGCATTCTGGCTCCTCGGCAATCCCTCTGCATCCCCCCCTTGCATACCCCTTGCATCCCCCCTTGCATCCCCCCTTGCATCCCCCCTTGCATCCCCCCTTGCATCCCCCCTTGCATCCCCCCTTGCATCCCCCCTTGCATCCCCCCTTGCATCCCCCTTACACACTTGCATTCCTTCAATCCCTTTTCCCTTGCATCCCAAGCATCCCAAGCATCCCTTGCATCCCTTGCATCCATTTGCTTTGCATCCATTTGCATCCATTTGCATCCATTTGCATCCCTTTCATTCCTTGCATCCCTGCATCTGATGTTATTGCCCGAAAATCGGACTCTTGTTTGCAAAACCAGGATCTCTGCACTGTTCACTTGGGTGTTCGTCTGTTTTTGAAGGGTATGGCGATCGTTATGGGAAACCAAGAGGAAACCATCCCTTCCTGGGGTTCCCCGATTTTGAGACAGATCTATTGGAGTTCTTCTGAGGGCTGATTCGAAAGCCGCGGCAAGAGGTATGTGTAGGGATGATAATATTCGACTCGCCTGGCTTCGATTCACCAAACCCATGGGGACAAAGCAACAACGCAGAATGCCTCAGAGGTGCCCGCACTCTCTTCACCCATTCAGTTCGACCATCCCTTTTTTCTGGGGATTGAGCCATTTGGAGGAAGGTACGGCCAGAAAAAGTGTTTGGTGTTGTTTGGGGGGGTACCCCTTTCAATGCCTTTCAAACCAAGACATCGTGCTTCTCTGCCCAGCCCTTGCTCAAAAGCGGAAGCCCAAAAATGTGAAGCCAAAAGGCGGGCTAAAGAATGGGAAGCCCCCACGAACAGACCAGCACCAAAGGCGCGGAAGCTCCAACTATCTCTTTTGGTGTCCCTTTAAAACTTTCCCTTTTGATGTTTTGTTATCTTTTGGTTTCTTTGGGTTTTCCTTCTCTATTGGTATCCCTTTAAAACTTATGCGAACGAAGAAACACCATCTTTTGAGACATGCGATTTGGGCATGCCAATTTTTTCGAGGGTCCCCTGTTTGGGGTGGGTTGAAAGGAACCAGGAAAGCCGGAAAGCCATTTTGGGGGTAGACAAAGCCATTCCACCGCCCAGCCCAGCTCTCGTGTGTTTGAAGGGCCAAGCGGCCAGGGGCGCCATACGCCCGCAGAAGGAGATGATGGACATGCTCCAGACGCGGATCTGGGTACTGAAGACCTGGCGCTACCACTGGGGTCACTATGTCGGTTCCGTTTCTAGGGGCTATCAAAGTCAGAAAATGGATTCGGCTGTGTCCCTTTCACCCATCAATGAACGGGGGTGACTTTGATCATGGTAAAATAATGAGGCCAGTACCAAGATGGTTGTTGATCAATATTCCTGGCCCGTACAGCATGGAGAACTATTCCCATGTAGTCTTGTTTGGGGGGTTCCCCAAGTGGTGGGCTCATCGCGGTGAGCTCATCGGTGCCAAGATGGTTCTATACAGGTTGACTGTGGATGGTTGCGTCATCGGTACCAAGATGGTTCTGCACAGGTTGACATACTGTGGATGGCAAAATCCATAAAATGCACCACCAGATTGAACCCATGCTTGGAGCTGGAACCATTGCCTGTTGAGTATTTACCAGGCGAAAATTGGATCATCTGGGGATTCTTTGGTGCGAAATGGATTTCGTCCATCCACCGCAGGGTTGGGAATACACGGGCCTAACGGCCTAAACAATTAGAACGGGATTCTGTACTTCAGAACTGAACTTCCTCTCACACCGGCGGCAAGGAAAAGAAACGACTCCTAGTTCTTCGGGCTTGTTTTGTTCTGGGGGGGGGCGAAAAATGGCAGGGTTTCTTTGTGGAGTTCCCTTCAAACCCAAACCGAAAAAAGAGAAAAAGAGAAAAGGCCACCCCTTTTGCCCCTAGCAAACCATCCTCTCAAATGGCCCTAGGATCTTGGGTGCTGAACATCCGGGACAGATCAGTGGGAGTCCCGCTTCGGTGCGCACGCCCCGAATTTCCGGGAAGAGAAGTCTAGTCCTTGGCCAAAGAAACGGCGACCACAAAATTGAGAAAACAATGGCCCGAATCCCCAAATAGCGACTCAAATCCTAAAATACCAAATCCCAAAATGGCCAGATCCCAAATAAATTTACCAAATAAAAAGGCCCAAAGCCCCTAAAATGGCAACGGCGTGCTGAGGATTTGCTTTGAAATACCCAAAGGGCTTCACCATTCCAAGAAACTCTCTAAGGGCCAGTTGCCCTCAAGGGCTGTGCAGTGTTGGGAAGCCCAAATTTTAGAGCAGGGTACTTCGGTGACTCCGAAATATCTCACATAGTACTTGTGTTCGGCCAAGTCAGCAAGTTACTGGGAAACCCCCCCCCAAGTCCAGGTTGTGTTTTAAAAACCTTGAAAGAAGAGGGTATTGGAGTAGGGGGAAGCTGCAAACAGAGTCACCTTCGGGCTCCTTCTTTAGCAAGGAAATACTCGGACTTTGCTTGGGGGTTCCTCTGATTAGCAGGGTCCTCCGGCCAAAAGTACCTTTAAGAGGAAACATAAAACGAAGGAACATGCATCACACACGTCTGGCCGCCCTGCATGCCCTTAAGACAGTCCTTGGTCACGGCTATAACCCACTTGACATGGATGTACGTGCTCGTAGGTTGTACTCAGGGTTGCTGATTGAAATAAGTCCTAGATCCAATAAACAGGGGCCGGTATAGTCATCCGGGGTCAACATTACCCTTCACCACCTCTCGCAACGATGCGTTCAGCGGCCTCTGAGGGGAGCAGGAAGGTCGTCATCTGCGCGGTGGGGTAGAAGACTTTGTACAAGACCACGCCAGTCCTCGCAGACATAGGTGTCCTTTTAGGGGAAATAGATGGCCCTGGTAGATGATTAAACCACCAGGTAAACCAGGAATTGCTCGCAGAATCCCGGCGAAACAGCGAGACATGCGACGCATCTGAGACTGCGAGAAGTGAAGGACGCTATGAAGGCTACTTAGACGATTCGGCCCTGCTAACAGTGTTTAGCTTTGGGTGGGGTAAATGGAAACGCAACCACTAAAACAACTAAAAGCCTAAAATAAAAGCCTAAAAACCTAAACGACTGGATGGCTAAACAGAGTTAAGTCCCCCTGTGCGTTAAAACTACCGACGAGTCACACAGGAATACCAGCAAAAAACCTATGCAGCTGCAGATTTGTTGGGCACAATTGGAGCTGGCCGAAAAGAGCGTCAAGAGATGCCAACTGACCTAAAGGCGGTTTGCTCCAAAAAAATAAAGAAGGCATGTGGCCCTGCTTGTATACCAACGAAGCCATGGACCCGTTTGACAAAGGACCACAGTTCAACTCATGGCACACGTTGAACGTTCTTCGTTTTCACGGGGCCCCTCTCAAAGACAACTCGATCCCCATGATTCGGCTTCAGCCGAGCGGCACCCCGATGGCCGTTTCTTTGTCCAGTATCCCGTGCACCGCATAGACCCCCGCAGCGCAGATCGTGGCGGCCATGGAGTAGGCCGCCCGCCTGTGCGAAAACGGTCGGAAGCGGTTAGACCCGAAATGGTGGACCTCATTTGCATGGGTTCCTTTGGTTTCCTGTTTAAACACCCCCTAAAAAGGGGTGTCCTCTAAAAAAGACACACCCCTGGGAATGTGTCTCCAGAAAGCATTTGTTTAATTGGGGGGGTGTTTCAACCAATTCATAGCCAGATGGGCGTGAATCTTAGGAGGGCCCTTTGGACATCAACATTCGGGGAGAAAAAGGTCCACCAACCACTTTCGAGGCGGTACGGTGGATGGTTGCGAAATCCAGAACTCGCACCACCGTTCAGAAACCCAACGGAATGAATCATGATTCCCCTGCAAATACCAACAAGCAATGGCTTCCCATGGTTCACCTAAGAAACCCAACGGAATGAATCATGATTCCCCTGTAAATACCAACAAGCAATGGTTTCCCATGGTTCACCTAAGAAACCCAACGGAATGAATCATGATTTCCCTGTAACTACCACCCAACAATGGTTTCAACCGTGGTTTCAAAGTGGTGCAGGATTACGTCCATCCACAGTAGCTCTTAAAATTCAGTTCGCCATGTCGAGATTCTCGTCGCTGGCGGCCCAACGTGGCTTGAGCCGAGGAATCGAACGATATGTCTTGCCCCAAGTGGAGAAAGCCCTTTGTCAGAGTCTTCCAAAAAAGGGGGTGCACCAGAAACAGGTGTGCAGGGGGTGGTAACTTCAGTTGCACAAAACTCCTTGACAAAGGAAAAGAGTCTTCGCAAAAAAAAAGTGCACCAAAAAGGCAATGCTTCAGTTGCAGGGGTTTGCGGCTTGGAGTTCCTTGGGTGGTCGGGGAGCCCCAAGGTTTGCAGCGTTCGTGTTCAAAAGAACCTCCCTTGCAGAGACAAATCGAACGATACGTATGTTGGAGTTGGTACCCCCTTTTGGCTTTGGTTTTAAAGGGAAACCAATAGGAACACCCGCCCATTTTGGGTGGGTCCAACCTAAAAAGGTATGAGCCACCCATTTTGGATTTTCAAACAATCCCCGCAACCGGGGGAGCCGCAAAGCTTTGCAACCGTTGGTACGGTGGCAAAAAACTGTTCCTTTTTGCCGCCCCCTGCTAAAAAGTGAACAAAACCACAAAAACAAACCAACAACTGACCAAAACACCGTCAGGTTTGCAACCTACCTAAACATGAACAAAACCGGCAAAAAACAAAACATGATCCAACAAACCCGTGCAGAGAGCCAACCGCCAACTGCGGAGGGGAGGCAAAAAAACAAAAACAAAAAAGAAAAAGAAAAAAGAAACACATGTCTGTCGCGCGCGCGCGCGTCCCGTCCGCCGCATCCGCGTATCGTCCGCCTGGGCAGGCTGAAGGTGAGCAGCATGGCCACCACCACCCCCGGCAGCCCCAACGCGGCGGTGCACAACAACTCCTCGGCCGCGAGAACCGAACACCAAAAACCCGCCGCCCCCCCCCCCAAAAACAATAATAATAATACATATATATATATACATAATAATGTTTAAACAAGTTATTAAAAAAAAAAAAAAAAAAAAAAAAAACGGGCGGCCCGAAAACCAAACCGTGGCTTGGCCGCCTTTCTGGAGGCCAACAATCATGGGCCTCCGGAGCGCCAGGAGAAAAAAAACCAAGACATGGCCATGGGCCAAAACGTTGCGCCGAAGCCGCAGGCCACATCGCCCTCGCCCCTTCCAGCGCTCGGGCGGCCCATTTTGGGGCTCCCCGATGTTTGGGCGGCCAAAGGCCAAAAATCGGCTCTCTTCGGCTGAGGCAGCGTTGCAGCTTGGGGTTCTGGCGGCCGGAAATCAGCGCGCGAAGCCGATCCAAAGCCGTGCGATGCAACTGGTAACGTGGCGAACGGTTTCAACCACCCCCTGCGAAAGCCGAGACGCCGTGCGAAAACCGGGCGCCAAACATCAGCTCTTTTCGCCCCAAGGGTTGGACCAAAAACATCCAACCCTTGCAAAAATATGGCCACCAACTTGAACTGGTTCAATTTTTCAAGAGAACAACATCCTCAGATCCCCGGGTCTAAGGAACCCAGCAACGTTTGCCCAAGGGCTTGGTTCAAAAGTGGCTACCCAACTCCTTGAATCGAACCTTGGAGGATTTTTGGCGGCGGCTTCTGCGCCCTGGGAGGTTGTACAGGCGGCTTCTTCCAGTTTAAGCACCGGATTTACCAACCAGTGTTCCACCAGAAGCCAAAGAGAAGCCACGCTTCGGTGCCCGGAGAAAGCCGAAGACTTGGTGTTGGGGTAACAAGAACCCCTTTCCGAGCTTTCGGCCATTTCTTGCTGCCTACTGATCGTGCGCAAAGCACGCACAACCCCGCTTCCGGCCATCTGATTTCCGGCCATTTCTTGCCGCCTGCTGATCGTGCGCTCAAAGCGCACAACCCCTCTATGGAAAACTGAATAAATTTTCTACCGGGGAACCCCACATGAATCACCTAAATGATGTCCACCAAAAACTCGGAAAACTGAATTGTCTACCGGGGAACCCCTCCAAAGTGGACATGAATCACCTAAATGATGTCCAAAACTCCCGCTAAGCAAAGACCGGGTTGAGGAGGCAGACACAAGGACAGCGCACGGGCGCACTCAAGGATGCTCCGTCATGGCTCCCCTTGTAGCGAAGCAAGCCCAAGCAGAAGATGTCTGAGCTGTTCATAATAGTTCCAAAGCCACTTTTCTAGCTTTTCTACATGCTTGTGGGGCGGTAAGTGTATTCTCCTATCCACGTTGCCATGCAACCCACCGCTGCAGCAAAAATAGTCCAAACCACAACCCAGCCCCCCAGTCAGGCTCTATGTTCGTGGAGAAGGATACCCAATGCGGTCAATGCTGGTCAGTGAGGAATCAACACCGGTAAGAATGAACCAATGGATCTCTTTGAAAGAAGCCGGATGCCCATCCAAACATGGAACGGAGGTGCTGGTTAGCTTAGGGGCCATTTTTCCGAGGTTCCATGTGGAACAAAGAGTATCCCTTCTAACGAAAAAACGCGGTTTTCCCTTCAAGGATATGGTCTAATTTGTTGTTGTTTTTCTGACTGTCCGGATTGATCCCAAGTTCACATCAACAGGTGTCCGCCATTTCCCTTTTTGGGACCTCCAAAAGGTCCAGATTGATCAACTTTGGATTTGCTTGGAAATCCAAAGTAAACCCCCGAACTCCAAGCCAGCCCCCAAAAAAACAAAAAGAACGGTTGGGATCCTTCCCCTCCTTGAGCCCAAAGAAGCAAAAAAGAAAAAAAGAGACTCCCGGCCTTCCCTGATATCACTGACGCCCCAAAAGCACCTGTTGGAAACAAATGGCATTTCCATTGAAGTCACACTAGGTGATCGACCTTTTGCTCGGTCGGGTGTCGAGAAATTCCGCCGGGGCGCGGTGGCGGCCTTGGCCTCCCCGAGGATGGAGGTCCGGCGCCAGGCCAAAGGCCAGAAGGCGCCTCGCTCGGCCGGCAGGGCCGGGCACGTGCGGCCGGCAGGGTGGGTGCCGCGGGGGTGGATGGGGAGGGGGGGGGGGGTATGGTGGACACTGAACGGGTCTATTTTGCAACCTCCTTCTTTTAGCAGGGATCCTTACATTATTGCCTTGTAAATGGTGGCTTCTCTTTATTTTTGTGGAAAAAGCCATGTTTCAAATGGGCAAAATGTATCTTTTAAGGAGCCCTGTATTTGGGGTATTGGCTTTTTTGCGGTATGGTTGCAACATGGACTCTAGGTGTCCATGGCAGGAGGGGAGGGGGGGTTTGTCGGGGAAGCCCAGGTGTTTGGGGGGGGGGAAGCGAGCAAGTGACCCGGGGAGAATTTTGGGGGTCCCATTTACCTAGTGATTCCAGAAGAGAAAGATGGCGCCGTTTCTTTTGGGAGCTTTTGGGGGGGAGCAAGGAACTCAGGGAAGAGAGGGGGAGGGATGGAGGGAGGATAACAAACGGTTTGTCTCAACCCAGTGATTCATTCCATTTACCAGCATAGGCAACCAAAGGCTTGCGGGGGAAAGCAACCCGGGCTGATGGGGATGGCCCGCTTTTTCTCAATCAGGTTTCCCTCAGCCCCAAAATCGTTTTCGAGTTCGTCTCAAGGGACTCGGACCCTTTGGTGGCAGATTGAACTGGACCTTCCCATGCCTCCAGCGTCTATTTTCGGGCTCCCCCTATGCCCGTTGGTCGCTGCGAGGCTCCCAGTTCGCCATTCGCCAGGGGTTAAAGTACTTCCCTTGGGTTTCCATTCAACAGCGAAAGTGTCCACTCGCCATTGGATCCGAGTGGTTCCATCACAAACCACGACTTCGCCTGCAAAGTGAGGCAGACACCAACCTACTGTGGATGAAAACGAAATCCGTTTCGCACCACCCAGCAGCCTAGCAAACCCTGGTTTCGGATTCGATTCCGCATCCTGTAACTGCCAACTTAAACGTTACGGTTTCAACCATGGGTTCCAAGTGCTGCAGGCTTTCGTGGGATTTCGCAGCAACCATCCACAGTAAAGACCTTACTCAAAGAGAGACCGAGAGGGCTGGCTGGGTGGAAGGGTGGAAGACCCGAAGCTGAGGCCTGGCTGCTTTGTCTGTTGGAAGACTCCTCTCAGATGTGGCAGGTGCTAAATGAAACCGCCCCACTTTCCAAGGATGTGGGGTGTGGGTGAAGAAGAGGGTAACCCCTTTAAATGGGCCCGATCGGGGTGCAATTGCTTCCTTTTAACAAGGACGATTTAACAGGAGGGTCCTTTCTTTCAAGACTTGGAGGGTCCCTTTGAAAGGGAAGGCGGAGTGTGAGTGCCTGTGTCAAGTTGGCCCACAACGAATTTCGGTGGTCCTCATCCCTGTTTCGGGGTGTCTTGACGGCTTTCGAATCAACAGAAGCACCCCGGAAAGAGGAATCTGAGCCTCAGAAGGACTCACACCCAACTGACACCTAGTCGCAGGGAATGTGGGAGTCTGTCAAACGAAGACCATGCAAAGCGGGTCCTAAGCGTGGTGAAATCAAACAGGTCTGGGATCTAAACTAGAAAGCTAGACCCCTGAAACGGAATCGTAAAACAGGAAAAGAATGAATAAGTGAAGAACCCCCCTACAGACAGTAAACTCTTTGGGGAACTTGGCGAAAACAGTACACATACATTGGTGTCTTTTTGGTCGATTCTTGGTTTACGTGGTGGTTCAATCATCTACCCTCAGTAGGGATGAGGTATAAACCGTCCATCCTATGCAGGGTTTCCTGTAAGCAAATCCCCTTCCGGCTCATTCGCAACCATTCCCCACCTATCACACCAGCAAGAAAAGCACGCCTATGTCGAAGCCAAGTCTTGCCGCCAGAAACCGGCAACAGAAACAACGTTCTGGTGGGACTGTGGAACCGAATGAACCCGGGCTTTGGCCCCCCTTACAGGAGACCACTTGTGGGAAGTTTTATCTTGGGGTCATTCCATTTCTCATTCCCGGCCTATCGCACCAGCAAGTTTTGTTAGGGAGACCAAAAGGAGCATTGGTCAGCTATCCCCTGGATGGTGTGGCTTCGGATTTGGCTCGTGGTCCGCTTACATTCCATGTCTCATTCCCTACCAAAACAAAACAAAAAACAAGCCAAGTGGCCCATGCCGTAAAAGGCGAGATCCTTCACGAAGAACATCACCTCCGATCCAATAAATGGCTCGATGTTCTTTGGGGAAACCAAAAGGGTCAAAAAGAGGGCCACCAAAAAAAAGGAGTTGCCCTCTCTCCCCCATTGCCAAGGGAAAAAGCGGAAAAAAAGAAGGGGGGAAAAAAGCGTCGCGCCGCTTTGAGAGGTCCGGAATGAGACGAAGCTGCGTGACTCGATGCGAGCTGGACAACTTTTGAGGCAGCGAGCCTCGAGCTTGCAACTCCAACTGGCTGGGTGTCCTTTGGGCCCGAAAAAGAGTACCAACCATAGGTGTCCTTTTGGGGCAAATAGATGGCCCTGGTAAATGATGAAACCACCAGGTAAACCAGGGCCATCTATTTTGCGGCCAAAACAACCAAAAAGGACACCTATGTTACCAACCCATTTGGTTCAGACCCCTGGAAAAAAATGAGAAAAAACATTTCACGTAGTGATAGATTCCATTCAAAACCAACGGGGAAACTAAAAAAAATAGTCTTAAGCAAATGGAGATTACCAGCCCATTTTGGGGCTCCCGAAAGAGGAGGCCCACTTCTTGATCAACCGTTTTCTGTCTTCTTTGTTACCCCAAACGGACCGGCAAGATTCCACGTGCGGAATCAACCATGAACCCCTGAGATTCAGGGCACCCTCAAAACAGACAGGAGAAAGGGGTCTGTCTTTTTTGGAGGGTCCCCCTATTTTTGTGCTTTTACAGAAACCAAAAGGAAAACCGAAGCCATTTGGGAGGGGTGGGGGTCTTGCATAGTTCCCCCTTCAGGTAAACATCACCTTTAGGCTCAGTTGCCCAAAGGACCCAGAAGTAAAAAGTCAACCTGTTGGGCCCCAAAACCAAAAATGCACCAAGAAAAAAACAGGAAACCAAAAGCTTGGTTGCTGCAACGACCCCCCCTGCTTGAAGTGAACAACTTTGATCGGTTTAGTGGGAAAAAAGCACAACTTGAATTCAACCCAAATGTTTTAAAGTCTAAAGATCCGTCACCCAACAGCAGTCAGGAAAGCTCCAAAGGTCAGGTTTTTGGCGAGTGGTTTTCTTTTCCTGAGCCCGCTGCAGACAGCGCCAGCACGCTGAGCATGTGCTCGCGGCTGGTCAAAGTCTTCAAAGCCTCGGTGATGGTGATGGCCTTCTCCTGCGAGACGGAGAAAAGAAAAACTTAACCTCTAAAGGAATCCTTAGGTTCATTCCCAACACCAAAAGATGATCTTTCAACCACCCTTGGGCACCTGATTATGGGTAGATCCCTTTGGCTTCCCTCTGAAAGGCACTCTGGGGGGTTATCAAAGTCAGCAACTGGGGTGGGTTCCCTTTAACTCACCACTTAGGGGGTGACTTTGAAAACAAATGGGGGGCACCCCTTTTCAATTTCCCTCTAATTGTTTTTTCTTTGGATTGGTGGTGGTGAAACGGGAAAAAACAAACTTAACTACTTAACTAAGTCCTCCAGTAGAGAGGTTGGAATAAGGGTACCAACTTTCTTCTGTAGTCCATTTTAGTAGGGAAAACCTCCCCCAAAAGAGGGTAAACGGGCCCTACTATAACTAGTCCAAGTCCTGCCGCCCGGTTTCTTGGATCTAAGCTTTCCCCATTTGGCTTATGGAAGCTAGGTCCTCCAGTAGAGAGGTTGGAATAAGGGTGCCCGATTTTTTTGATGTAGTCTATTTCAGTAGGGAAACCCTCCCCCAAAAAAGGGGAGAGAAGGGCACTACTCGGGGACCTAGTTAAAACAAATGGGGGGCACCTCCTTTTCAGTTTCCCTCTAATTGTTTTGTTGGGATGGGTGGTTTGGTGGTGAAACGGAGGGGGGTTCCATGTGCCCTCTACAAAAGCTAGGCTTCCTCGCGACCGCGGTCCCGGTAGCGGCAACGATGGGGCATAGTACAGATAGGAGAACCGGCAGGTGACCCAGGTCGACCACCAAAAAAAAGACGGTTTTTCCTACCGGGGTCGCCCATGTCAAAGTCACCAAAGGAATGATGAAAAACCGAGGCTTGACCTGAAAAGGCGCCCAGCTTTTCGAATTTTTGACTAATGAAACAAACGGTTTTTCAAGGTGTTTGAACGGGGAGTGTCAAGGGGACCGGGTACTTACGCGGAGCTCGAAAGCCACATATTGAGCCCAGAGGTTCATATCAGAGGTGACTTGGGTGATCTGGGACTTAGCTAAATGTCTAGTAACCTCTAGTTATAGAGGGGTAACAACCAGGGTTCGTTCAACCATTTGGCTAACTTCCAAATCATCGGGCTGTACGCCTTCTTCAGCAACGCCGTTCTCGACTTGGCCCTTCCCTTCCCAAAACCCTCGGCTTTTCACTTTGCCACCTGACGTGAGGGTGTTTGTTGGGACTCATGAAACCCGAACTGGAAAACTCGTTTTTCTAAACCACCAATTTTCACGGTTTAGGTGGAGTAGCCATCCACCTGCCATCTTCAACCAAAGAACCGAGTGGGCGATTTCGGCGCCACTTCCAGCAACCACACCAGACAAACCGTTTGTCTCACTGCTTGTCCGGTAGCTTCACGCACCAATCAAACGCAAACCGGCACCCGAAAACACCTGCTTGCCACGCAAATGTGGATGGATTCCCAAACGGCTTGAGGCGACGGCTTGAAACAGGGGAAAAAATGGGCGGCTTCAAGAAAAACTCTTGGCCATTCGCAACCTCTTAATCCAGAAATGCCTTTTGGGAGAGCCCATCATGGCCAGGAAAATGAGATCTCGTGCTTTCGGAGGGGCGAGCTCGCCAATTTTGTCTCCTCCAAATCCAAGGGGAAAAAGTTCAAGGTTCTTGGACCCCGCTGGTCAAGCCACTTTCTGACTTTGATAATCCACAGAAACCCGTCAAAAGAACGAGCCCAGAAACAGGGATCCGGATGCATGAAAAGCACCGATCGAACATTGCAACTTGGTCCCTTTGTTGTTGAAACAGCCATGCTTCAAATCGGGTATCTTTCAAGGAGCCCTGAGAAACCGCAGCCTGATTGTTCAACGGACGCTTCCTGCGTGCCGTGGTGGGGCACCAGGTCCGAAAGGCCCTGAACCTCGCGGGTTTGCGCCCGTCAAACAACTCATGGGGCCTGGGGGGCGGGAGGGGGGGGAGGGGGGAGAGGGAGCCCGAGGCCTTTTCAAGCGCTTAAGGCCTTATTAGGGCTTATTTGGGCGCCCTCACATCCCCTGGCAGGAGCAATGGATGGGACATAGTACAGATAGGGGGGTTTGTCAGGACCCTGGCCGCCTTTTTACGGCAGAAAAGTGCCCCTAATTTGAAAAAACTTTTAGCTAGCGATGCAGGGGTTGGCAGGCGTTAGTTTGTTGCGTCTCCTGATTGGGAGTGTCCCAGATTCATGGCAATTCGGATCGCTTTTGCCGTGAGTGGAATAGGTTTATTCGTCCGGGGTTCCCAGTAGAAACCAGTCAGTTTGTCGCCGGCTCCCAACAAATTCTCTTCCCACCTCCTGTCCCTCCCCCCCCAGCCCATAGGCGTCCTTTCAGGGGAAATAGATGGCCCTGGTAGATAATTCAATCACCAGGTAAACCAGGAATCGAAACCCATCGATTTTTCCACCAAAACAACCAAGAAGGACACCTATGGTCCAGCCTTCTGTCTCCCTCTCCGTCCAAAAATGCCAAAACACCACCGCAGGCTCCCGGGCGCTTCTGCCGTTCATCCGGGCCATAAGCTCCATGCCCTCGAGCGGCAACACGCACGCACGCGCGCACGCACGCACGCGCACGCATGGCACCGACCATGAATCCCCAAGGGTTCCACAGGGATCCTTAAAGGATACATCCAAGAACCACACGCACCAGGGTGTTTTTTTTCAGGATACATCCAAGACCCACTTGATTTAGGGAATCCTCTCAATTCGCCGGTGATTTCTTGCTTCAGCTCTAGACAGTTTCGCCTCTCGCAGGTCCTCCTGCCCTCGCGCCGCTAGGAAGTAAGGGGTGTCCTGAGCTTCGAGGCAAGACTTGGGCGGCTCGCCTTTTCTTTTGAGGGGACCCCCCCGAGTTCTCGGTGGTTTTAAAGGGAAACCGAAACGGAAAAAACCGGCTGGCCATTTTGGAGCTCAAAAAAAAGAAGGCAAAACGGAAAAACAAAAAGGAAAACGGAATTTGCCATTTTAGAGCTCCCACTAAAAAAAGACGAGCCACCCGTTTGCTGGACCAAAAGTGGCCACGGAAAGCTTGCCTCCCTCCAGCCCTCCAGCCCGAAGGGCGGCTGGGAAGAGGCTGAGCCAGGTTTCTACGAGTTGGACGCGCTTGTGGATTTCCACCCGTCTCCGCGGTTGGTCCTTGTAGGACAATACTGTGGATGGACAGAATCCATTTCGCACCACTTGGAAGCCATGGCATTTACAGGTGAATCATCCTTTCAGGGTTTGTTAGGTGGTGCAGGATTTCGTCCATCCCCGGTATGTTCGTACTCTTTTAAGATACTCTACAGGGCTGGATCCACAGATTTGCAAAATAAGCGTTTTCTCGTCCGCTCCACCATGGAACCGGAATCTGAGAGGGCCTGGAAGACGATGTTTCCTAAAAAGTGGCCCTTTGTTGGATTCCAACAAAAAGGCACATCAACCTTATATTCCAAAAACATGGTAGAAGTGTTGGACGGAGATCACGTTACCTGCCTGATGTAACAGGAGGGTAGTTGGGTTGCAACCCTTCAACCCTGTTGGGACGAAAAGCCCAAGCCCAATCTGCACGGTGGCAAAAGTTGCTCTAAAAACCCGTTCAGAAAGGCAGAACGATGCCAGCCTCCGAACGGAAAGCAAAGGCAACAGAAACCCAAATGAGTCACAATCAAAACCGGGTACTAAAAAGGTCTACCCAGAACCATGTAAGGAATTAAGAAGGCGGAATCCCGCAGCTATTCATGGTTGGGATTGTCCCTTACTAACAGGATCATCTACCCGAATCGGTTTTGAGCAAGTGGCTCGAATGACCCTCAGCGCCCAAAACCGTCCATTGCGGCGTTTGTCGTAGGTCTTCGCTGGTTTTTCAACCTGGCGGTTGGCTTAGATCTCTAATCCCATGAGCCTCTACTTCAGCATCAGGGGATCATTGTCTGAACCACATAGCTCTTCAACTTCTTGCACGCTATATCGTATTTCTATACATACGTGTATATATATATATACATGCTCCCCCCCAAGGACCCACGCACTTGCTATATATATATATATATACATATACACACCCCACCCATGATCCACATATATATATATATATACATTTATTGCAACGTCTATACTACTCGGTTGCTTTCTGCTCCCCTGCTAAAAGTTTAAATTTTAGTGGTTTAATGGAAAACCCATTAGCTGGCAAAAAGTTAAAGTCCTAACATCCAAGCAAGATGCACCAAACATTGCTTGTAGAGTTTCCGGACAAATCCTTCTAGCGTCTCCAGGAAACTGTTGCCCGACGCCAATGTCAAGACTCCATGGGCCATCCACATGTCGCACGTATGGGATGCGAAATCCGCTGAACTCGCGCCACGCAATGAAACTCTGGTTGAAGCCATAGTTTTGCGGTCGAGTGTAGTTGGTTTGCTTGCAATACTGTGGATGGTTGCGAAATCCATTGCGCGCCACTCAAAAAACCATGGTTGACACCATCGTTGGTTGGTATTTGCAGAATTGTTGAATCATTCGAGGTTTCTGAAAGGTGGTGCGAAATGGATTTCTCAACCATCCACGGTAGTAAGGGGACCATTGTTATCCCTGCGAATGGACACACTCCACTTCGCGCCAGCTGGAATTGGTGTCTATTATCCCAATAAGTGGTTTACAGGGCTTAATCCATCCCACTTAGCGCCTGGCGATAATGTGACCATCCACTCCCTAGTACTTGGATGTCCAATGCGAGGTAAGTAGGTTAGAACCGTGGCTGTAACTTCTGGACGGTTGGTGCCCTTGATATGGTTGAGATCATGAGTTATAACCCTAAGGGTCTCGATTGATTTTGGGCCCTCATCTGGTTGGAAAGGGGCCCCTTGAGGGGTCGGGGTTCTCCATTGGAGGTCCGGGTCCCGGTGTGCATTGGAGGTCTTAGGGAAGGTACTAGGTTGGTGAACATCCACTCCCTAGTACTTGGATGTCCAACCAACGTGAGGCAAGTAGGCCATAACCGTGGTTATAGCTTCTGCACCCTTGCCATGCTTAAAAATCATACGTTATAAGGCACTAAGCTGGTTGAACATCCAAGCCCAGGTCTTTTGGACGGCACATGTCTAGGACGAAAAAGCTCCAAACCGCTGAGAAAAATCGCTCGGATTCGATCTCCGCCGCCCTTTGAACCGGAAGCCGAACCAAAATTTGAACCAAGACATGGATGCCTCGGGTAAAGCACCCTACATGAGAATGTTGGTTTTCTTTAGTTACCCCTGCTGTGGATGGACGAAACCCAGAAATCGCACCACTTTGAAACCGTGGTTGAAGCCATAACGTTGGTTGGTATTTGCAGGGGAATCGAATCATTCCAGGGGTTCTGAGGTGGTGCGAAATGGATTTCGTCCATCCACCGTATGTCTGTGGTTTTCAGAGAAAACTGCAAGGAACAGCCTCCAATGGGCGGGTATATTCAAAGGGACGAGTCACCCACATAGCACCAGCGCGGAATCGCGCTAAGCCGACCAGCGGCTGACCAGCGACATACAAGGCCCCTACTTGGCGGCCGCCAAGTTTCGACATGTCCAAAGACGACATCGCACCACCGACATCGGATTTCCCCAACCGGTTTCTCTTAAAGCTGACTTTGGAAGAGCAAAAATCTAAATTTTAGCAGTTTAGTGGGGATGTCAGTAAGCAAAAATGCAAAATGTGTCCCAACAACCCATGTTCTGAGTCCATTCCCCCACGTGAATACCCACAAACAGTGGCTTCATTTCGCGGTGCGAATTGGACTTCGGCCATGCACCCTGAGGCCACAAGGGGCCTCAAGTTTACAGCACTTCCACCGAACAATGTTTGGCTCCGAGACGCGTGGCGGCTCACGGGGCTGAGGAAAGCGAAGACCAGCAGAAGCACCCTGAGCCCAACGAGCTCCACACGCTATGTGTCAAGTAAAAGTGATCCGGATCCCGACTGAAAGGACATTGACACAATCAGGGCTTGATTCATCTGGGGACAAAATTTAGGTAACCTGTTAATTGGTGGTTTGGATTCGTGTTTTGGATTCGGAATTGAACCCCTGAAACCCTGCGGGCAAATGGGAATCGACCCCCTTTTCGCCATCCAACCAACCAATTCGGCTCCAAACCACCAGATAGAGTGAGGGGGAAGAAAGGGCTGGGCTTCTTTAATTGGCGATTTGGGTTTGTTGGTAATTCCAGGGGAATTGAATCCTTCCAGGGATTCTGAAAGGTGCAAGCGGGGATCCATCATGTCCATCAACAGCAACGTCCATGCGACGCCTTCACAACCCCTTGGTCTGGTAGCAAGAGACTTTGTTGTTTGCGGCCCCCTTCTAAACATGAACAGAACCTAGTAATAACTTTAAAGACTGCAAAAAACGCAAACAACTTGACCCAAGAACAGTGACCCAACTGCAAACTCCAGCTGCAGAGCCGAGCCTTTTTTTGCCCAGGCGCGGCGGGATGGTGATCCACAGGAGCATGCTCTGCCAGCTCTTGCCCACCAAGTCCTTTCGAATCGTCGATTCGAGGTCCCGCTTCAACAACCAACAGGGGAAAAACAAACTCTCTATGATGCAGGTGGGGAGTGGGTGGGGGGACGGGGGGTAAAGGCCCGAAACGAATTCGAGGTCCGTCTCAAGGCCCTCGAATCGACCCTTCATTACCCAAAACAATGGGGTCATGGACCCATTCTTAAAGGGTCATGGAGACTCCAGGTGGAGCTTTTGGAACCTTCTCTTTCTGCATCCATTCGTAGGAGCCAAGGCCCGAAAACTGTTTCTGAGTGATGGAGATTTGGTTTGCAGGGGATTCTTGTTCTTTTGTCTGTTTGATATTTGTTCTTCTTCGTTTCACCGGCTGCACTTCTGGAACCTTCTCTTTTTCTGCATGCCAAATGTATCAGGGCCCAAGAAGCCAACAGGAATTTCCTGTACCCGGCACATCCCCTCCTGACGCCCGGACGACTGTTTATTTTGTATAGATTGTGGGGAGGGGGGATGAGGGCGGGGTTAGGGGGCTGGACCATACATATACATATATATATATATATAGTTTTTATGTATAGAAATATATAGCAACCGCCCCGGAATACGCAGGTGTTCGTCAAACATTGACATGTTTGCCGTAAAACTGCATGTGAAATGCACAAAATGATGCTCAACAAATGCACCCTTTTTTAGACCTAAATTATAGCATCAGTACTTAGTGCAATCCAGGATGTGCTAGCACGTGCTGCCATATCCTGGATTGAGTATCTGACAACTCTTCCTGATGCGGGCGCGGGCGCGGGTGCGGGCGCGGGTGCGGGCGCGGGCGCCAGCGCGGGCGCGGGTGCGGGTGCGGGTGCGGGTGCGGGTGCGGGCGCGGGCGCTGCACGCAGGGTGACCTCTCGCACTTCCGTTTGCGGCGGTTACAAGCCTAACGGTAGTGGTGTGGCAAACGTCGCAGCTGTAGGGAGCCGTGTCCGCACACTAAGCAGGACTTCGGACTGCGCACTGGTCCTAAGTTCGGGCTGTCCTGGTGGTAGATCAGAACCTCCTCGAAGTGGTCGACAGGCGACACCACTACGGCCCCCGTGACTGTAAGGAACACGCCATGATACTTCATCGCTGCTGGAGGTTCCACCACTTGTCCCAAGTCGAAAAGTTGGATGGCTATGTCGTCGGTGGTGCCGTTGCTGCCTTCTTTTCTCACCATGCATTGGAAGTACTCTGGACCTTCGGTGGAAGCTCTGCACTGCAAAGAGGGACTAGCCGACCAAATTGCGTTCCCAGCTATGTCCAGGCTCTTGCTGCTGTACAGGTCCAGTTCGCTCACCACCTTTACAGTCTAAGCATACATAGACCGAAGATGGCTCCTCAACGCTGAGATTCTTCAAGTCTACACTTAGGGGAATCCAGGCTGTGCTAGCACGTGCGCGTATCAGTTTGACATAAGTATGGATTTGAAGATTTCCAGACAAGTGGTCGGAGAATCTGCAATCTTCAATCTTCAATCCAGGATGTGCTAGCACGTGCTAGCACACCTGGGGTTGCCTTAAGTACATATTTGAAGAATCCCATCAAGAGTTGTGAAAACAAGTGTTTTGAAAACTTTGTTGCTTTTGTGGGACTTGAGGGCTGGCCAGGATGGACGATTCTCAACAAACAAAATCTGGAGATCTTCCATCTTCAATGCAGGTGGAAAAACCTTAAAGAGTCTAGAACAAAAAATGTGAAGCTTTTGGGGGCCAGGATTGAGGATGTTCTAAAACGATGTCTGTGGAATCTTGAATAGTTGGCCTTCGATCCAGGGCAACATGATCTGAGCGAATGCTGAGAACACCGCGTTTTACAGAATTGTGTGCCGATATGTGTTGATCTATGATTGAAAACACTTTTATGTTGTTGGTTTGGCTCAGTTCTTGCTTGGTTAAAGCCACATGGAGTTAGACAAGGACAATGACCCTTATGAATTGTCTCTTGATTCCAGTTTTTACTGGCGATCACAATAGCTGCGTTCTCCAATTGACTGCTGAAGCGCACAAGAAACTGCAACGGGTTAAAGTTGAATTTGGCTTGAACTCGACATCATTCTAGCTTTCATATTATTCCTATACTTGAATTTCAACAGTATAGTTGTTCTTGACACTGGTTGAATCGTATCAGACAAGTAACGCACAACTGAGATAGCTGCTTTGCAAGCTTGATTTACATGCGCTTAGTTAGAATGTACATGGGTCTATGTACAAAAAACGAACTAACATGTAAACACAACTGCGCAAGGACATGAAGCGCTTTTATGTTTGATTTGGATGTCAGTTGCCAGTAGGATTGAGTTCCTTTCCCCCAAGTGCATGATTCGCCGGTTTCGTTGTAAAATAGAAATAATAAAACCAAACAGCCGATGAAGCTGCCAAAGCATGCTTCGCGTACTACTCTTGTGCTGAAAGTTGTGCGTTTTGAGCTGGGGCTGCCAAAGTGCACTTCGCAGAAACGCTGGAGCTCCAGCGTGACTTTAAGCGCGCTTCGCGTTCGAGCTGTTTAACTAGGAGCTCCTTTTGAACGTTGGGCTCAACTTCTGCTTTGACTTTGCATGGAGTTGCACGTGTCAGCTCAGAGTCCCCCTGTCTGGCCAAAAGCTTGAGTATTTCAAGGGGGTAGCATATATATATATATATATATATATGTTTTTGTTTATTTTCATTTATTTGTTTATTTATTTATTTGTTTATTTATTGTTTGTTTGTTTGTTTATTTATTTACTTACTTACTTATTTGTTTATTTATTTATTTATTTGTTTGTTTGTTTGTTTGTTTATTTATTTATTTATTTATTTATTTTATTTATTTATTTATTTATTTATTTATTTATTTATTTATTTATCTATTTATTTATTTATTTATTGTTTGTTTATTTATGCATGTTTGTATTTATCTATCTATCTATCTATCTATCTATCTATCTATCTATGTATTTATGTATTCATTCATTCATGTATTTATTTATTTATTTATGTATGTATGTATGTATGTATGTATGTATGTATGTATGTATGTATGTATTTATTTATTTATTTATTTATTTATTGGTTTGTTTATTTATTGATTTATTTATTGATTGATTTATTTATTTATATATGTATATGTGTGCATATACCATGTATATATATATATATATACAGAGGAGGTGAAAAAACACGGGAGAAAAATAAAAACGTCGGGATTGTGAGGGTGAACTATGAGCAATTGTGTTTGCCCCCTACTGAAGTGCCCCAGAAACCCGAGCGCCGCTCTCTCTCGGCTATCTCGCTCCGGCAGCAGCAGGCGGAAGCCCAGAGCGCTCCAGACCTCGCCGCCTCGGACCACGTCAGGTGACCCAAAGCGATGGCTGGACCTGGATTTACATGGGAGCCCCCCAACCCACGAAACCACCAATCCAAGCCACCAATTTGAGGGAGGCCTTTTTACTTGTGGGTGACACCCCCCGGATTTTTCGAATCCGAGGCTGCGGATCGGAGACCGGCCAATTAATTTGGGGGGTTCAGTTAAAAACCAGATGGAAACCACAAAACGGGGACGCAAGTGTTGATCAAAATGCACCCCTGGCTTCTACTTGGATCGGACCGTTCCCAGTAGCTGACAGGCCTCCTGTAAGTAACCCTGCCGAGCTGAAGCACTTACGCCAGGTAAACCAGGAATCGCCATCTATTTTTCCACCAAAACCACCAACCAAACAGGACACCTAGGGGTGGCAAAGTGCCGAAAAGGGAAACCCCTCAACAGGTCCACCTTTCAGCTTCCCTCGAAACGGCGGGTTTGGGGCCAAATCAGAGGTGTGGCCCTTCAGGGGTGGTTTCCCAGTTGCTTTTTAGTCAGACCGCCAGACCTTCAAATCCAAATCCCCAAACCACCACTCCAAACCAACAACTGACCTGACGGCTTCCCTGCGCGGTTTGCCTTTTCCACTGAAATGAGCAGCCTCCCTTGAACAGGGTTGTTACTCTAACGGGGGGGGCTGCCTATTCTCCCGCAAAAAAAGTGGAAAAGGCAAACCAGGCACTTCCCTGCCGGCCTTGGGGTACTCAAAAAAAAAGATCGGACGCACCACGAATCAACTGGGTCAGAATCGGCTTTATTGGCGGCTTACGGCTGACCGCCTTACTCCAAAAAACCGGACCCTCGAGGCTCCGACCAACTGAGGATTGCCTGACCATTTGCGAATACCGGACGGCTTCCGTGACGGTGCTTCAAAAGAAAAGATCGGACCCCCTGGCCTGCTTCTTTTACCATGATCAAAGTCAGCCTCGAAGTGGGCAAAAGGGAAACAGCCGCATGTTCTGACTTTGCTAACCCCCAGAAACCGTCAAAACAATGACCCCAGCTATTCTTTGTCCTTTTGAAACCTTTCAAAGGCGCCCCCCCCCTCGAGGCTCCAGGCTGCAGAAGGCCAAAGCCATGGTGGCGTTCAATACGCCCCGCAGCCGGCTGGGGGACACCTCTCGCAGACGGGACGTGGCAAACGCGCCGGGGACGCATAGGCGTCTTTTTAGGGGAAATAGATGGAACAACGGGTTTTTCGGGGGGTCCCCACGGGTTTTTGGGGGGCAGGGGGTCTTTAAAGGAAATAGATGGGTGTCCCTGGTAGATGAATAAAAACCAACCAGGAATCGCAATCTATTTTTCCGCCAAAACAACAAAAAGGACACCTATGGCCTGACGATTAGGCCCAAAAAAGCCACTCCGAGCACCGGTCTTCTCGGAGACGCAAAGGGAAACCCACCCGAAAAGTGGTGGGGATTCAGACTCCACTTTTGGAGTCCGAAAAAAAGCCCCCATAGTAATAAATAGGAATATGAACCAACCCGAAAAGTGGTCTCCTCTTCTTGCTGGTGCGATAGGTTGGGAATAGCCCGGGGTTTTGGGAAATTCCGACAAGTGCTTTCTACTCTTCTTGCTGTCGCGATAGGTTGGGAATGACCGTTCCGGGTTTTGGGAATGGACCGGAAGGAAATTCCCTCAAAGGAAACCATAGGGGTCATTCCCTCATCTGACCGGCAAGGCTGTCCAACAGCTGGTTTTGATTCCACGAGAAAGCAACCCACAAAAGTGATACATCAAACCCCATAGTTCTTTGCAAAGCTCGGTCTTCGAAAGAGAAACCCAAAAAAGGGCGTATCAACTCTGCGCAGAATCGAACCGCATCCGCATCTGGCTGCAATTGTTACAATGTGGATGGAGAAAACAGATTCTTTGCACAAGTGGGTAGGGTAGGTGGCTTATTTCAGTAGTCATACAGTTTCGTCCAACTGGTGTAGGATTGACCCCGGATTGCTAAATTCCTACTTATTTATGTGGGGGGCGAGGACCCTCCAAAAGTGGTTAATCAGCAGGGCTTACCTATTCCGGGGTCCCCATTCGAAAACGTGACCGTCACTCCATTCCTACAAATGGCGTGTCTTTCTATTGGGGGGAGTCCCCTTACGGTTGGTGTTCAAGGGAAAAACTAAAAGTAAAACCACCATTTTTGGGGTTCCGAATCCCAAAAAAGGTAAACAAGAAAAACTGGGAAGAGCAACGCAAAGACCGTAGACCTCACCAGCAAGCCAATCAGGATTTCCAAGAACACCTTCCTGGTCGGTCGCCAAGGGCGGCTCGCTCGGGTCGACCCAAGGAGAAAACAGGAAGGACACGGGAAAACCGACGGGAAGGCAAACCACAAAAAAACAAACAATGAAACATAAGAAGAAAAACACAAGCGAAGGAACAAGTGAGCGAACAAACAAACAACCAACCAAACAAACAAACAAACAAAGCCAAGCCAAGCCAACCCAAGCCAAGCCAAGCCAAGCCAAGCCAAGCCAAGCCAAGCCAAGCCAAGGCAAGCCAAGCCAAGCCAATTCAAGCCAACCAGCAAACAAACAAAACAGGCACGCAAGCAAAAAAAGATAAGAAAGAACCCTTGACAAACAAAACAAGTTGTTTGGCCTAGGCATGACACATGAAACATACTGTTTTCAGAGAGTACGGAAATCGTCTGCGTTCCTTTTCGGTTCAAAAAACGCATGAGCCAGACATGTGGCTTCACCCCCAACACCAAGCTCCGGTTTCCCCAAACCCCAAGCCAAGGATTCCCATGCTTATACGGTTAGTTGAGGCAGCGCCAGATGCAACCACACCTGCCACCTCCGACGGGAAACTCCGCTTCTATCAGGCTGCAAGCGTCCTTTCCATTTGGGGCAACCCATTTTGAGGGCCCGGTCCTTGCAGATTCAACCCAGCCAAAAGGGCTTCCCCAACCATCCCCCAAAAAAAGGCGGCGCCCTCAAAAACACAACCACCCCTCCCACCCACCCACCCACCCACCCACCCACCCACCCACCCACCCACCCACCCACCCACCCACCCACCCACCCCACCCCCACCCTCACCCACCCACCCACCCACCCTCACCCACCCCACCCACCCACCACCCACCCGCCCACCCACCCACCCACCCACCCACCCACCCACCCACCCACCCACCACCACCCACCACTGGGAACGGCAATCCAAAAAACCTCATAGAAGCCACGAACCCGAATGCAGTTCGGGTCAAGCTTTTTCGTGATTCGTGGCAAAAATCGCTTGCGAGAACATCTGAAACCCGGTCAGAAGCCATCGGCCTCGCATCGCTGCAATGAGTGTACGAAAGATGCCGGATGTAAGGCCCGGCCGCTAAACCTGATTGCCAAGGCGCGATGATCTGTGACGTCAGGCGTTTGCTTGGGCAGCAGTTGCACGATGTAGGTCACGAGGAGGAATTGGGCCGGGTGGCACAGGCTGACTTGACGATGAAGCTATCGAAGCAGAGCTCGTTTGGCGGGGTCTGTGTCGAGGCTCGCACAATTGGAACGTGAGAGTCGTAATCACCTCGGCTAATGCGAAGATGATGCGGCTTTAACTTTTGAGGCGCTGCGCTCTGCTGGATGCTGTAATATGCGACACCATCTGGCATGACCAGAAACAGCCACATGCTATCACCGACTTGGGCCCGGAAACTCGAAATCCTCGCATTGTATTCCCTGCATCCCAAAATGAACCGAATCCTGCGTTGATGTCCCCACCTACGATGATGGGAACACCGCATTCAGCTCCGTGGCTCAAGACGTCATCCCAAAACAGCCGAGAAAGATGGGCAACAACGCCTCTTTTATGTGTGACGACATGGTTCAGGTGAAACGAACAAACAAGCCAGGAAGTCTGCCCGCCCCGAAGAAGACGATTGCCTTCCTCATCAGTCCAAATGGACGCGATCATGGAAACCGTCTCGCTAGCAACTTTCCAAGCGTTAGTAACCCATGGATTTGTATAGACCTTGTCTGCCAACCGTCTCCAAACCTTCAGACTGCTGCCGCCTGCCGCCAGAAGCGTTAACCGGACCGGATCGCCTCAGGAGGATCACCCTCAGAAGTGATATAGGAATAGTCAAATGAGTTGAATGTACGCCACAAATCATTGGAGGAAGCATCTTGTAGAAGCACCAAGTGCCATCTGCCGCAGATGTATGCAGTCAGCAAGTTAGGCTCCTGCACCCCGCGGGTATTGACACCCAAAGGTCCTGTACACTCTGCCACAAACTACCTCGGAACTAAGCGCGGCAGCGGCTACAAAATCCTTGCATTTCACTCTGAGAAAGCAACTCATAATGGATGCGCATGCTGCGGCGCATGATTCGCACCTTGCGAAAATTGCGCGTGTCCAAACATTAGCCAAGCCCGAGGATACGGACGTTCTTGTCAACATTCCTGGCAAGCACGCTTTTCTCATGTGCTCTGTTGCGCGGCACTGAAGAAAGCACCGCCCTGATTATTTTGTTTATTCGCAAACTCTGTTTATTCGCACTGGCAGAGGATGCCAAAGAGGGGTCTCTGCCTACTACTTTTTGTGGCAATTTGAGACCCATCGTGGCTCTTTGCGCCGCGCTTCGAAATGTGCGGTTTTTTTTAGAGAGGTTACCCTCTAAAACCTTCTGGAAACCTTCTGGAGCCCCTCTGTAACGCCAAGTCTGCACAGGGCTCCATTGGACCAATCCGCCTCGGCCGGCCGTGGCCGAGTCTGCGCTAAGCCCCCTACTTACAAGCCAGGCTTGGACGCATGCGTTACTCTAGAGTCACTGGAGCTGTACAGTGACCATTACAGAAATTCAAACTGAAGAAGCCACCTCTAGCTTGCGCCCGAAAAATAAATGGAAAGCCCGTCACGAGGCTGAACTAGTTCCGCGCCTTTTGGCTCGCTCTTTCGGTCGCCCTTTTCTTTAGGGTCCTGGACCTGGGGACGGCGGTGGGGCAACAAGCTGGCCTCGCGCAGCGCTGCGCCGCTGCACTCAATAGCTCCATTGCTGGCCCAAGCTTGCTGCCTATTGTACTGGCTTGTTTCCTCAAAGCTCGCTGGAGGACCCGGCAACTCCCTCCCAGCTTGTGCCTCTGAAACAATTGGTGGTCAAAAGCTGGAAGGTGCCGGCTTCAACCCGCTTGCTGTGATTGGCGTTGCCTCCCGTCTGAAAAAATGGATGGGCATCATGTACACTTTGTGCAACAGGAACAAATGTGTGGGTCTGTCTGCAGCCCGCTGGAACGTTTCTGGAACTCTTCTGGAACCTCTGAACTCTTTGGCACCCTGTAAAACCCTGCTGCAGCCTTTCTGGAAAGCCTTCTACACCATCTGGAACCCTCTGAAACTGTGTGGACCCTCTGATCCCCCTGAAGCTTCTGCCTCTGCAACCCGTTCTGGGAGCCTGGAACCCTCTGAACACGCGGCCCTAACCCTGCGCGTGGATCCCAAGCAAGCGCCAAGGTCCCACAAACACCGTGCAGGGACAAGCACCCCACCACCCCACCACCCCACCACCCCACCACCCCACCACCCCACCCCACCACCACCACCCATTCCACCACCCACCACCCCGCCACCACACCCACAACCCCACCCACCCACCCCACCCACCCACCCACCCACCCACCCACCCACCCACCCACCCACCCACCCACCCACCCACCCACCCACCCACCCACCCACCCACCCACCCACCCACCCACCCCACCCACCCACCCACCCACCCACCCACCCACCCACCCACCCACCCACCCACCCACCCACCCACCCCCACCCACCCACCCACCCACCCACCCACCCACCCACCCACCCACCCACCACCCCACCACCCACCATTCCACCACCACCCACCATTCCACCACCACCCACCATTCCACCACCACCCACCACCCACCACCCACCACCCACCCCACCACACCCACCCACCCCACCACACCTATCCCACCCACCAGCCATCTACTTTTTGCAACGAGAACGCCACAGCAGTCACCCCACCACCCCACCACCCCACCCACCCCACCCCCCACCCACCCACCCACCCACCCACCACACCCACCCCACACCCACCCACAACCCCACCATCGCCACCCCGCGCCTCCGCCACCGCGATGAAGGCCGCGGGGATGCCCAGCCCCGCGAAGAGGCCGAAGCAGCCGAAGCCGCAGCAGAGCGCCAGGTAGGAGCGCGTCAAGAAGAGGCCTCTCCGCAGGCGTCCCCATGCGGAAAAAAACGTCCATGGGCGGGGGGCGGGGGGGGAAGTGGGGGGGAAGGGGGGTTTAGGATTTTTTGGGGAAACAAAATTCGATGGGTCTAGGGGTGTATTCCTTCAACCATTTTTTCAACCTTGGTCAAATAAGCTCAGGTGAGATCCCCAACAGCATGCGGTGCTCTTTTTAGTACTCGCACCACCCCGCAGCCCTCGCAGAACCTCGCGGAACCCTCGTGGCCCTGGTGGAACCCTGGCGGAACCGTCGTGGAACCTTACCTCAGGGCCGCCCCAGACCACCCCGGAGCCTTCTGGGCTGAGACCCCAAAGCTTTCAGCTGTTGGGGGAAGAAAAGAATAAGCGCTGTTTTCCGTGGCTTTCCGGAGGTTTTCTAGAAACAAGGATCCCTGGAAGGAATGGGGAATGTACCCCTAGAAACATGGCGAAAAAACATCAATGGGGGGGGGACCAGGGCCGTGGGGAATGGAATCCACTTCTATGATACAACAGAAAGGGCCTAACCCCAAAGACGAAATTGTTCATAAGGGGCATTCCCGAAGATATCACAGGGGATACACCCCTTGATCGCACAACCCTGGGGGAGAACGTTGGGAGGAACCCATCAACATAGATGTGATCTCCATGTGCACAAATACACGTCCCAAAACTCGGGGGAAACAAATCGATGGGTCTACCTTCCATTTCCATTCTGAACACACGGATCCGAATTTGTTTTCAGGAAACCATCAAAAACCCAGGGGAGACAACCGGCTTTTGAAAAGAACGATGGGTGAAAAGAATGGACAAGGAATCAACCATTCGAATGCGGGGACTGGGAGGAACCCATCAACATAGTGATCTCCATGTGCAAAAAGAAAAACACGACTGGGGGGAAACAAGGGAGGAACCCATCAGAGGTTTCAAGGGCATAGTCTGCATGCTCCTGTGCAATCGAAGACCTTGACTGAAATACTAAACATGTCTCCGTCTGACTCCTTAAAGAATGTGGTCTACCAAAACTGTTGGGGGGAAAAATGGGTGTCCCAAAAAATGGGACAACTCGAAGGGGGAATTCGGAAGCCCTGGTACTTTCCCTCAGACTAACAGCCGGAAGCTCCCAGAAGACCTTTGTACATTGAACCATGTTAGCCTGAGGGTAATGGTTTACAAGACCAATCTCTAAACCTGCGAAACCCATCTATTTCGAACCAAACTCATCGATCAAGAAAAGACACCTGCTGTGGATGGTTGCGAAATCCGTTTCGCACCACGAAACAAATCCATGGAAATGAAACCATCACGTTTGGTCGTAATTTACGTCGGGGAATCGACTCATTCCAGGGTTGCTGATTTCGGTGGTGCGATTTCGCGGGATGTCGCAGCTTGCCATCCACAGTTATGGGGCGACCAGATCGCGACTTCGCGACTTCCCGGATCCGACCCTCGCGAGGGAAAAACGAAGAAGACGAGAAAACGTATTTGCCCCAAGGTTCGGTGGCTGTGTTTTGTTGATCGGTCACCAAAAGAACATTCATTTGTACTTGGTCCCCATACCCACGCCATATCCTGATGTTGGGCTGAGAGGTTTCGCGTTTCAGGGAAGCTTTTTTTTTCGCTTATTCCGGTTCCGGCAGCCTCCGATCCGCCTACCAATTTTGATGCCTAAGCCTAATAAAACCCCATGGAAACGAGTCTGTCTCAAAATCGGAGTCCTTTTTGGATGGTTTGAAATGAGAACCGAAAGGAAACCAACCACCCCCTAAAATCGGTTCAAAGGGAAAAAGGAAAAGGAACACCTCCCATGTGCAGCTCCCCATTCGGAACACGATAAGCAAAACATAGAACCGCCGTGAGGCCCCCCCACCCGAAGGTTGGTATATCTTCTGTCTTGGCTTCGCACAAAGGGCCCCGAAAACGGCAAAAAACGGCTGTCCGTTCGTTTGCATTCCCTAAGCACAAAACAACAAAAAGTATTTCAACCTACACACATCACACCCCGACTTAAAATGCTTAACATGGCTCGAATGGTGATGTCTTAAAAGCACAAACAAGCCTCTGGGTGAGTCTTGTCTGGCGCCCCATTTTTGGTGCTTAAAAGAGCAAGAGGAGAACCACCCATTGGGGGGGTCCCCCTAAAATAAGACACTTCCCATATCGTTTTGAAAGCGGCGCTTCCCAAACCTCCCCCCTGGATCTATGCAACCATTTCCACGGCATTCCCCATGGAAAAGTGTGTGTGTGTACGACCAAAGAAGGACATGCAGAATTGTATTAGTTTATTCACAGCTATGGCTGTCTATGCCTTAAACAACCAACATCCAAACGTGTAAACACATCGCCATCGATGAGCAAAAGGAAGCCCAGGTTCACAGCGTGGTTTGGGGTCCCGAAGCGCAGATTTGTCAGGGGTACCTTTTTGTTGCTTTACAGGGGGGAAAACCAAAGGGGAGAAACCCATCTTTGTTGGGGCATCCCTGAAGAGAAGAAAAACAAAACGTGGCCACCACCTCCCAATCCAGGCAGACAATCCCTCCCCCCCGAAACCGGAAACCCACTGCATGCCCAGTTCCCAGCCCTCGCGCGCCTAGCGCCGAAACCGTCATGCCGCAGTAGGCCAGCAGTATGGGCAGGCGCCGGCCAGCCCAGTCGCCCAGCGAGCCTGACACGGACAACAAAATCCGCCGGAAAAAGGCAGTTAAAAATGGGTGGGCTCACTTCCCATCGAGTTGATGGGCCAGAAAAAAGTACACGAACCACTTACATGGTTCAAACCCAAAAAGTTTAAAGTCCGTGAACTCAGGAAGTGAGTGGGGTTGTCTCTCTTTGGCCACCTTGGTTTTCTGGGTTTGAAGGGAAACTGATGGGGAGCCAACAGTTTTCCAAGAACTTCGATTTTGAGACAAACCCACATGGGTGTGTTCTTTCTTTAGGGTTCGGTTCGGACCCCCCAAAATGGTGAGCAAAACCTCTTTCTTCCTCTCTTCCCTTTAAAGCCAACAAAGATGGCACAAACTCAAACCAAGACGAGCCACCCAAAGAAAAGCTCGGCGTCGGTCCTCCCTTTTAGCATTCCTCAAAGGTTGAGAAGTGAGTACGGCCCCTCCCTGAAGGGCGCCGCGAAAAAGCGCCGTGGCTCTTCCCGTCGGAACCGGAGTTCCAGTCCGTCCGCGCTAAAAAGAAAAAAAAAAGAAGAAGGGAACAACGCCGCAGAGATGTTTGCTCTGGCCCCGGGTTTTCTCGCTGCGCCAAAGGTTCAGAATTTTTGGTCAAGGGTCGAGACGCCACCAAGGAGGGGGCCGGAATTGAGCCTAACGAGCACGTGGTCCATACGGTGGATGGACGAAATCCATTTCGCACCACCCAACAAAGCTTGGGATGATGATTCCCCTGTAAATACCAACAAATATTGGTTGACCATTGATTCAAAATGGTGCAGGATTCCGTCCATCCACAGTATTCCTGTTACCCTACGTGGAAAAATTGCAGAGTTCCCTGGTTTTGGGAGGAAATAAAAGAATGGGACCCCAAATAGAGGATCGGATACCACAAAAGTCTATATGAACCCCCAGGGCGGACTTTGGCACCGATTTGGATCTGTCTTTCGTTGAAGGGAGCCCTTCCTTGGTTGGTGTCACACGGAAACCCAAAGGAGAACAGGGGGCTCCAGCTCCTTTAACAAGACGAGCCACCTACGTATTTCTCTTTATTGTTGACCCCCCTATTAATCAACCCCAGTTTATTAATAGGGGGTTCCCCTCCAAAAGTGAACAATCCCCACTAAAACCAGGGAGCCCCCCAGAGGAATAAACAGGGGTTTATTGATAGGGGGTGTTCATTAAGTTGATCGTTCTCGCCTGAGGACAGCGTGCCCAGGGCGAAGCCCAGATAGGTCGCCAGCATCTGGGCCTCTTGCGCCAGGTCCCCCTTGACCTTGTGCTCCTGAAGAGATCTGAGTCACAATCAAAACCCGCTATTAAAATGGTCGTAATCCCAGAACCATGTAAAGAATTAAGAAGACGGCCGCAGCTATTTCTGGCTGGGACTGCCCCTTACTAATCTTCATCTACCCGGATTTTGATTGTGGCTCATCTGACGACTTTCTGACATGGCCGTGGCCGTTTTTGAATAGGGGGAATTTGAGGCGTGCGAAAGAGCTGGAATGGGGGGGTGGGAGGGTGGGGTACCATTAAGCTAAGTCTGGTCACAATTTTGCAGGTTTACTACTAGTCGTTCTTGTGCCCCTTATTTCACCCCTTGTTGGGTGGTTTGAGGGAAACCAAACGGAAACCAGCCTCTCTTTTTTTGGGGGGGGTCCCTGATGTTGCGGCAAATCCACATAGACGAACCTTGGATACCTGCACAACAAGCTATCCAATGCTCTACCCTCAACAGATTGAGTCATAATCAAAACCTGGTATTAAAATGGTCGACCCGGAAGTGTTTTGGGTCTGAAAAGATAGCAGGAAAGCAGGAGCTTCCTGGCTCGCGTGGCTCGTGTGGCTTTGTAGCCAACTCAAAATGAACAGAAGAAGCAAACTATTAGGGCAAAAAAAGAAGAAACAACATGAGCCAGCAGTTCATGCTTTCTTGCGGAACCTCGCTTTTGAAATACAGGGAAAGGGTTGGGCGATTCAACCAGAAGTTAAAATGTCAATAAAACTGTAGCAACTTTGGCTTTCCTTTGAAGGGTCGAAAGAACCCAACCCCCCACCCCCAGAAGCAAGATGCTCAAGCACTTCTTTGCAAACAACTATTGATTTGTGGCATGCCCAAAAGTTAGGATTTGGAGCCAGTTCCTTTTGGTCCCCTTCAAACCACCCTGTCAAAGGGTGCCCATGGGCTTTCCGCTGGTTTCAAGCGCGGGGTCCGAGCGACTTTTCTCAGAAGGTGGGTCTAGCAGCCTTCCAACGTGGTCGCTGGATCTCCAACCATTTTCCCCATGCTTGTGGAAAGAAAAATTATTCCGCAACATCAGGGTGGACCTCCTGTTAACCGTGCCTGTTCGACGGGGGTCTCTGGAGAAATTTAAAAAGTGGACCCATTGGCCCTCGGTTGCGAAATCTGCGAAGCCCTGCTGAAAGTGACTGACTTTTTAGTGGTTTAGTGGAAAACCCACGAGTTGGCAAAAAGTTAAAGCCCTAGCAGCCAACCAAAATGCACCAAAGTGCTGCCAGTACTGGTGTTTTCCGTTTTCCTTGAACCAATCGCGTTTGGAGCTTCCCCAAAAGGAAATGGAGGGAGCCGTGCAGACTGCTCGGACAGCCTACCTTCGGCGCTCGGGGCCTGGTACCATATGTGGCTCTGTCCTTTTTTGCGGGTGAGAGAGTTCATCTCCAGGGAAGAGGACACCCAACATGGCAACGGTATCCTTTTGGCTGCTCTGCAAACCAAAAGGGGTACCCAAACTCACTTGCCCAAAGGACAAAGAAATAAAAGGTTAACCTTTTGGGGTCATGACTAAAACTAGACCAAAACGGAGAAACCAAAAGGTCAAAAGGTCGGCTTTGGGCAACTGAGCAAATCACAGAACCATATTTAGAAACACATTTTAGCTTTTAGTTCAAAGCCTAGGAAATTCTGTCCCAAACCAACCCCAACAAGCGGGAAAGTGCATGCTTCCAATTTCTCGGATATCAACTAATGCCGAATCCGTCGCCCCGAACACACGGACATCAATACAATTATTTCGCTTTCGCGGACCAATGTGTTGCAGCCCCACGCGAGTATTAATGAAAACCTAGTATTCAAGCAGTCTACCCAAAACCATGTAAAGACACTCACACGGCCAGAATTCATGGCCAACTGCCCCCCCCTCTCTCTCCCCCCCCCAACCTTGAGTTCTTATTGTGGCTCAGGGGGAAAAAACAACTTGGTTCAGAAACCCACAAGAGATGCGCCGGGGGCGCGCCATTTCTTCTTTGGCATCGGCCCTCGGAAGCCAGCGCATTTCGCGCCAGCCATCGCTTGAAACACGTCCTTCTAAGCTTGGTTGACGTTGAAAGGGGAGCAAAAATTCAAATTTTAGCAGTTAAGTGGGGATGTCCCACTACACCACAATAAGCAAAAATGTAAAATGTTTCCCAACAACAACCATGAAAGCGACATTGATTCCCTATCGAACCAATTAGGATTTTTCGGTGCATGGTTCTTGGGTCTCCGTTTAGGAGATCTCCAGGCTCCTTCCCCGATCCGTTTGCCTGAGAACTTCAGCAGGTAACCCCCTACTCAAAAAAAAACACTTTTTCGAGGGTATTTTGTCAAAAACACCTGGGCTTCCATGGTAAATTCCTGCTTTTTTGGTAGAGGGTCGACATCATACCCTAAAAAAGGCCGGGTATTTGGAGTAGGGGGAAGCAAAAGACAGAGACGCCGCTTCGCCCTCACGTGGCGCTTTGTCGCTTCTTCAGCAGCACCATGTCCAGCCACGCCTCTCCTTTCCTGGGTTGCCCCAACTCCGCCCATCCCCCAAAAGGGGAACGAGCAAGACCTTTTCTCGGTTGCTTTCTGCTCCCCTGCTAACAGTTTAACTTTTAGTGGTTTAATGGAAAACCCATTAGTTGGCAAAAAGTTAAAGTCCTAACATCCAAGCAAGATGCACCAAAGTGTTGTAGGTACTGTGCACGGACGAAATCCAGAAATCGCACCACCTAAGAAACCCTGGTTTCTGATGATTCCCCGGACAATAGCAAACGAACGTGATGGTTCCAGCCATGGTTTCATTTCGTGCTGCGACATGGATTGCGTCCACAGTACGGAGAAGCCAGTCACACTTCCAAAGGGCGCCCTTACTTCCTTACCGCTGAGTACTCAGTGATAGTGTGTGGTCCATGTCCATCCCATGGTAAGGGGCGATTTGGTCAAGGGGTTCAAATCCAAATCCAAGCCACCCATCCAACTAAACAAATAGGTTCCCTGACAACAACACAAAATGGGGCCGAAGGTTAACCTTTTGGGGCCAAAATTGGAAAACCAAAAGGTCAAAAGGTCGGCTTTGAACAACTGAGAAGAACATACTGTGGATGGATGAAATCCATTTCGTACCACTTTGAAACCATGGTCGAAACATTGTTTGCTTTGTATTCTCGGGGAATCGCCCAAAACGGTTGGGATTCGAAAAGGTGGTGCAATTTCAGGATTTCGGGTTTCCATCCGCAGGATTTGTCCAATGATTTCCCTTTTAAGCCCACCATCCCATGCTACCAGGGGCCTTTAGCATCACCCAACCACCCAAGCGCCGTGAGCCACGTCTCCGATTCAGCTCGCTTCTCACTGACAGCCCGTCCCCGTGCTGCACGAATCCGGGGACCTGAGAAGAAGGGACCGCGTAGTAGCCTCGGTCTTTTGCTTCGCTGAAAGGCAAGTACCCCCTCCCGGTTTGTTGTTTGGTTGATGTTGAATGGTTAAACCTTCCAAAACAAGAAGTTGAAATTGCTTGACTTTTTGTTGGTTATGTCGAACCTTCCCAAACCAGAAGTTGAACACACATGGTTTTTGATGGGTTGCTTATTATTCTTCTTAAGTCCCGGGAAACCTTCCCAAGACTTCAAAAAAGTCACAGGATCTGAGAAACGGTTTGCTGGGCCACTTTCATCTCCCATCTCAAAATGTCCTGTCATTACGAATGAGCAAATGACCCTTATAAACCTTGGCTGGAAATGTTGACCCCAGCAAAAGACCATACTGTATTTTTTTGCCTGGTTGGTGGAAAGCAAAGAAGACCTCAAAAAAAAAGAAGAAAACAAAAGGAGCTAATTCCTGGGAAGAAACCATCCAACCGGCGGTGTCCTTTAAGGGGACCAAAGCCTGGAGTCATTCCATGTCACCTTCCCCACCGATTTCGCAGCAGCAAGACTACCGGGAAATAGAGAAAGGACAATAGGGAGACAAATGGAGAAGCAACCAGTGACGGAAACCCCAAAAACGAGGTAACCCCCCAAACCCCAGAACAGCAAACCGCCACTCCAAGCCACCAATTCAGCTTCACCTGCAAAGGAACAGTGATGTTTCGAATGGGTTTGCCCCAAAAAACACGAGCTAATTCTCCAGTGACTCCTTTTCATTGGACACCTTCCCCCCCAATAAACAAACCCCCAAAAAACGAAGGTAATTCTCCAGTGACCCTGTTCGTTGGACGCCTCCCCCGGCCCCAAGTTCATTGGACGCCTCCCCCCAAAAAAAAGAAGAAGAAAAACGGAAAAGACGTCGGCTCGCTCCACCCGGTCCAAAGCCGCGTGCCTTCCTAATAAACCCGTCGACTCCCCCAAATCCACGTCCGCGCCGCGGATCCGGTCGGAGACCGCCGCCAGTGCCACGTCGTTGGCCAGGCACCCGGGCGCCGAGGCGTTCCAAATGGCCCCGTGCAGCGCGTTGGCGATTTGGACCAAAGAGGACGCTCGGTAGAGCATGGCGTAGAAGCCGTAGCTCACCCCGTGCCTCTGAAAAAGTTTTGGTTTAGGTACCAACAGATTCTAGAAATGCTTGGAAAATAAGAAACAACCATTTGTCCAACAGCTGCCTGAACTGAACTTGCCTGAACTGAACTGAAGAGTTTTGGAATATACCAACAGTAGTCTAGAAATGTTTGGAAAGTATAGTGCCTGAACTGAAGAAGTTTTGGAAGGTACCAACAGACTTTTTTAATGTTTGGAACATATGCCAACCATTTGTCCAACAGCCTCAGATTCTGAAACATATTTGAGTCTGCCTCAAGAGATTTGAAAAATATACCACCCATGTTTGAGATGTTGCTTCTGCTTCATGGTGGTACTAGATTGAAAAAATGGAGAAGACGCCCAAACGAACCTTCGCACAAACCAAATCTGAGTATACCTCGTGCTCAAAGATCCACTCTGCATTTGAGCGTATCTTTCCTGAGGGTACCCCTTTTTGGGTAAGTGTTAAAGGAACACCAACAGGAACACCAAAATCCACGTAGATTACGGGTCCGAAACCAACAAAAAAACAAGACGAGCCTGCATTCGACTCATGTTTCACCTTTGCCTTTTTTGGCGGTTTCAAATTGAAACCAAAATGAGAACCGCCATTTTAGTGGGTCATGTTCAAGGCCCTCCAGTGGAGAGGTTGGAATAATAAGGGTACCCTTTTCTCTGTAGTCTATTTCAGTAGGTGAACCCCTCCCGAAAAAGTTGGTAAAAGGGCCAAAACTAGGGGGACCTAGTGTTCCGTTTTAGGTCCATTCGACTCCGCAGCCATAGACTCCATTTTCCAGCCATCCGCCTAAACCACCATTTGAGTGGGTCCAACCTTAAAAAACCAGGACATACTCCCCCATTTGAAACTCGCTTCCGCAGCTCGGCCAGTTGAGTGGGTCATTTTTTTAGCATTGTAGTTGGCCATTTTCCGGCCAGATCCCTATGTTCCGTTTCGGGCTCCATTCGAAACTCCCCTCTTCCGCATTCCGCCCCCGTCCCGCAGCTCCCCTCCTGCACATCTATTTGTTTAGCCCTCCGCCGAAACCAGCATTTCAGCTGGTTGCCTTTTGCTGGTTGGCCACCTTACCCTTGCGGCGGGCAAACCGCCGCTCCCAACAGCAGTTGGTGACCATAATGTCAACTCCTACAAACCTATGAAAAACTTCGCAGATTCCGTCTCCCGTTGCGTCAAATAACGAGGTGATACCACTCACGTCATTTGAAAAGCGGTGAAGTATTGAGATTTGTTGATCAAAAGATTCCCTCGTAACCTTCTAGGCAATTCCAGGGATCTCACTCAACAACCATGCGCCCCCTCCGTGATTACAGCCTTGCTTGTTCGGTTTAACCATCACCTCACCAAAAGGAAACTCCTTTGCTAGCATAGCTCAAGCTATAGGCCACGAAAATGGAAATATGCGGACCCCTGGAAAAAACCCGCACTTTCCCCATCTCCCCTCCTGCACATCTCCTCCGGCTCGTTCACGTCCGGCTGGATCCTCGCCAGCTGCGGCGCCACGCAGGCGCCGTAGGGGCACTGGGACCGCAGGGAGATGACCTGCCAGTCGCAAGGCGCCTCGCTTCTCAGCAGCCGCCGGAGCCGCAGCTGGAAGTCGTCCTGGCGAAAACGCGAAAAAACGCCCAGCTCGTGTCCAGCTTTGGTCGCTGCACTTCTTAGCGAAGCCCTGCCAAAAGTGACGCACTTTTAGTGGGTTGATGGGAAAACCCAGTGGTTGGCACAAACTTAAAGTCCTAACATCAACAAGTTTGATTGGATCCCCACGGATTTTTGGGGGGAGAGGGGGTCAATTCCAGTGATCTAGTTGGTTATTTTTAAGGGCACCTCTTGGAGGGTTGAACCCTTTTTACCTTCTGAGCTGGGGGGCCCCCAATTCAATTTGAGGGTTCCTGTTTTGTGGTTGATAGTGAAAACCACCAGCGTTGGTTGGATCCCAAAGCTGGTTTTTGGGGGGGGGAGCGGATCCTTCTTTCTAGAAAACCACCAAAACCTCAGGTGGTGGATCCGGATCAAAGCTGGTTTTTGGGGTCCCCAAAACCCATTGGGGGCAGGAGGTAACTTCTAGGGATCCTTCTTTCTAGGGTAACTTCTAGGGTTTTTGGTTGATCCCAGCTTTTCTAGGGGTAACTTCCATTTCCATTCTGAATCCAGGGATCCAATCTTTCTAGAAAACCGCCCAAAGTCCTGGGGGAATGGCGATCGGTCTCTGAGAAACGAACGATGGCTGAAAAGAATGGGGAATCAACCCCTAGAGCTTTGGTTGGTTAAAACCGGCATAGGTGTCTTTTTAGGGGAAATAGATGGGTTTCCCTGGTAGATGATGAAACCACCAGGTAAACCAGGAATTGCCATCTATTTTTCGAGCAAAACAACCAAAAGGACACCTATGCCCACGGGTTTTTTGGGGGGAGGGGGTGTCTGCCATGGATCTAGTTGGTTGTTTTTAAGGGGAAACCAAAGCGAAACCAACTCTTGGAGGGTTCCTTCAATAGTGAAACCCATGTTTGAGCTATGGTCAAAACTCCAACTTTGGTTAGATCCCCACGCCTTTTTGGGGTCCCCCACTTCCCACGGGTCGAGTCTTCAAACGGAAAAGGGGCCGCCAGAAAGGGAGATCTCCAGCTCAGTCCTCAAAACTCCGAGTTTGTGTCTTTGGCGGATTGGGTCGTTTTCAGGGTACCTTTTCTTGGTTGTTTTGAGGCGAAACCAAAGGGAAACCACCTCTTGGTGGGTTCAAAGCCATACCTGGACCTTCCGGGGGTCAAAAATTCTAGGCGTTGGCCAAAAAACACGTGTTTTTGGTCGTTGGAGGGAAAAAATGCCGTTCGGGCGGAAAAAACGCCGGCGGTCATATTTGTTTGCGCCGCAGTCGGGAATGTTTGCCTGTTGGTCGGGAATTGTCGCCTGTTGGTCCGGAATTTTCACCGGTAGATTCGGGAAGATTGCGCTTCACACCCAAATTTCTTGCCAAAAACGGCCGTAGTCGAAAAAAACACGCGCAATTGCCCCAAAAGGCAATTCGTAGCGAAAAGGCGGAAATTGTGAGCATGCAGGAAGGTCCAGGTAGTACCATATGGGTGGCTTGTCCTTTGCTTTTCCTTCAGGCTTCGGACAGTGGTGTTCCTTTAAAGACCACCCAAAAAAGGGGGTGCCTCAAAACAAAGACACGACAAAAGAGGAGCCATGGTCAGAACTCCCCTTTGTTGAGTTGGCCGATTGGAGCATGGTTTCAGGGGGGCTGGGGAGGAGGGAGGGGGGGGGGGAGGGACCCCAAATAAGGTGTTAGTAGGGGCTTAAGGGCTTATGTCTCCCCCTCCCTCCCCCCTTCTCCCCTGCCCCCCACGATGGTTCCTCTTTTTCTCTTAAGAATCATGTCAATGGCTATTAAACATCCTTTCCCTCTTTCCCGTAACAAGAATGCTTTTGAGGGTTCCGGCTTTCGGAACTAAAGGGAAACCACCTGAAGGGTTCCTGCAATCGTCAAGCCCATATGACAGATTGGTTCAAGCTCCTTTTTGTTCTTTCACATAAAACGAAAAATGGATTACCATAAACGCACCCCCTCACCCAATCTCATTTTTAAGCGGGTGGGGGGATTTGTGTTGGCCTATGACGTCATGGTTCACTTTTTCCCTTAGGAATCTAAGGCCCTTCCCAGGTGGATGACCATCCGTGTTTGGCCTTTTGGCACATGTGGCAACGGCTTCCCTTTTGGTTTACCTGGGAAAAAAAGGCGGGGGGTCCCCCTCAGATGTGGTTGGTGAACATGAATCCCCGGGCAATTTCTGATGCCTAGAGGGTCCGCAATTCAGATTCAGGCCGATGCTTTGGTAACCCAAAGGAGCTACGGTTGCAACCCAAAGTCATGGTTGTACCTCCCGCAAGTTAGATCAACCTGATTGCAACAAATGTTTCAACCAGCCCGGTGCCCTTTGAAGGGAAGCCAAAAGCGTGGCCTGCTACCCTAAGGGAAGCCAAAAATGGCTCTTTTTTTGGAGTCAGTTCCTGTAAAATGGAAACGACACGGAAAACCACGTTCTTTATTTTTCTTCTTCTTTCGCTTCTTCTTCTTCTTCTTCTTCTTCTTCTTCTTCTTCTTCTTCTTCTTCTTCTTCTTCTTCTTTGCCTTCTTTTTCGGAAGGGGTCCAACCCAACTGGTTGAGACGCCACCCTTTCAGCGCCCCTTTCACCCATTGACTTTGCTTTCGGAAGGTGTTACTCTCATCCTCACAAACCAGGTAGAACCACCCGCAAAAATTGAGGTCTTTCACGCTCTTTTTGTTAGGGATCCACCAGCCAAAATGGCGATGTTTGCCTTTTGGCTTCCCTTTAACCCAAATGAAAGTTACCCTCAAAAAAGGCGACCCTTTCTCAAAGGGTTTCTCAGATGCCCAGTGGCCATGGAAATAAACAGGGCACCCTTTTTTGGTTGCTTGAGTTTAAAGGAATCGGAACCCTCACCCAAAAAGAAATCGAGGAAAAAAAGGAAGCAACCCACTGGGCAACAGGGACCTTACAAACGTCTGGCTGTGGCTCAAACACATGTATCCAAACTGGCACCTTGGTAAATGGAAACCAATTAGAACCTCCGTAAACCATACCCTCCTTTCATTTTGACCCACCGCCATCTTTCGTTTTGGTGCGTGTGTGTTCTTTTGTCGGTTTCTTTTTTTTTTTTGGGGGGGGGGGGGGGTTGCTTCGTCTCGTCCTCCAGCCACACGTCGTCCTCCAGGATCAACACCAGCGGCTGTCGCCTCTCGACGCTGGCGCCGGCGGCGGCGGTCCACAGCGCGCGCAGGTGCCCTGCCGCGCAGCCCACGGTGCCCAGGCCGTAGGACTCAAGGTACCGCCGCGCCGCCTCCTGGCGAAGCGGCTGGGAGGGATTTTGGGTTGCATCATTTTTCGTCCGTTTCTTTTCCCGAAAAAAAGCGAAGGGTTCTTCCGTTGGATTCATGGGAGTTATCATCATGAGAGTCATTGCAAAGAGTTATCATCAGGGAGGGAGGGATTGTGTTTGTTTGTTTTTGTGCTTGTCCCCCCATTTTTTTGTCCGGATGGCCTGGTCTGTTTGGGACCAAGCTGGCCCAATGTCCTGGGAAGGATCGATGCCTAACATGAGAGCTTAGGTCCCGGAGAAGCAAAGAAGGCAGGATCTGATGGACCGGTTCTTTGATGGTCTTTTGGTGGGCCAAAGTGGCAATGCGAAGCTTGTCCATTGGGTTTCACCCCAACCTGAAAAAAAAAAGAAATCCGTTTCGATCATGGGCACCCCGGGAGAGGGATCGAGTTGGAGCCCCATGGCCTGGAAGGAAGGGATCCGAAGGGCCGATCTGTGGCTGATGTGTGGCCCCAGTTTGGTGGAGCGTGGCGCTCTGGAAGTGTCCGCTGGGTGTTTCCCTTGAAATGAGGTTCAAACCTGGCACCCGAAGGAGAAAGAAAACGGGTCATCCTTGCTGGTTTGGATTGGTTGGGGTTCACAAACCCCTGGTTCTCGTTGAGGGATCCGGGAACCTGCCCTACCAGGCTCCAAACCACCAAACGGGGTACATGGCTCCGATAAAAGCCATCGGCTCCAGCCGAAGCGTAAAGCAAAACAACCCGATTTGGCCAAGCCGCAATGACTTTAAACACCATGAAGATACATGAAGAAACTTCTTTCCGCCCACCAAGTCTTTAAGCCCATCGTTTGAACACCTGCGAAGACAACCTACTTTTGGCTTCCCTGTAATGTTGACCCAGGATTACTGAACCCATCCCATTGATAGGGGGAGGTTCCCTCCAAAAGCCATCTCAATCCCTACTAAAAGGGGACACCCCCCGATCAAACTCAACCAGGGGTTCCACTTTATATCCGGGGTTCACCTTAAAAGGGGGCCAAGCACCACCCAAGCACCGGAAAAACGGGACGGGCTGTGATTTCACCTCGCCCGCGCGCGCCCGCGCGCGCGTTTTCGCTCCCTTCTGCCCTCTCCTCAGAGCTGTTCCGCAAGAGCCGCACCATCCTCTGCTTGGCCGAGCTGAAGTTCCAGTCAAAGGGCACCAGGCCTTCCTTCCGCGCCTTGGACCAAGAGCGTTAACAAAAATCCGCGCCTTGGACCAAGAGCTTCGTTCCCATCAGCCCAAAAAGAGTGTGTAAAAAAAAGTGGCACGGTTGATGATTTTTTTCTTCTGGGAATCGAACCAAGCTCCAAGCAGTGGAACCCATCCATATTCAACCAAGCTGACCTACAAAGGCCACCTATGGTTCCCGTTCTTTCCTCTTCAAATCTCACCCTCCACAGGGAAACTCGCATTTAAATTGGCGTTTCAACCACCCCACCCCGACCACCCCTTGCGCTTCCGTCCGGCCTGCTCCATCCCCTCCGACACGTCCACCCCGTCCACGCGGGTGGCATTGATGCCCAGCTGTTTCAAGCGCGAGGACATGCGCTCCCAGCGCGTGCTCGCGGAGGCCAGATTCAAGACATAGACCGCCACGGTCCTGGGACAACTGACGCAGCTTTTTTTGGTGACAAATTTAGACAGGGCTCCTCAGATGTCCAAAGTGTTTGTTGTTTTTTCTCCTGATTTTTGCGTTGTGTTTTTTCCGAAAATTGATACAGGGTTCCTCAGATTTCCATTTGGGGTCAATAGGATTCGTCAGGGTTCCTTACACCTCCTTAGGGTGCTATAGGGCGCCTTTAGGGTTCCATAGGGTGCAATAGATTCGCCAATTGTTTGGTTGGTGAGTTGGTTTACCGGGCATCGAGCAAAAGGTCGATGAAGAAACCTGTAGGTATGGAAAAGCTGAATTCCTTGGCAACAGGGGGTCCTTACCTCCTTGAGTACTCTGAATAAGCTTGAGTTGTCCATTCCCATCTCCCAGGGTACCATAAGGGGCGATTTTGTCATCCCCATCCAAACTGCAAACCACCATTTCGGGTGTTGGGGATGAACTGGCTTTGGGGATCCTAACGGAAACCAAATCGGGGATGGCTTGTCTAGAGATCATTCTGTTTCGGCGCACCCACTCCACCAAGAGGTCAATACTTTGCGGCGAGATCTGATTAATCCCCCCCCCCCCACTTACTAACTAGTAAGCAAAAGAACGGGGGTGGGGGGGTTCATCAGGGTCAACATTACCCTCCAAAAAGACGGGGACCCAAAAAAATGGCACGAAAATGGAACCAAAGACTAAACAACCTAAGCGGTTTGCTGTGGCTCTTTCATTTTCCGCCACATGTGTCTTTTTTTGGGGGGGTGCCCATGTTTTGCGGTCTTAAAGGGAAACCAGTCGCCCAAAAACAACGAGACCCAGTGTGCCCTGAATCCGAATCGAGATGCCTCAGCTTCCTTCCAATTGATTTGGACTGGTGGTTTGGTGGTGAAACGGAGGGGTTCCCATGCTCAGAACCAGAGGTTTAATCCCAAACCACCGAGCTCCAAACCAATTCCCACCAATTCAGCAGGGATCCGGATGCATGAAAAACACCGATCGAACATTGGAACCTGTAAATGGTGGTTTCCAACTTTAGTTTGGTGTTGAAAAAGCAACATGTAACTCAAATGGTTGCAAAATGGAGATCTTTTAAGGAGCCCTTTTCAGGCTCACCTGGCTTTTGCCATCAAGGAGGGGTTTCCCAATCGAAACCCTGGCAAACCACCGATCCTCAGACGCCCACCAAACTCACTTGCCCCAAGGACCCAGAAATAAAAGGTGATCACCTTTTGGGGTCATGACTAAAACTAGACCAAAAAGGAGAAAGGTCAAAAGGTCGATTCGCTTTGGGCAACTGAGCAAAAGCCCCGGGCAGCGATCCCCAGACGCCCACCTCACCCCGAAAGATGCCATGGCTCCGGTCGAACCAGAACTCCGCTTCCTGGCGCTGGATGCGAAAGGTGACCTTCCCCTGCTCCGACGCGGCGGGCGCCAGCACGGCGCCATGCGAGGGCCTAAGCCCAGCTTTGTGCCCAAAGGGGGGGCTTTTTTGGAGCCGAGGTTGGTGCTTTGGTGGAACGGAGGGGTGGTAAACCCCAATGTACATAGGCGTTTTGTTGAGGGGAAATAGATGGGTTTCCCTGGTAGATGATTAAAACACCAGGTAAACCAGGGCCATCTATTTGTTCTATCAAAACAACCAAATAGGACACCTATGCCCATGTACCCTCGACAGGAAGGGGTTCAAGTCCCAAACCACCAATGCAAACCAGCGAAGGGTTACCTGATAAGCAAGCAAGGGACGGCAAAAAACAGGCTTGGGGGGGCCCTCACCGATCTTTCTCTTGCACCCTTGCTTTGAAAGTTCACTTCAAAGGAACCGCCCCCAACCCCCCCCCCCCCGGCAAAAAAAAAGGAACACCAATACCCCCAAACAAAAAACAGTGGTAGATCAGACAAATCGTCTGCAGCTTCTTGTAGCTGGTGCGATAAGTAGGGAATGCGGGAACGAACCGGAAGGGGATCCCCGAACAAAGGAACTCACCAGTTGGACAATTTATCTCGGGGTCATTCCATTCATAGGTGTCCATTTCCGGAAAATAGATGGGTTTCCCTGGTAGCTGATTGAACCACCAGGCAGGCAAAGGAATCACCCAAAATATATGTCAACCGAACCAAGAAGGACACTTATGATTCCATGTCTTCTTGCTTGTGCGATATGACCCCCTCCATAAACCGTCCAACTGGTGGTCTCCTGTCAGGAAACCAGGGAAAGAGGGAATGACCTATAAACCATCCAACTTGGTCTCCTTTCAGAAAAAAAGAAAGAATGAAAAGCCACCGGCTTCACTCCCATGTCTCTCCTTCCCCCCCGCATCCCTCTTGCCCCGATTTCGCTCGCCGCGTCCGTCCATCGGGACGAGGCGCTGATCGCAGAGCTCCGGGCGCCGCAAGGCCTCCAGCGTCGTGTCGTCCGTCGCCTTGGTTGACGTTGGAAGGGGAGCAAAACAAAAACAAATTTTGGCAGTCAAGTGGAATTGGAGTTCAACCGCTCAACCACACTAAGCAAACATGCAAAACTAGGTCCTCCAGTAGAGAGGTTAGAATAAGGGTACCAACCTTTTTCTGTAGTCTATTTTAGTAGGGGAACCCTCCCCAAAAACAGGGTAAAAGGGCACTACTGGGGGACCTTCTATTTACCTCTCAAATGGTCCAAACCCCACGAGCAGTCCAAAGCGGACCCTCTGTAGTCTATTTTAGTAGGGGAACCCTCCCCTTATAAAGGGGATAAGAAGGGCACATAGATGGGAGACCTAGTCAAAATGAGGAACCCAACAAATGGCTTGGATTCCTTTTGGCTGCCCTCAGATTCCCCGCTAAAAGTGAGTAACTTTTGGACAACCAACTTAGACAACCAACAAAACAAGGTAAAAGGGCAGTACTGGGGGACCTAGTATGTGTCAAAATAGGGGGACCCCAAAACTGGGACCCCAAAACTAGCGGGGGTTAAGACCCCTGGAAAAAAATATATGTCCAGTAGTGATAGATGCCTTTTAAACCAACAGGGCAAAAAAAAAACTTAAGCAAAGGGAAGCAAAGGGCAAATTTAGGAGAAAAAAAGAAGAAGCAAAACTTAAGCAAATGGGCTATGGCCAAAAAAAAACAAACTTAAGCAAAAACATATTCTTAAGCAATGGCTAAAAAACAAAACCGAAGCAAAGACTGAAGCACACAAAAAAGTCCTAAGCAGATGAGCTATGGCGTTTAAAAAAAAAAAAAAATGCAAAAAAACACTTCCCAACCACCGCGCGGCGGGCGCGGCGCGCGCTTGGAAGGCGGCCTGCTGCGCCTCCCGCCAGGTGTGGTGCCCGTAGCAGGCGCGGCGCTTCGTGGCCACCCAGCACCAGTCCCGGCCTCCGCCCATCGAGTCCGGTCGTTTGCAACGGGGCTTTAAAAGGGAGACCAGGGTTCTTATGGTTGTGTTTGTTTGTTTGCTTGTTTTATTTGTTTTGCTTGTTTGCTTGTTTTAGTTGTTTTGTTTGTTTGCTTGTTTTATTTGTTTTGCTTGTTTGCTTGTTTTATTTGTTTTGCTTGTTTGTTTGTTTTTTTGTTTGCTTGTTTGTCTGCTTGTTGTGTTTCGCTTGTTTGATTGTTTGTTTTTGGTGTTGATTCTTTTGCTTTTGGTTCCTTTACCCCCTCCCTATTTTGCAGTGGGCTTTAAAAGGGAGACCGAAACCTGTTTGGTTGTTGTTTGTTTTTTTGGCGGGGGGACCTACTTTCTGACCAGTTGTTTTGCTGTCTTTTTTGGGGGAACCTTTCTTTAACCAGTTGTTTTTGTTGCTGCCTCCAGCATGGGTCAGGGTCTGGTCGGTTGCCTTCTTCTTCTTTTTTCGGCGGGGGGGAAACCCGGACCTCCACCCCTACTTTGAAGTGGGTTGTAAGGGAAACCGAAAGGAAGCCAACCCGGCTTTTGCGCATTTGTTTCTTCTTTTTTGGCTTGGGTGGGAGGGAGGCCCTATTTCAAGACGAAACCAAATGGCCTTCAGAATTGGGAGCCAGTGGCTTTACCCACAAAGCCCGGTCAGTCACATTGCCTCTAATTGGTGGTACTTGCTGGTTGGTGGTATGGAGCCTGGTTGGCTTGCAGGTCAGGAACTGGTGTCCCATTTACCTGGAAGCAAGGGTTCAAATCCCCAACATGGACGTTTTTGACCAGTCACATTCTCCTTCATCCCCAGAAAAAGACAAAGGGGGGCCAACTCCTTACAGAGGAACGGATTCGAGTTTCCTTCATTAGCAAAAAAAGACACCAGGGGACCCATTGCATAAGAGGGTCAACGCTCGCCTTTGAAGCCGCCCGGCCTTCGTGCAGCCAGGAGCCTTTTGGAGGCTTCTGCTCCCTACAAGTCTGCTGCACCCTCTCGGGCAGAAAGGCGCTGAAGGGGCGCGACACGTTGGCGCCGAGATCTGTGGCCGCCTGGAAAAGGGGTAGGATCAGCGACTAAGAGCGCCGAGTAGGGGCCAACTAAACGGGCTCCTTTCTTGTCTTTGGGGGTGACCCACACTTAGAAACATGGGGGTTTCCAAACAAAACCAAAAAAACTATGTTCACTTTTACACACTTAGAAACCTGGCGGAGGGTGGTTTCCAAACCATCACTTTTACACCACGGTCTTCCTGGCTCAAACTTATGGGCCGGAACTAGGCCGCCAGAAAGTCAACCTGGTTGAAAGGGAAAAGTGGGAGGACCACCAAAGCGCGATCGGCGATCGGCGATCCGTCCGGCCATGTGTTGTCAGCTTCCCTCCAGCTGGTGCTTTGGAGTGGTGTTCTTTTCCTGGTGTTCTGGGGGGGTGGGAAACCCATTTGCCGTCTAAAATATCCAGGGGTTCACATCCAAACCCAAACCAGCAGTCCCAACCACTAAGTGCGGGCAACCTGATGTTCTGCTGGAAGCAACACCTTCGCAGCTTTTTGTTCAACAAGACACCCGAAGAACTGCACACCAGGGCAGATAGGACAATTGGCACAAGAAGCAGACGATGAGACACGTTCTCTTCAGATGTTCGTCGAGACTTCGTGTAACACCTGCGTCTCAGCTCCAAGCCTAAGTGGGTGACATCATAACAGTGGCCGGCCATCCCCTGCTCGCTTGCGATCCGTCCCAGAAAACACAAAACAGCCCAGCCGGAGGGGTGGATTGTTGCTCGCCTCAGCGCACAGACCCTCGAAGATGTCCAGGTCCGTGTCCGAAGCCAGACGCCGCGTGACACCCGGCTCCCCCAGCCATCGCCATCGCCACACACCGAAGCCGAGGACTGCGATCGGCAACGCCACGAGGGCCGAGCGCGCCGCTCGCATGGCGCATACCGTTCCTATGGTGTGGCTCAAGGGCAACAACCTATGGCTGCTCGAAAATAGGTCCCCATTTTGGGAACCCTGGTAAATGAAACCAAAGACTAAAACCTGCGGTCCCCTGGTGGTTCAATTTTGACCCATACCCATATGTCGGGCCCCTTCACCAGCCCCCAAATCCCCAAATCCCCCTGTTGTGGCGAATCATTGCGCCATGTTTAGTGACAGGGGTCCGCTGGGACCTGTAAAGCGGGTAGCTTCTCTTGGGGTCAGGTGGATGACTAGCTAACTTGCTACATTGGGGGGGGGGGGAATGTTTTCTGAGGCAAAACCATTTTTTTGAGGTCGCCTATTCTAACACACCCATGCGGCTTCGTAAGGACTAAACAACCCAAACGGACATCAGCGTCTCATTCGAAGCTCCGCGTTGCAAAGCCAACAGCTCCGGCAGATTTGTATGAATCAAGCACCTGGCTCAAGGAAAACTGGCGCGAGATTTCTTGCATGTATGTGTGTTTGTTTCTTAATTGGGGGGCCCAAACTGGTGGACGTCAGAATTCGGTGGGTCCCGTTTCATGTCCAGCAACCACTTTTGAGGTTCCGGCTCTCAAAGTAAGCCTTCCCTTATCCAACCGAAATGAGAGCATCCCCGACTTTGAAAATTGATCCACCAAACCATCAAACCATGGGGCCAAACCCTGTGTGTCAAAGAAAACCATGCATGGTTGGTTTCCTTTTGTTTTCCCTTTATACAAAACCGACCCCAAAGGTGGATTCCCAACAAAACAAACACATCCATGTCCCGAAACAAGCCCCGGTCCAAACCAAGGAAAAGTCCATGGTTCTTCATAAAGTGTCAGTGAACTTTCCTGTACAAGGCTACTCGGAAGCTCCTTCCTCACCCCCCGCCCCCCCCCCAAAAAAAAAAAATGAAGTGACCGAAACTCGATCCAGCCCAAAGTACAGCCCTTGTATTGGGGGGAGGGGCGGGGGAGAAAATCCTGCGGTGTTCCCAAAACCGAACATCCTACGGAAAACTCCTATGGCAAACCGCACATCATCCCAGTTCCTTTAAAGGGACTGAACGATTCGATCGGCCCCGAAACCGAAAACCCCACTTGCAAGTCCCAAGTGGGCCGGGACGAATCGCTACATTCACGTCCGCAACACTGCGTACCATCGGGAACAGAGGCTGACTTCCGGAAAAACCCGAGCCGTGCTCGCTTTCGGGACCGCATGCGGGCCATCTGTCCAAAGGCTTCACTAACGGGCCTATTCCGCCTGACGGGCCCCCACCGCAGCCATGTGCAGGTCCCATGACAGCAATGACAATTTGGGTGGCTCGTCTTCTTTCAGCGGAACCTTTCTTCGGGTCCTATTCAGAAAATTGAGCATTGAAGGCAGGAAAGCTATGTAAATTAAACAATATGCTTGGTCTAAAAGTGTCAGTGCGTTGCCTTAAACTGAGAGACCAACAGCGCAACCACCAGCCCATCAGCCCCAAGCATGCCCCTCCAAATCCAAAGCGGCGATGAGCGAACGTCTCCCGGCCTCCCCGCGGCGAAAAAAAGGCCAAAGGCAATGGCAACGTGGAGGTCCAAAAACAGGTTTGGGTATGAAAGCAACAGGGCCCCTCCCCCAAAACAAAAATGAAAATGGAAAAATAACAAACATTACCAGGTCCCAGAACAGGAAACTCACCAAAAGCCACTCACAAAGTGATGTATCAAACCACAGAGGGACATAGGGCCTCTCACAATAGCAACACCCCAAATTCCGCGGTCCTCATCTTCTCCTTTACAACCACCCCCAAACCAAATATGCGTGCACCTACATCAATACCAACTATTGGTGTGTCTCCTTTGGTGGTACCACTCTTTGGGTCGGTGACGAAAAGGGAGACCAAAAGGAAACCACGCATGTTGATGCTTCCCCTTTACAAATAATAACATGAAAAATAGCAAGAATAAGAATGATACAAATAATAATTCCAAACAGGACCCCAAAACAGGAAAACTCACCCTCACATGCCCAGTGGCCATGAGGAAAAAAAGGGTATCCCATTAGGCTTGGTTGAGTTTACAGGGGGAAGAAAAAAAAAGTGGAAGAAAAAGGCGGAATCCACTGGGCAAAACCCCAGCGCCGCCTTTGAGCCCTGCCAACCCCCCCCCCCCCCCCGCCCCCGACTGCCACCCTCTCGAACACGCGCCGTACGCGCCGTACGCGCCGCTCGGGGCTCGCGGGCGCGTGGCTCGAATCGTCTCCTGCATGATGGCGGAGCTCAGCGCTGCGGCGGTCTGCATGCCGGCGGCCTCCACCACCACCACGCCTGCCGAAGGACGTGACCCGGTTGAACCAACAAGTGGTTCAGTGGTTGGAGTCAGAATTCTTTTGGAGGGGCCAACCCCTGGAAAAAATGAGAAAATAGGTCCAGGAGTGAAATCGATTCCAATTTCAAAACCATCAGGAGGAAAAATGAAATAAAAATAGGCAAATGGAAGCGTGGGGTTGAACCCAAAAAGTGGGAGGGGGGTAAAAAATGGTGGGCTTAACATGCACGTGATACTTCACCCTGCGCTTCCAGTGACCACTACTATAGTAGGCAACCAGGAACACCACCATCTAAAACCTAGAGGGAAGAAACCCTGGTTACCTGCTGTAGTCGTAACTGGAAGAACTGTCATATTATCTTCCATTTCCTAAGAATTATGTTTATATTTCCCTGGTTTGAAAGGCATTTCACTACTGGTGATTTTCTCATTTCCAGGGGACATATTTGCAAACGGTCAGGTCTTGGTTTGGGCTGATGCTGGTAGAGGGTATACGGAACCTCCCCCTGAACCACCAAAGAACGCATGCAAACCACCAATTCGAGGGAAGCTGACATGGAGGTACCTAGACAGCCAAGTTGCTACTATTTTCAGTCACTGTTGCTGGAGTTGGGGCTGTGCACGGGAAAAAGCGATCGCAACTGGCGATCCAGGTACTCCTTGAACCACATTTAGGGTTCAACCCCACGCTTCTATTTTCTGAAATGAATATTTGTTACTTCTCCCTGTTGGTTTTGAAGGGAATCGATTTCACTACTGGACCATTTTTTCCAGGGGGCGAAAAACCAAATGGTTGGCTGGTTGACGAATATGGGGTCAACATTATGTTAGGTCCATATTGTGGATGGTTGCTTACAGAATGTTATGCGTTTTGGGCTTGTTTTTGGGTCGCGAGTCTTCTTGCTTATCATGCATCTTCTGCATCCCTGGCATCATCTGCATTCCCTACTTCCACTTTTAAATCTGCATCCTCTGCATCTTCTGCAATCTCCGCATCCCCGCGAAGAGGGTTGCAGTGGATGCGGAGGATACTGGTGATGCAGGGGATGCCGGGATGTCGGGGAGGAGGTAAGGAAGAAAGGCCATCCGGAATGTTGGGACTGGTTTTGGCCTGCGGCTACTTATCCACAAACAACAAGCAAAAAACTTCAGCTTCCCCTACTTGGTGGGGTGGGTGGTCTTCCAGGGTGGCTTCCCACGTGTCCTCAAGAACCACAGCTTCAACTCCAAACCAATCCCCTCCAACCAAGGGAAAAGAAAAGATACCGTGGATGGTTGCGAAATCCATTTCGCACCACCTAAGAATCCCTGGAATGCGTCGACTTCCCAACGCAAATACCAACCAACCAAATGATTTCCCATGGTTTTCAAAGTGGATGGCTGAACCCGCCGTTGATTCTAAGGAGGTTCCCCTATCCCCCGCTAAAAGCTGAACTGTTGGCTTGGTGGCAAAACTACCTTCTAAACCAACTAATGTTGACCCATGATTAATAAACCCGTCCCACTATTAAGGGGGTGTTCCCTCCAAAAGTGATGAATCCCCACCAAAAGGGGACACCCCCCTATTAATCAACCGGGGGTTTATTGATCCGGGGTTACCATTAGAAACCCAAAAACCGAAGTGGATGGCTGAGAAAAGTGGAGAAAATGCAAAAGGCATTTCAAAAAAAGAACCCAACTGCTGGAGGTCTTCTTCGGGCCCGTTTTCCCCCCCAAAAAAAACGAAGCAAACAGAAACCCGTCGTCCCAGCAATCCGCAGCGGCCGGGCAAGGCAGCGGCTGCTCAACGGCGCCTCCGCAAAGCAGGAGGACATGGAGCTGATACAGCCCGAAGCCGATCTCATTGATCTTGTCCTCGGCCAAAGAGATATGTACATATATATATATATGTATATATATATATATATATGTATATATATATATATATATATATGTACGTGTGTATATGTGTATGTATATGTATATGTATATGTATATGTATATGTATATGTATATGTGTATGTATATGTATATGTATATGTATATGTATATGTATATGTATATGTATATGTATATGTATATGTATATGTATATGTATATGTATATGTATGAATATATATATATATATATAAGCGTATATATAAGTGTATATGTATATATATATATGGTAGGCCCCCCCCAAAAAAAAAAAAAAAAACTACCTTATCTACAAAACACTGTAAATGTCCAGTGTGTTTCACTAAAATCAGGGTCTCCTCAAGCATATGTATATATATATATATATCGAAAGCGCACGCCAATAAACACGGCGATTGAGTCTCAATGAGGCATCCGGCAATGAAAAGCCAAGTGGGTCTAACCCAAAATCGTACAAAAAAAATATGCAGCTATTTGTGGCTGGGACTGTTCGGTACTATCCTTCACTTGCCCGAATTTTCATTGAAACTGACCCCAACCAAGGTGGTTTGGCTAAAAAGGTCGGAGTGGGTAGCATCAAGTAGAATCTGGCAACCTCATGGCCCGAAAACGGATGGCCTTCCCTGTCGTTTCCCTTCAAACCGGCAAAGGGCAACTGCCAAAAGATCGTGCAAGGGCTGGTCGGTTGATACGTCAAGGGTGCGTTTTTGCTTGGCCGGGCCTTTAAGCCTTCCACTTCTCTCTCGCGGGTTTGAGCAAAAAGACTGACCAAACAAAAGCGAAAGAAAAACTTCAAGGATGTGGATCCCTTCCCAAAAATAACCTGGTTTTTGGGAGTGAGGGTTTTGGTCCTCCTTTTTTTCCGTGGGAGCTGGTTTCCTTCAAGGAACCTTTCCTTCACGCGACTCCCTCTCGCTCTCCCTCTCTCTCTCTCTCGTCTGAGTTCCAGTCAGACACGGAGGGCATGACTCGCCTTGCGACATTCGGAGCTGAATCACGAGGGGTGTTCCTCCCAAAGACCTTTAATGGGAACCCGGTTTTAGCAGGGAGGTGGGAAAAGGGAATGGGGGTTCGCCGCAGCCGGTGCTCGAGATCCATGTCTCATTTCCCATTTCCCCGCTTTCCGCAAGACACCCCGAAGTGGGAGTGGGAGATGCCACCTCCCCGGTCTCTTTTTGCTCGAAACCCATCCATTTCAGCGCGCGCGAGCGCGCCTCTAGATCATGCAAGGCCGGCCCCAAAGCGGCCCGGCAGTAAGGTGACCATCTTGAGCCAGGCTGCGACTGTCCAAATTTAACCACCTTCGCGCGCGAAGCTCGTTCGGTGGCCGTAGATATGGAGTCCGACTGGTCGTAGAGATTGCGTGGAGGCACACATGAGATTATTCTTCTTGCTGGTGCGATAGGTAAGGAATGTGGGAATGAACCCAGGCTTTGGTCACCTCAAGGGATGGTTTGTACGGGTCATTCCATTTCTCATTCCTGCCCATCGCACATAGCTCTGACCCTCATAGGTTCACTGATAGTCCCAGCAGGAACCGGAGCGGTGACCGCGGACCATCCCTTGCCCCTTTTTTGGGGATATCTTCCATGCAAGGAACGTCTCTTCACATGCTGGAACATGTTGTTGGAATTTATCTTATTGTTTTTGGAATATCCTTTGCCCGTTTTGGATCATCCCGGAGCAAAGGAATGCCCGGGTTGTCGTTGGTTGCAAGAAGGATCCTGGATGGGTCAGCTGGCCAATCCGAACCCCGGTCCATCAGCACAGGTGCCGAGTTTGGGCTGACGCTGCAATTTCCCTACCATACGAACAGGGGTCGGGAAGCCTAGAACCAAACGTATATGGCAAAAAGTGATATTGCCCAAGCGGAAAAGTATGTGATTCTGATGAAAATCATGTGCCTAGGCGGCAGAAAACAGTAATGATATACGTACTTGCTTCCCAAGATAGAACCCGACTCGGGGCTTGCAAAAGATGAATGGTCCTCAAAATCGCGTTGACGAACCCCCCCCCCCCCTGCGGTTCTCGGCGGGAGGGGCACAGCTCGCTGTTGGGCCTCAGGAAACCATCGGCTGTTGACTCCAGACCGATTTTTCCAACCCTGGGTGATGTTTGCTTCATCGGAGGTGTCTGTTTCTGAGTTGGTGCCCCTTTTTTGGTGAGGTTTAAATGTAAAGAGACGCACCCGAGCAACCAAAAATGGGGATGCAGACCGGAAAAGTGTTCCCCCCCCCACCCTAATAGGATGGCTGTTTTTGATCCCAGCTGGGTCGTTCAGCCCCGAGATCGAGCGAGATCGATCCCTGCGGAAACCCGTGGGCGGGCTTGAACTACTCAGAAGCCGGGTGAAGTCGGCAAATTTGGCGACGGAAAGGCTTGCTTGAAGTTGGAAGGGTCGCAACACATTATTGTTTGGCAGTGAAGTGGGGATTTCCCACAAAGCCACAATAAGCAAAAATGCAAAATGTGTCCCAACAACAACCATGAAGGGGCCAAAACCTTTCGCGTGTCCTACTGAAAGCACTTTCCCAACAGGAAAGCACAGCGAACGAAGAGATCACTTGTGGACCCATCTGGGAAAACCTTTCTCAAAACAAACTATATAGGGCGTTCCTCCAGTTCCTTTGCTAAATGTACAAGACCCTGAAATGAAATCATCAGTCGCACTCATCATGCGCTGCACGGTTTTGACTCGCGTCCCCCAATGCGAGATATCCGCGAACGCTGCGTGCCGGCGTTCGCACCCTGCTCTGCCCACCATGGATCGAGCCACGCCCTCCCGGACTCGTTGGGCCTTCAGTCAGGGTTGCTCCAAACACCCAAAAACCCAGACATCTAGAACCTGACAAAGAAAAAGTCAAGGAAACCTCCAATTCTCTACTGTGGCATAGCAAAAGTCAAGGAAGCCTCCAATTTTCTATTGCAGTTTTAGAGGCTCAGAGCAACTCTCCGTCTTTGATGAAGTTCCGCCCCGCTTGGCGCTTCACAGAGCGGAACCGGCGCGCTCATCTGTACAATCCGCTCGGCTTGCGGAGCTTGCCACCGCTTGCAGCGCAGCGCTTGCTCCTTTTGGCAACCTAACTTTGGTCTCCCAAAGAATAGGGACGAAATACGGGAACCCCCAAAAACTTGCAGCGGTCCTGCGATTCCCCTTCAAACTCCTGAAAAAGGGAACCCTCAACACACACACACACACACACACACACAAAAAAAAAAATGTCATTTTAATATATATATATATATATATAATGTTTGTTGCAACCGAAACTTTTGCCGATCGCTCTAATCCAAGTCAATGGCTCCCTCTCCATCGCTCGGCTTCAGGCCGAAGCCTTTGGCCTTCGCTTCGGCGGAGGTCGCCGCGGCCGCCGGCTCCGGAGCCTGCAGCTCTCTGGGCCGAGCGGCTGACCCGCGGGAACTGAAATCCGGACTTGACAAAACCCGCAAGCCTTGCTTGTTTGGCTTGGAAAAAACAAAGCTTGGCTTGCTTGGCTTATTTGGCGTGTTTGGCTTGGAAACCCAAAGTCCTTGGTAGAACAAACCACACCTTGCTTTCTCGGCTTGTGTGTTACCGCCTGGGCCCTATGTTCTGAAAGGCAGAATGCATGAGGTCTTTAAAGAAGACTCCGTCTGGTACGAAGCCAATGGACATGGGTCCCTTCGCCACTCTTTATGGCTTGATTCTGAGGAGCCAGCCAGCAGAATGACCAAATGGTCGACACGTGCTTCAAGAAACAAAATCAGCCTCAAAAAAAAACAAAAATGGATTGGCAACTCAAAACCGGCAACTCGTCTGCTTTTTGTACGGATCTTGGAGGGAAACCAAACGGAGGGTCCAAAGAGTCCAAACCCCACAAGCCTCCAAACGCTGGAAACTCGCTTCTATCGCCCCGGAAAGTCAGCGATCAACAGCTTCTATTCCCAGCGGTTCCAGTCACCATAGGCAACCACCAGAAGATTATCTTCGCAGCCAAGTGGCGAAGAAGTCCATCCAAGATGAACCCCAAATCACTTACGCTAGCTGGACGTTTGGACTACACCTCTGGGTCTAAGTGAAGCCAACATGTTGTTTCTTCAATCACACTTCAATCACTCTGGGCTTGCAAATAACGGGTGGTTTCCCTCAAAATCGCCCCCTCTTGAAGGCTCCAAAAAAGGACCTGGCCGCGAAGCCCCGCGGAAGACCAAAACCAGACCAAAAGCAAACGGGCATGGGTCAAAATTAAATCACCGGAAAAACTGCTGGTTTTAGTCCTTGATTCCAACTAGGGCTCCATTTTGAGTGCCAACTTTTTGACCCACGGCCAAACCAACCAGAAACGCGGCTGCCGAGTTCCGCGCCCTCCCCTCAAACCGCCCGCCTGTGGCGCCTCGCTCCATGCCCAGGAGGTCAAAATCCCCCAGTGGTCCGAGGGGAAGCGGCCCAGGCCCGGCACCTTGGCCTAGCGCCCGAGCCAGGGGGGATGTGGGTGTGTTTCTTTGTTTGGGGGAACCAAGTGGGTGGTTTCCTTTTGGCGTCCTTTGAGAACCATCACAAAATGGTCTCCAGAAGAGCGACAGGCCAATGATCGTTTTACCCCCAAACAAAAAATACGCCAGCATAGGCCCCAGCTAGCGAAACACGCCAAACCCACGAGATCGCAAAACGACATGAGAAAGGGGATCCCCTCACCACTCTAGATGGCAAGGCAAAACCCGGAGAAAAATCGCACCGACGTTAGAAACCTAACGAAATGCACCAAGATAAAAACCTTAGTTCATTTCCATGGTAGCTCATTTCGTGCTGCGGTTTCGTAGGGTTTTGATTCCAACCGCCCACAAATCCAAACTCCTTTTTGGGTCTGCCTGTGTTTGTGGGGATGCCCATTCGTTTGGCAAAGGGAAACATTCTCCGGTGCAAAAAAACAGGGAGCCACCCATGTTGATGTCCATCAGGGATACATCCCATCGTCAAAAATGAGAGGTGTGTCTCTTTGTTGGAGGCTTGGGAAACCTGTTTGGGATTGAAAGGGAAGGCAAACTCTTCTGCTTCGATCCGCTAAAAGTGGAACAACTGACAACTGAGTAGCAGCTCGGGCCTTTTACTACAGGACCGCAGGGCTCCGTCGCCCTTCCTCGAGCCAAGGCTGCTTGTTCAAGCGCGGCGTAAGTCTTCACATGTTCACACGCCTAAAGTCCTCTTTGCCCTTGAACACGCACCTAAAACACGTCCAGCAGTCCGCGAGCATTTTGCCCTTCAGAACCTCATCTCTTCCTTGGCGAATTGCACGTCGATGGCATTCCGCCGATCTCTGCCTGGCTGCCGCGACTCACCGCACAAATAAGGCGTTGGCATCCACAACTGCAAGAGCTTCCTGAAGGCCGAGGCCACCGTCCACGATTTGCCACCTTGGCCCAGATCAACTCGCCAACGCCGCTGAAGCGCCTGTGCCCCGGCTGCCAACGTTGACCCCTGTGCTCGAGGAATCTTTCCACTCTTCCACTGCAGCTAGCGCTCGCTTTCCTTCCATCAGCTCCTTGTTGAAGATGATGATCACGTGGCCACCTTGTGTTTTGCTTGCCATGGCATTTGCCCAGCCCACGTTGGTCACCACACTGAATCTTCAGCGTGGCCCGCTCCTTCAGCCCCTTTACCACTCTCAGCTCGGACGCATAATAAGACGCAACTCATCGGCCTTCCTTGCCGGCCCAAATCAATACTCCGCACACTGCTCTCGCTTGCCCACCTCCACCCAAATCATTTCCTCCAAGGCGTCCGCACCGTGCCTGGAGCAGACAGGGGTCCATGCTTGCTGGCTTGTAGTCGAGTTCCTTGACCAGGCTTCTGCAGTGTCCGACGCCATGATGTCCACCTTCATCGTTCCATGCTTCCGCATCAGCGGCTTTGACTGGGCGGACGCGTTCTTAAGATCACCGACTTTGCCTTTGAAGCCGTGGTTCACGGCGTGCAAACTCGAAGTGGGGACTGCCATCCAACTCCAAGATGTCCGGCTCCTTGTCGCCTCTGAGGCACCAGCCACTCCTTGAGATCGCCTTCTCAAGAGAAAGACGTATCCAGCCTCATCTTAGTCTTCCAGCATCTCCTCCGAACCACCCGGCCCGTGAGCTCCTCCCTTGCACTTAACGCGGTCGTCCTTGAGCACCTTGCCCAAGTTCCGCAATGCGAGCACCACATTGCTGATCTTAAAGTCATTCGCCGTCTGTGTCGTGACCTTCAGATCCTGGTTGTTTGTAGTAGATGTGCCTGATCGCCACCTCTGGCAACTTTGCGGCCTTGGTCAGTTCAGCGTGCGCCTTGTCCATGTGCAAGATATAGTCCTGAAAGTCCTCCTTGGAAGCGCGTGGTGACCCAGATCGCCATCTCCGTTGCTCAAGCCACACTGGCTTCCAACTGTGGGCGTTAGTGTCGCTCATGAGCTGCTCGGGTTAGTCGTGCTCCACGCTTCTTCGCGCCCAGCTCCGTCTCGAAATCCCAGATATTCACATCGTGCTCGTGAAACTGTGGCCGGAACCACCAAAGGCAACTAAGGAAACTCATTTCTGGGCCCGTTCCGGGTGTGTTTTTTGATAGTACCCTCACCAATTTTAGGGGCACCCCACTTAATCACCTAAAAATTGCCCCAAGCCCGAATAACAGTTTGCACGGCCAAACACCCTCTTAAATCTGGAGATCTGCAGCCCTCTCGAGAACAACCATGCAGAAGGAGAGGAAAATGGAAGGAAAACCGCAAGATTATGTATGAATCGGAACTGTAAATCCCTTCCAATGTGGGTCCCTATGGTCCTTCCAGATTTGGTAAGTGTCATCGTTATGAGCCGTTATGAACAAAACGTCCATCATGGAAGCTGGCGGGAGGGTTTTGGACTTCGTTCCTTTCATGCCACTTCCATGTTTGTTGCAAAGAAGGTGCCAGTGCCATAAACTCCAAACCCGCAATGTATATAAAGAGAGGGTGAGTCCGCAGGGTTGTCCTTGATAGGTAAATGCAATCATGAGTGGGTGGTCCCTGAGCATGAGGGTCTTTTTGGAGTCAGCACAAAAGCGTAAACCTAAATTGGCGTCCTTTCCTTGGACAAATTCGGTGCACGATCATGGCGGCACAATCCCTTCTGTGATACCAAAGTTTGCTACACATCCCTTCAAAAGCGGGGGGCAAGCAAGCAACCAACCAACCAACCAACCAACCAACCAACCAACAAGCAACCCAACCCACCCACCCAACCCACCCACCCACCCAACCAACCAAGCAACCACCCAACCCACCCACCCAACCCACCCACCCACCCCACCCAACCCGCCCACCCAACCACCCAAGCAACCACCCAACCCACCCACCCACCCAACCACCCAAGCAACCACCCAACCCACCCACCCACCCACCTAACCACCCAAGCAACCACCCACCCACCCAACCCACCCACCCACCTAACCACCCAAGCAACCACCCACCCACCCAACCCACCCACCCACCTAACCACCCAAGCAACCACCCACCCACCCAACCCACCCAACCCACCCACCCAACCCACCCACCCATTTGTAAGAAAGTGGCCCAACCCTGTTTCCCACCAAAGCCGCTCTCTCGCGCCGCTGCCTTGCCCAGCAACGCGAAGCTCGTCGGCCGCCACCCGTCGCACGGAACTGCCTGCTCGTTGCACCAACAAACTCCGCCAGCGATGAACTCCACCAACAAACTCGAAAACCCGCAAAGAACGGGAGAAACCACCAACACCCCGTAAATAGCGGGAGAAAAGCCCCGCCAATTCCCCACCTGGTGCCAAATGGACTTGGTCCATCTATTGCAGAGGAACCACATGCAGCCAATTTTCGGTGGGACTTGCCAACAGTTGAGGCATGGCCGCAAGCACTGTAGTGTTTGTGCTACACATATCTAGTGCTGTATATATATATAGTGGTTATAATACACATGTCTATCTATTTATCTATCTATCTGTCTGTCTGTCTGTCTGTCTGCCTGTCTGTCTGTCTGTCTGTCTGTCCGTCTGTCTGTCTATCTATCTATCTATCTACATCTACGTCTATATGTACGTCTATATCTATATCTATATCTGTATATATATATATATGTATATATATATATACATATATATGTATTCAGTGCAATGCGTGCGATCAGCTCCTCAAAACCCAGAAAATTCCATGCAGGCTCCCGACAATTCGACTCGACCCCGAAACGGAAGACGTGGTGGGAGCTTCCATCATGGGATCCGGATGCATGAAGAATCCGATCGAACATTGCAACTCGTAAATGGTGGTGTCCAACTTTATTCAAAGGTGTGGAAAAAGCCGCCTGATTCAAATGGTGGCAAAATGGAGATGGTTTCTATTTATTTTTTTCGGAGCCCTGATCATGTTGAACAGCTTCGCCAAGCTTCCTGTGGCTCCCAACCCTCGACAAGCCTTGAGAGTAGCAAGCCAAAGCATCCTCCATCCTGCATCCCCTGCCGCGGGTGAAACCCGGGTTTTGCGAGCCGTTGTTCACAAGGGCTTCAAGGTTCCCAGGATACACCTGCTGAAACCAAGGATCACCCGTTCCTGAATCAGCTTACTTGTTGCCTTGAGTCTTTGGCTGAAAGTTGTATCCTGCATCCCTCGGAACTGGAACACAAACCCGAAGCCCGATTTCTTTTCTCGACCTTGGGGCCTAAATAGTCTGCTGGGCTGCTCCTCTGACAAAGCTTGGTTTTATCAAGCAGCCCTCTCAAAGCTCTTCTCTCCAATTTTGTTGGCTCTTTGAGGGGGGAAAAAAAACGATATATAAAAAAATGAGAAAAAACGAGGGGGAAAAAAAAGAAGAAAGGAAAACCTTCCCGTCCAACCTCCTCAACTCAAAAACAACCCTCTTCTGCAACAACCCCCTTTGGCTCCCGGAAAACCCGGGTGACCATCCACTCGGACGAAAATCCTCACCTCGGCTTTCTGGAAGAGATCCTTCGCCTTCGCCTGAGGCTTCTGATCTGATGTTTGGGGGGGGGGCTCAATTGTTGAGGATTCACCATTCTTTGCAGTTTTCCTCTAAACGCCAACTAAGAAAGGTTGCAGCACTCTTTTCAGGTTGCTCAAAAGTCTTGGCAAAAGGGTGGGAAATTTGTCCGAGGGAAGAAAATGAAAGCAAAGCCCATACCAAGTTTCTGCTCTGACTCTGTGTCGAGTTGGGACTTGTTGATTCTCGTATGGTTGCCAAGGGCCCTCCAGAAACAGACCAGGTCCCAATCGAGTTGGGATCACAAAGGGCCCTTGACAGCCACAGACTTGTCCGTCCCCCCAAAAACAGAGCATTGGGTCATTTCGATACTGGGCCGTCGATCCGTGTCCCTCGATTCGATTCGACCCAGTACGAAAGTCCAGGTACAGCCACTCCGGAGCTTGTCTGCCTATCGACTCCAGAACTGGCGGAAGAAATCCAGAATCCTGCTGGGTCTGTCTTGTTTGAAGTTGGTACCTTTTTGTTGGTGGGAAGACACACCCAGTTGATTCGTTGGGTTACAATCGTTGTCACTGGCTGCTCCTGCCTGCCCCTGCCTGCCTGTGAGTTGAGCAGTTGTTGGGTTGCAACCTTCCTTTTGTGAGAAAAAAGCCAACCCAACATGCTTCATTGCTACTTGGTTGACAGACCCTGCAACCACCCATTTCACCCCTAAGGGGGCTCCTCAAGCCCCCGACACCTGGGAGGAGGCTTGCGTAGGGTTTTGGAGCCAAGGGAAAGATGTGTGATGATCATGCCGTTTGACTTTTGATGTGTGGGCTATTCAACTCAAATTGAAAAGCCCTTTGAACGTGCAAGAAGCTGCAATGTGTGATCCCTCCAAACAGGGAAATACAAGGGGAAAAAAACAAAAACATATTATGCCACTAAATCGACCAGGTTCGGCCTACCTGGCGAGGCACTAGAGGCTTCCACTCGGGTCGACTTTTCCGAATCCATGTCTCTCTGTGTGGACCACTCCTCCATTAGGAAAACCAGAGGTTCATAACTCGGTAACCAGCAGGGAATGAGCCTTTGCAAGTGGCAGGGAATGAACCGGTTTTGGGGATTCCATAGGTTGGATGCTTTGTCTCCGGGTCGCTCCATGTGTCATTCCCGATCGCATCTCTCGAACCCATCGCAAGATCCGGAGGCTTGGCCCTCCGCTTCCCCCCGCAAAAGGCGGCTTGGACCGGCTTGGAGACGAATCGGTTTGGAGGTCTGGGGCGGGAAACCCATCAAGGGTACTGGTTTGCATGTGGAGTTCCCTCTAATTGGTGGTTTGCATTCGTGGTTTGGAGGTGTTCCGTGGTTTCCCATTTACCATCTCAAGAACCAACCCCTTCAATTCCGAATCCAATCAATCCAAACCACCAATCGAGGGCAGGGTTGTGGGATCACTCTGGGTTTATCCTCACTTCTGTGATATCTTCGGGAATCTCCCCCTGTAAAAAAGGCGGGGTTAGTCTTTGGGAATCCCTTTTTGTTGTATCACAGCTTCATGGTTTCCATTTCAACCACAGCCCTGATCGAGGGTAATTCCCCTCAGAAACATATTCCCGCCTTCGCCTTCGCCTTTCCGCTCGCGATCGCCATGCCCCGCGCTTTGGGGCTGCTGAGCGACCAGTCGCTGAGGAAGAAGAGGCGGTCGAAGCGGGTCTTGCAGACGAAGCTGGCGCCGATGTTGGTGTTGGCGCTGGTGTCCCAGGTCCACCTGAAAGAAAGTCCGACCTTTTGCTCTGGCGCTACGGGGATCCTTACATGAAAAACACCTGAACACTGCCTTGTAAATGGTGGTGTCCAACTTTATTCAAAGGTGTGGAAAAAGCAACATGTTTCAACTGGGCAAAATGTATCTTTGAAGGAGCCCTGCGCTACTTCCCTGTTTCTTTGAGGGCAATTCTTCTTGTCCCAGAACATTGCCAAACCGCCGGAACATCCTGGTTTCTCGGATAATGTTCGGCGATTCTTCACAGAACATGCCCAATGCGAGCACACACGCACAAAACACACAAACACACAAACACACAAACACACACACACACACACACACACACACACACACACACACACACACACACACACACACACACACACACACACACACACACACACACACACACACATGCCGGGTGGCCTTAAACTGCCCAAAATCTGGGGAGAAAGAAACCGGTCTGAAGATCGGGGGGCCAACCAAAAATGGCTTCAGTTTCCCTTGTGCTGCTCCTTTACTCTCGCGTGGTCCCCCTCTGGAAGACCAAAATGGTGGTGCTCCTGTCTTAGATGTTTTGTTTGTTTTTTTCCCGCAACAGCTGAAAGCTTTGGGGCCTCAGCCCAGATAGGCTCCGGGGTGGTCCGGGGCGGCCCTGATGTAAGGTTCCACGAGGGTTCCACGAGGGTTCCACCATGGTTTCACCAGGGTTCCACCAGGGTTTCAGCAGGGTTCCACGAGGGTTCCACGAGGTTCTGTGAGGGTGGTGCGAGCACTAAAAAGAGCACCGCATGCTGTTAAAGATATCACCTGAGCGTATTTGTGCTTAACATCAACCTGAGGAAATGGGTACAAATCACGAGGGGAAAAAAAGGCAGAAACAAAATGTGCATGGGGTTTGAAGACATGAGTGCTTTAAATTCTGGGCAATGGACTCCTAGGACTTGCTTCAAGCCTCGTGGAAAGAGGTTGATGCCGTCCCCAGCCCAAGAGATCTGCTGATCATGTCACATGGTTTGTTTCGGGAACCCAAAAGAATGAGGTTTACACAATGATGAAACAAGAGAAGGTCATCTTCCTTGGGGTTGCTTCCTTGTCCATTCTTTTCAACCATCCTTCTTTTCTCAAAAACCGATCGCTGCTCTTTTTTTTTCTTTGGTCTTTGGATGGCTTCTTGCAAAGATTTTCGGACCCCTGGGTTCAGAATGGGAAATGGAAGGTAGCCCTATCTTCAGGCACACGAACCCAAAACCCCGGCCGCATCTTCAAAACCCCGCCCCCAGGGCTGCGCCTCTCGTTTTCCGGAGACCCGCAGGCCACCCAGGCGTCGCAGAGGCCGGAGCCATCGCCCAGCTCCTTCTGGACTGCCTTCACCTGCGTCACCGGGGATCTTGTTTTCTAAAAAAAAACAAGAAACCGGGGTCTTGCTTTCCTTTAAAAAAATGGGTCATGATCAAAACCGATCTGGATTAAAATGGTCGTAATCCCAGGACCATGGAAGGAAATACAAAGGCGGCAGCAGCTGGTTCTGGCTGGGAGTGTCTCTTACTGACCTTCGTCTGCCCGGGTTTTGATTGTGGCTCACCTCGGTTTCAGCGTTCTAGGGTTGCCTCCATTCAGGGGGCTTGGCAGTGGATCCCCTGGAAGTGACTCATGCTAACCAAACACCACTGGAAGCGACTCAGGCCTCTGGAACGTTGACACGGCCATGGGTCAACACCCAAATCGGTTAGCCCCAGTGAACATCCCAGTCCAACCGCTAAAATAGGCTCTAAAATGGGTGGTGAATTCACCTACCGCAAAATGGTACCAGTGGGTTTCCTCCCCCATTCTTTCCGGGGATCCGACTCTTTCTACAAAACCACCCAAAACCCTGGGGAAACGGATCCGGTTTTTGAGAAAAGAACGTCAGTTCAAAAAAAAATACAACCCCTAAAATCATGAATCATATCACAACTCACTTCCGAACGAGTGGCCAAAACAAGATATCGAAACCGTGGGTCTTGCCACCCAAATGGTCCAAACCCAAGTGTCTCTCAAGTCCAGGAAGTCAGCGAGACAACCTCATGATCTCGAAAGTGACGAGAAAATACCGCTGGAGGTGCCGTCAAAAGCGGGAAAACCGAAGGCTTGCACGGCGCCCCTATCGCCTGACACTGGCAATGGACGACTGGCGAATGGGGCAACCTCTTGGGCCCCGGAAACTGGAAACACCCGGTCTTGACTTGGTTGACGTTGGAAGGGGAGCAAACATTCAAACACAGGTTAGCCGTTAAGTGGTTGGATTTCAACCACTAATGCACAAGAAGCAATGTAAAATGTGTCCCAACAACAGCCATGTTGAAGCCACAAGAACCGACATGCCACAGACCAAAAAATGGGCAAAGGACTGCACAGCAGCATCTTCAGGAGAGTGCCCGGAAGCTCAGTTTCCTCTGAAGGGACCGGGTCCCTTCAAAGGTGACATGGCAACGTGGAAGGGAGGGTCTATAGCACAAAACCCCACACCAAAAAAGAGAAAGAAAAAGAAACCCTCCAAAATCCCAAGATCAACCAAAACAACCTCCAAAAGGAACCCCCTTATTAAAAAAAGAGAGAGAGAGAGCGAGAGAGGGAGGGAGGGAGGGAGGGAGGGAGGGAGAGAGAGAGAGAGAGAGAGAGAGAGACCCGCCACCCGCGCCTCCTCGTCCCTCAAGTTGAGGTCCCCCCCCAGCATCGCCGCCCCCACGCGGCCGCCGCTGACCGCGCGGCCCAGCTCGCTCCGCAGGAAGCGCAGGCACTGCAGCAGCTGGCGCTTCCGCTCCACGCCGTGGTCCTGGTGGCGAAAAGTTTCTCGGCCAATAGTGGTCCTGGAATAGAAACCCTGAATACACCCATCCTCATAGGCCGCCGGCCGCCTTGTAGGGGAAATCGATGGGTGTTTGTCTGGTACATGAAAATTCACCACCCCGCGCTGTTTGACTTTTCTACTTCCGCGTCTCAATGATAGTAAGAGCCGACATCGAAGGATCAAAAAGCAACGTCGCTATGAACGCTTGGCTGCCACAAGCTAGTTGTCCCTGTGGTAACTTTTCTGACACCTCTAGCTGAATATTTCTCAGACCGAGTCGGAAGCCCCGAAATGCTCGGGTGGTCTTCCTTCGATTTTTTCCGAGAACAAAGAGAGAGAAAATACTGAGAGATTATTTTCTTGCTGGTTCGATAGGTGGGGAAGGGGAAATGATAAACCAGCAGTGGTGGTTTTCTTTCCGGGAATCCCTAGGTTCATTCCCAACGCCCTGGGTCATTCCCTACTGAGCACCAGCAAGTGTTTTTTGAGGGAACCCCCGAAATGGTGGTATTGGCCTTTCGGTTTTTGCATAGACAAGCCACAATGGTTGTAAAAACTCGGATGCTTTCTGCTCCCCTGCTAAAAGTTTAACCTTTAGTGGTGGTTTAATGGAACACCCACTAGTTGGCAAAAAGTTAAAGTCCTAACATCCAAGCAAAATGCACCAAAGTACAATTTTTGCTGTGGTCCGAGACTTAAGGTGCTAGCCATAAGCCATGGCAACCACTATCTCCCGAATGGGGTCACATGGTTTTCTTTTGGTTTCCCTACACCCCAAGGCCCTCCCAATCGATGCTTTCCAAGGCGAAGAGCAAGAAACAAACTCAAGATGGCAACCGCGTTTGCTTCTTTTCATGTCGCTCGTGTTACGCAAAGATAGCACAGACAGGAACCCCGAGTTGGGTCTGAACCCCGTGCCTGCGGATTTGGAACGCGGCAAAAAAATACAGCATGCTTGGCCTGCAAAGCAAAGAGAAACGGGTCCTAAGACGCAAAAAACTAAAAACCGAAAACGTTGAAAGCAACACACGGCCAACAATGTTATTGTGGGAAATAGTGTTCTTTGTTCAAGAATTTGTTTGTGGTTGTTGGTTTTCCCCCCGAGGTGTCCTGCATTTTGTGGATCTTGCTATATGTATAGCACGTATCTGTCCACATCTGCCACACTCATTTCTTTCTTTGCCCCGTTGCAATACTGGCCACGGATGCTGGGAATATGACCTTCGAGGATCTTCGAGACCTCTGTGAGAGTGTGGCGTGTAGAAACATATGAAGCTCCGTCAAAATTTGTTGTTCACAGTAAGTACGTCCGATTTTAGAGAGTCCCCAGTCGTTTTCCAGCGTTTGGTCTATGACAGAAAGGTCTCGTTTTTTTGAGAGTCCCCTATCATTTTCCATGGTTTCAAGCACCGGTTGAAACAAACTACTTGGCACCGGAATCATTTAGAACCAAAACTCATGACAAGCTTCGCCTGGAATTTCGGTACCTTGGAACCTGACAGAGGGGTCCTGAAAGACAATTTTCCTGTCGGAATGGCATGGTCCCCCCAGGCCCAGGAGCCTCTGCCTCCTACTCCGAATACTTACTTTTTCTAGGGCATAGTGGCAAAAAAGCTCGGTTTCCATGGTAAATACCTTCCGTTTTAGTGGAGGGTCGACATCATACCCCAAAAAAAGCAGGGTATTTTAGGCAACAATTCGACTACTGCAGAGGGGGTCACATCATAATCTTCAATTGCTTAAGTCCCCTGGAAAAAATTAAAATAATTCCAGTAGTGATAGATTCCTTTCAAAACCAACAGGGGAAAATATAAAATTTGCTTAACCAATTTCAATTTAAGCTACAAAAGCGGCCCGATGGCATGTGTCGATGTCGGGTTGTCTCGGCCCCTCGAGATCCTTTTGAATGTTCAAGCCCAAACGGAAAACAACCAACCATGTTGGGTGCCCAAAAGGAAAACAACCAGCCATGTTGGGTGCCTAAACATTTTCAGACCAACCCCTTGTTGTATTGCTCTAGAAATCGTAAATACATAGTGTATAAATCAAGCGCGTGTTTTCTATGGTTGAAACAAAAATCATCAGCTCCTGCAAAACAAAGTTGTTTTTTTCTATTTAAAACAAGAAAAATAAAACAAACAAACAAGAACCAAGCGATCGATTCGAGATATTTTGCTTCCAGGCATGCACTGGTAGGCTTTTCCTTCTAACGTTCTATTAAACAAATAACAAAGACAGAAACAAAACAAAAAAACATGGAAAAAGACACCAAAAAAAGACACACACCTAAGAAATACACACGCCAAAAGAATACACCATGCTCAGCTCCTTGGTGCTCTCGAGGTGGGCGGTGGCAATCACCACCGGCGGCGCCTTCGAAATTATTTTCTGCGTCGGCCTGGAGGTCCCCGGGGCCCCGAAAAAAAATTCGGGTGGGAAGGGCGTCTCATATGGTTTGTTGCTTGTTTGTTGAGTCGTGGCTTTCTGAAAGGGACACCAAAAAAAAAAACGTATCGTTTTTTGGAGTGGAGGTGAGTTTGTTATCTTTTTATTTGTTTCAAAAGAACGTACAGTTGCAATTCAACACTGTGGATGGACGGAATCCACTTCACACCAGTTGGGATGGCTGAAACCCGATTGGAAAACCTGCTGATAAACCATCAACCCCAACCCATGCGAAGTGCATTGTGTCCATCCCCAGTATCATGGACCCCGAAAACGGAGAACTATGGGGAGGGGGTATCCATCATGAACCTCTCAAGAAGGCCTCGTCACGGGCTTAGACTTTTCCTAGAGTATCCTGGGCTTATGCCATCGCCCATAGCCCCTCCCAAAAGTCCATGACAATACTACGTCTGAACACAAATTCAGAGCCTCGCGAAAAGAGCCATACTGTGGATGTGTGCGAAATCCAGGAATCGCACCATCTCAGAAACTCTGGAATGATTCAATTCCCCAACGCAATGACCAACAAACGGTGTGGTTTCATTCCCAAGGTTTCATTTCGCGGTGCGATTTCGGGATTTCGCAACCACGCACAGGGATAGAATTTGTTGGTCCTTGGCGAAGGGTCATAGTCGCTCTTCGCTTGCTCGCTCCCCGTATGGCTCGGAATCAAGTGATAAGTTGGGAACAGGTTGGAACTTTCCGAATGACAAGTCACGAAGTCCAAACTGTTTCCGGAAACGGTCCACTGAAGGGCGACTCGAGCGAGCCCAAAACAGCCAAAAAAGAGAGCCTAAGAAAGCGAAGGGACAGGCGGCGCGGTGCGCGGTGCTGGCCAACCGCCCTTTGGGGGGTCCCTATCTTTGGCTTGGAAAGCCAAATGAGTCAGAATCAAAACCCGGTATTCGAATGGTCGTAATCCCGGAACCCCGGGTTTTGTCCCCAATCCTCTGCCCAGGAGAACATCTCCCCCGAATATATATTACATATATATATATATATATTTAAAAAAAGAAGCTTCAAACCCAATCTAAAACCGTCAAACAAAGCGAGAATCCTAGATGATAGGGTTGGTAGCTTGGCAACAGCTTAGCCTGGCTGGCACTGGAGCCCAACCCCGGCCAGTTCCCCTATGAAGGCTTACTAAAGCTTACTAGGGCCTACCAAAACTTGAACCCTAAAGGGATGAGGGTTGCAGGGGAGCTTTCTGCCGTGGGCCACGTTTCAAGACTTCTTTTGTTGCAGGGCGTTTCAGCTTTTGTTAGAACCCTCCCACCAAATTACGTGGAACCTCACAGAAATTCCATGTGAAAAGGGTGGGAGGGTAGGCCCCACCCGAAAGAAGAAGAAAAAAAACGCCTCGACCTCTCCCGCGCCTCCGCATCCAATACCTTGGCGGCCACGGACAGCAGCTGCCGCCCCATCTGCGTCCCCGGAAACGCGGCCGTGCTCGGCGGCTCGAGCGCCCTGAGGCGCTGCTTGTCCTGCGACCGCAGAAAAGGGGCCCTTGAAGCGAAGAGGCGTTCATCAAACATCGGGGTGAATTTTGATATTTCACCCTTCTGAAACTTGCGGTGCTTGGGGGGCTATTCCCCACATCAACACCACCATTTGGGGTGAATTCGGTCGTGTGAGGTCAAGTTATAATTCACCCAGAAACATGAGGCTTTGGGGTTGCTAGGATCTGTGAACGGTCTTTGGAGAATGCCCAAAAAACATGGGTGGGGCTCAAAATTAAACGATCGGAGGGGTTACGCAGGTTTTAGTTTTGGTTCCATTTGCCAAGGTACATTTATTGGAGCCACAGCCATTTATTGCAGCCAAGATCTGGGTGTGGCTCAAAAGTTCCAAAAGGGAGGGGATACGCAGGGTTTGTGGTCCATGTTTCCACTTACCAGGGTTCGATTTTGGTGCCGGCTTTTTGAGCCACAGCCATCTGTGAACGGTCTTTGGAGAATCCCCTTTAACCTGACTTCAAGCAGTCATGCGGATTGTTAGGTGTTCGCGGGTCAAACTGAGGGTTTAGCTGGGGGTTAGAGGGATTTGACGAGGGTGTCACTGGTGTAACTGAGGCTTACGGTAAGGGTTCTCCCTTTTTGGTATTGCTGAAGGGTTGGTGTGGTTAGCAACCTTGCGCTTTCCAGCAGAACGAAGACTTTCCACCATGGCTTTGTGGGTTGGAACCCTGGTTCGGTTGCTGGCCACTTAGCGATTCATCCTGGATCTACGATATGATTCGCGAGCTCCGGTTCATAGAACTCAGTTGCTTCGCCCACTTGGCTGGGCTAAATGGTTGGTACTCCAAGGTGCACGGGTTGAAAGAGGGGGGGGCTGGGGCTGCACGGGAATTACTAAGGCTTTGAAAAAGAAAGAAAAAAAAAAAGAAAACGAAACGTTCAAGTTGCTCAAAGGTCATGAGAGTGGACTCCAAAAGCTCCCTTTGATCGGAGGGATTCACAAAGTCCCTACTGTGGGTGGACAAAATTCCGCACCGCTTGCAACAATGGGAAGCCATTGTTTGTTTGGTATCTTGCAGGGGAATCATCATTCCATGGTTTCTTAGGTGCTGCAGGATTTTGTCTATCCACAGTACCTCGAGCCCTTGTTCCTCCCTCCCTTTCCCTGCAGGGTCACCCCCATGAAACTAGCGCTGGAAACGTCCACTCCGCCGATTCCAAGTCGGAAAGCAGCTCAGGGAACAAGGCTCCCGGAATTCCTCAAACGTCCCAAGCGCTGCACTCCTGCGACTCCAAAGTTGATGTGTCAATCCATACTGGACGCAAACCTGCACCACCAAAGAAACCCTGGAAATACCAACAAACGTTAGGGTTTCAACCATGGTTTCAACGAGCTGCGAACGGATTCCGTCCATCCACATGCCGATCAATGTCGTGTGAAAGGGGATTCCCCAAAGGCCATTCTCAAACACTGGCAACCCAAAGCCTCATCAGCCGTTAAGACCCACGTGCCATGTTGGCAAATCATGTACGTCTCACCTGCATTCAAATGTGGCGTTCGGATTGGCCATTCGCAAACATTAGGCAAAAAATGGCACCCAACTTTCATGGCACACAAGCCTACCGCCCGTGTTGGGGGGTTCCCTCTATTTTGACGCCTCCTTTGAGCTGGCCAAGAATCTTTAGAATTGGCTTAGTGTTGGTTTAGTATTGCTTGCGCTGCTTTCGTACTGGCTTTGCCAAGTGCTAGTGTTGTATTTGCTTGTATGGGTGTAGTAGCGCTTTGGACTTTCGGCAAGGAAAACGCTTAAGCCAGCTCATCTTGTACCTCTTTGCCCCTGCTGCGGCGAACACAAACTGAGACTTGATTTCGCTATTCTATTCCCCTGTTTGGAGTTAGTTTCGCAGAGAAAGTCAAGAGACATAGTCGCCATTGTTGGGTTGCTCAAAACCTACTTGGAGCCTGGGTGTTTCTGGAAGAAGACAACAGGGGAAGCCAACACAACTAAGTGGTTCGGTACCCTCCCAAAACGTACCCTCAAAGACGAGACTCCCCTGCCTTAGAAAGCATTGCTAAATTGGCCATGGTAAACACATCGGGTTCTGGGATTCAAAAGACGCCCATTCTTCCCCAGCAAACCCCCTTGCGTGCCAAATGTCAACGCTGTCCGGGCGTGCTATGACCTCTGGCTTTGCTGACAAGTAGCCCGGTGGATTGCGTCGTTTGCTTCCCGCAGAAACCGGTATGGGTGTGTCTGAAAGCGAGCCTTAAAACTCACTTAATGGAGTTTCTCGACCCCCACAAAGCAAAAAAAAATGAAGCCCCTACATCGGAGGTACCCTTGAAAGAAAATGAAGAAGAAGAAGCATACCAACAAACAAACAAACAAACAAACAAACAAACAAACAAACAAACAAAACAAACAAACAAACAGAACAAACAAACAAAACAAAACAAGCAAACAAGCAAACAAGCAAGAAACGGAAACACAACACCCAAAAGAAGCCAAATATCTTTTGTGTTCGGGTCCAGCAGGATGGCCACGTAATAGGGCAGCGGCGGATCTTTGGGAACCACCACCTCATAGGTCCCGCCCAGAACCTGAAGCGAAGCTCCGGAAATTCAGCTGAAGGGAACTGGGTTTGAGAGGATAATGGCCACGGGTCAAAACCCAAATCGTACCCCCAGTGAACATCTGAATCCCCACTAAAATAGACTAAAATGAGTGAAAAATGGTACCATTGCACAGGAACCCCTAAATGGCTTGCCCTGGTAAATGGAACCCACTCAAACCTGCGGTCCATATCCTGGTTGAATTTGGACCCACACCAAGATTTCCACGGCCAGGATCAACCAACTGGGAAATGGGACTGGCTGGAGAGAGTTCTCAAGGGTCTGCCTTTAAGGAACTCGACCCCCAAGGAAAGCCATTCTTGGCGTCTCAACGTTTCTTGCTGCTTCGATAGGGCACTGGGTTGGGGTTACATGGAAAAAACACCCAAGGTTGAAAGGTGAGAATTGGTGGGGGGGTGTCTTACAGGGGACCCGATTTTTGAAAAAGACCAGTCCTCCTTGAGTTTCCTTTTACGACAGCCCCAAAAAAGGACGAACCCGTTTAATGACCCTTAACGTTTCACAGCCTATGGAAATGCCCTGAGGGAGGGGCTCAAAGGGGCCAAGTTCAGTCAAACAGATTTGCCCAACGGCTTGAAATGGTCGATCTACACACAGCTGAGCACGGAAGACGGTCTACATTTCAGATATATGTCATGATTCCCCAAGCTGGAACTTCCAAGACTTGAAGTTCAAGGAACCAAAGGGCCAACCTCGAAACTTGGGGTGAGGCTTGGCAGTTCGATCACTTCGCGTCCGAGACGAGGTTGCACTTGGCCCAATCCCAGAGACACCCCAGACATATTGGAGGAAACCCCAGCAATATCTCAAGGAGACGACCGGAAAACCCTTGGAGACAGACACGCTCTCATTGGACAGCTGATATCTGAGAACACCCCCCCGAAAGCCCGGAAAAGAAACAGAGAAACACGTAATAAAAGAAGAAGAAATAAAAAGATAATAAAAAGATGAGAGAAAAAAAGGAGAAAATAAGAAGAAAACGGGAAAAAAAGAAGGGAAAAAAGAAGGAAAAAAAGAACAGGTCCCCCCCTCGGGATGTTTACTGCGGGAGAGACGCCTTGGGAGAGGCCAGCAGCTCCAGCGCCGGCGGGATCACCTCGAGAGCGCCCGGAAGACGAGAGACCGAGATAGAGACATGTAATGTGTGTATATATATATATATATATGTATAGATATATGTTTGTGTATATAGGTGTGTATATATATATATATATATATGTATGTGTTTATGTATATGTACATATAAGAATGTGTATATATATATATATACATATATATATATATGTATGTATGAATGTAAATACTATATATATATCACTCTATATGTATATGAAATGATATATGTATGTATGTGTGTGTATAAATGAAAATAACATACAAAATTGTCGATGCATATACATATATATATATATATATGTGTGAATCTCTGTAAATGTATGTATGAATGTATGTTATATATATATATATGAATTTTAGATGTATGTATGTATGTAATGTACATAAGATACATATGTTTAGGTAAGTATATATATATATATGTACAAGAATATGTGTATATGTATGTATTTATGTATGAATGTATATTATATATATATATATGAATTTGTACATATATATATATATGAATCTATATATACGTATGTATGAATGTACATAATATATAGACATATGTCTATATATATATATATGAATTTAGATGTATATATATATATATATATGTATGAATGTAAATTATCTATAAAATCAAATATATGTATATGTATATATAATATATTTATGTATGTGTGAATTAAATTATGTGTATATATATGTTCATACATAAATATAGATATATATATATATATATTTGAATTTCTCTCTATATATATATATGTGTGGGTATGTATCATTGTACATCATGTGTATATATATATATATGAATGTATATATATATATGAATGTATGTTTGTATGTATGAATCTAAATACTACATGTATATGTTTTGTATATATATATGTATAGATGTATGTATGTATGAATGTAAATTAAGTATATATTGTGAATTTATATATGAATATGTATATACATATAAACATATGAACTTATATATATGTATGCATGTGTGTATGAATATAGATCATATAAAAATATGCATATTTACATATATATATATATATGTGAATTTAGATATATAGATATATAGATATATATATATATATATATATATAGGTATGTATGTATGTATGAATGTAGTTTATATATATGTACATGAACTTATACATATGTGTGTAGGTATGTATGAATGAATGTATTATAATTTATGAAATTATATATGTGAATATATATAGACATATATACGTATGTATGAATGTAGAATATATATATATATATATACATATATGAACTTATACATGTGTATATATATAGGAATTTAAAAACATATGTAGGTATAAATGCAAATTGTATATATATATATACACATAGATTTGTATACATATATATATATATGTGTATGTATGTGTGAATGTATATTATATATATATATATATATGAATTTATATATATATGAATGCAAAGAATATATATATGAAAAATTAAATATATATATATATATAGATATGAATGTATCTTCATGTATTTATGTATGCATTTATGTATGTAATTATGTATGTATTTATGTATGTGCTTAAGAATGTGTTTATGTATGTGTTTATGTATGTGTTTATGTATGCATTTATGTATGTATTCACGTACTCATTTGTTTATTCAACTATTTTCTGATTTAGGAAAATATAGAGACAGGCATGTATCTATACTGTGGACACCAGTTGAGATGTGTGGTCAATCCCACTATTGCAGGGCTGCATCTATCTAACCGGTGCTGATCGCCGGTTGCTTTGTCCATCCGCTGTCCGTTCCTATCTTGAGTTCCTGACAGGCCGGCCCCGAACCAGATTATGAATAGATATATATATATATACGCGTATAGAACCATGGTGGTTTCATTTTTATGTATTTAGATATATATATATATATATATATATTTACACGTGTGTGAAACCCCGCTCGCCTCCTGCAGCAGAACTGCCGCAGGGCGCTGGATCGCCACCTCCTGAGGAATCTGCGGCCAAGAACGAGCGCCGAAATCAGAAACCCAACTTGGGATGAATCGATTCCACAGGAAGTACCAAGCAATGGGTTCAATTCTTCTTGGCTTGTTGGCTTCAAATGCAAGATCGCTATCATTTAGGAAATGTTGATCAATTCTGGTTTTAGAACCCTTCTTGGGTTGTCGGTCGTCATAACATATCGCTATCATGTAGGAAACATTGATCAACTCTGGCTCAAAGGGAATCCAAAAGGAAACCCGACATAGATGTGTTATTTTGGAGCTCGTCTTGGGTTGTTGGTAATCATATAATACTCTGAATAACAAAAACGAAAAACTCCTCAAGAGTGAAACGACCAGATAAGCAGTTGGTTGTCCTCTTAGTCTACCTTTAAAAGTAAAGACACATCCCAAAAAGGTGCCAAAAACTGACACGCGCAAAACCCCGCAATGCGCGAAAACAATCCTTCAAAACAGTGGGTTCAATTATTTTTGGGTTGTTGGTTTTCATAAAGCACTAACGTATTTTTTTAAAAAATGTGGCTTAAAGGGAGTCCCAAAAGGAAAACCTTTTCTTTGGGGGGGATCACTTGCAACGAGACCGACCTGACCCCGACTCCCGGGGTTTGAATTCGGACCTCGCCCCAAAAAATTTGACCAGAGAAATGCAGAATTTGCACCGAGACCGATGCTCAGCTGGGGAGACCAGGAAAATATGTTTTCCACCTTTTGCGAGAAAATGGGCGACCCCCAAAAAAAAAGCGAATCCTTCGCAAGGGCGGGGGGATCACTTTGGTCGCAGTTTTTGGATCACTTTGGTCGCAGCTAAAATCCACTCACTTTGGTCGTAGTTTGAGCATTTGCGGATCACTTCTGTCGCATTTTTTGGATCACTTCAGGCGCAGTGGAAGATAGCTTTTTGAGCACTAACAACAGGACACACGCAAAGGGTGTTGCCTCTCAAACACCGACAAGGATGTTGCCTCTCAAACACCTAACAACAAGACATGCCGGGCGGGGTGGGGTCGACAAGGATGTTGCCTCTCAAACACCTAACAACAAGACATGCCGGGCGGGGTGGGGTCGACAAGGATGTTGCCTCTCAAACACCTAACAACAAGACATGCCGGGCGGGGTGGGGTCGACAAGGATGTTGCCTCTCAAACACCTAACAACAAGACATGCCGGGCGGGGTGGGGTCGACAAGGATGTTGCCTCTCAAACACCTAACAACAAGACATGCCGGGCGGGGTGGGGTCGACAAGGATGTTGCCTCTCAAACACCTAACAACAAGACATGCCGGGCGGGGTGGGGTCGACAAGGATGTTGCCTCTCAAACACCTAACAACAAGACATGCCGGGCGGGGTGGGGTCGACAAGGATGTTGCCTCTCAAACACCTAACAACAAGACATGCCGGGCGGGGTGGGGTCGACAAGGATGTTGCCTCTCAAACACCTAACAACAAGACATGCCGGGCGGGGTGGGGTCGACAAGGATGTTGCCTCTCAAACACCTAACAACAAGACATGCCGGGTGGGGTGGGGTCGACAAGGATGTTGCCTCTCAAATACCATAGTCAACGGCGAAGAAACTAGGACCGAAGCGAGTAAGGAAACTAGGACCGAAGCGAGATGAAAACTAGGACCGAAGCGAGCCAGCAACTAGGACCGAAGCGAACCCGCGACCCTTCGCAAGGGGGTCGAACCATTTTCCACAGGCAAAAAGACCCCCCTCAAAACGGGGTGACGATCTGACGAAAACCAAACAAAGATCTGCTTCCCTCCTTGGGCATTGAACCCTGTTGTTTAGGGCTTGGTGGCCATGGACTTTTCATATGCTGTCCAAAGGAGGTTTTGTTTTTATGGAAGACCCGTGAAAAAAACTCCCGCTGCAAGCGTGAACCCCACTTTTTTCCTTTCGGACACCCACTTTGGGGGTGTCCTTTGTTTGAGAACACCCCCAAACAAAGTGGCTTCGGTCTTCCTTTTTGGGCTTTCCTCAAAACGGAATGCCAACTCAAAAGAGACACCACCCACCCAAAGCCGAGCCGCCCGTAAACGGGCGGCTCACCTCACTTGAGTCACAATCAAAACCCGGTATTCAACTGCTCGAAATCCCAGAATCATGCTTCAAGTTTTTTTTGGCGGATTTCCGCAACTAATTCTTGTTTCGACTTTCCCTTTCTTGCCTTCGTCTCGGGTTTTGATTATGGATCACTTGGTCGACGAAGCCCCGGGCACTTGGGACGAATTTCTGTCCTTGGCCACTGCCAAGCAGCGCTGCATGAGCGCTTGGGCGCCCCCCACCTCGTCCAGGCCGTCGATGTTCCAGGACAACACGCGGAACTCCTGAGACTGTGTCCCAACGTTGTGAATGCATCTTGTTAATCGACCTGATATTGTTGTGTTTTACGGCCGAATAGGGGGGGGGGGGGGGGGCGGGGGTGACCAAAAAAAGGCCATACAGGGTGTTGATTCCTGGTCCACTCTTTTCAAGCATCCTTCTTTTTGAAAACCGGATCCCTTTTTCTTGGGTGTCCGCAGATTTTCTGGAAAGCATGGGGAAGGTAGCACTAGAAAACCTTCAAATAAACGGTTGGTTGTCCTCTTTGTCTCCCTTTAAAGTAAAAGCACATCCCAAAAAGGTGCCAAAAAACAGACACTCCCAAAACCCCGCACTGCGCGAAAACAATGGCGGCTTCATCTGGTTCCAACACCAAAATAAAGTGCCCTCAACAACACGACCCTCCCGTGGACCTTTAAGGGTGCTTTTTTAGCAACAAGTTTCCGAAAGGGGTATCTACCCACCATTTGCCATTGGGTTGCGGGAGATTGGACCCCAACTTGGCCCACGGAGGGATACTCAGCTTACTCCCACCACATCTTGTCCCTATCATGTATCGAACAAGAGTGAATCTGGGTACCTCCATTGAGAAAGGGACGCCGGACGCCCTCTTTTCCTTCCATGCTTTCTGAGTGGCTTGTATCCCCCAGTTTGTTTCTGGGATATCCTTGTTCCTCTCAGAAGTGTCCAGACACACCAGCAACCCCGAGGGAACACGCGGCAAACCTTGTTTTTTTGGGAGTGGTTTGGATTGAGAATCTCTGCCTCTGACTCTGAGATCATAGAAAGCAACCTAAGCCCGACCGGAAATCCATCCAAAGTGCAGCTTCAGAATGATCGTCAAGCAACCAGAAACCAATCCAACACATGGAATCCAGCCCAACTTCCTTGCTTGCGTTCTGTCCGAATCAGAAACCGCATGACTAGGGGTCGCCTATTCACAGACCTTCGCGGCCCCACTTTTAGTGGTCCCAGAACAGGGAACTCATGAGGATCCAACAGTAAGGTCGGCTAAGCTGCTTGGTTGGGACATCACCCTACCCTACAAACTCATCAACCAATCCAACCCAATCGGACCAACCCCAATCCGGCATTCCAACCCAACCTAACCCAGGTGGGAAATTGAGTGTAATCCACGGTTCTGGCAACTTTGGGTGGGCCCACAAGGGGGAACTACAGTAAGGTCAGTTAGACTGAACAAGTGCCATATCGTGATTTGCATCCGTCATACCCATATTAATCAACCCCATTTCATTAATAGGAGGGTGCTTCTTTCTGAGTTTAGTGGGTCAACCATTGGTGTCCTTCTAGGGCAAATAGATGGCAACCACCCGGTCAACCAGAAATCGCCCTCTATGAACACAACCAACAAGGACCTACGGGGTCTGATTCGAACCATTACGCCGGGAAGCACCCCCCTGCTAAGAAACTGGGTTCATGAAAGTCTGGGGTCAAGTCGATGTTTCTTTCTTTTTGGTTGATCCCCTCAAAATCTCTCAACATTCCCTTGAACCCACCCTGGCAAATGTGTACTTGAGTTCACTGGGTCAACATGTTTAGTGGGTCAACATTAACCCACGAAGAACCCTTGCCTGATCTGTTGGAACGGCTGCGGGTCCGGAATGAAGGCCGTAAAAGTGACCGAAAACGCAGCAACGAAGGCGAAGAACCCAACACCGACCCAAATCGCTTCCGGCTCCTTGGGCGCGGGCTGACGCAGCAGCGCTTGGATCTCCTCCGTGCGCTCCTTCGGGATGACCACCACGTCAGGGCTCGGCTTCGCGCGCTTCGGCGGCGGCTCCTGGCCAGAAAAAGGCGACTACAAATAGGACATAGACAAAATATGTTTTTATATGTATATATATATATATATACATATGTGTATATATATATATACATACATACATGCAGTCTTCCTTGGCCCCCCCCACCCCCCCACCCCACACCCAATGGTCATGCTCAGTCAAGAAGGTAGCACAGGGTGGGGGGGTCAATGTGGGTTGGGGAGAATGGTAGCACAGTGTGAGCGCAAGCTCCCCCGCCCCGTGTGGGATGGATGGGGGTTGGGGTCTACAGAAGGCAGCACAGTGTGACCATGGTTCCCACACCGCCCGCCCCCCTGTGAGAATGGTGGTTGGGGTCTAGCAAACTGCGTTTGCCACTCGCGCGTGGCAGCGCACTTGGTTAGCGCTTGGTTGCGGCGCTGCAAACCACAAACTGCGTCATGGCATCGCGCACTGTCACTTGCGACAGCGCTGCAACTTGTCGCGTGCTGCGAAATGAGCAAATCGCACTGCAGCGCAACACACGAACGGCGCCGCAAACGCGCCCGCAACGTCGCGCACACTGGAGCAAGCCGCCCCACAAGCCCCCACCCCCCTGTGCGATGGGTCCATGGTCCCCCCCCCGGTTCTGGATGGACCCATGCCATTGGGGGGGGTGGGCTGGGGACGACGGGCGACGGGAACATATATACACATAGAAGCAGAAGAGGAAGGAAGGAAGGAAGGAAGGAAGGAAGGAAGGAAGGAAGGAAGGAAGGAAGGAAGGAAGGAAGGAAGGAAGGAAGGAAGGAAGGAAGGAAGGAAAGAAGGAAGGAAGAGGCGACGGAGGGGAGGAGGGGAGGAGGGAGAAAGAAAGACAAAGAAAGGGAAATAACAGAAATGAAAACAAACAAGAAAGAACAGAACTTTAGTGATGATAACCCGCTGTGGAGGTTTCTCCAAATAGAGTCTTGTTGTAATGAATCCCATTTGATTTCCTTTTGGTTTTCCTTTACCTACCAAAAGGCTTTTGGTCGATTCAACATTTGCCTGTGGAACTCTCATGTCTGTTCACTCGACCGATTCAACCGACTCAAAGCACCTCACAAGACAGGGTTCCCTATGCTATAATACTTCCCCTCTGACATCACCCCACCAAAAGGCTGTTCAGCTCAATTTGGCAACTCACTTCAGCTTGGCACAACCAAATACTGCTGAACAAAATCCAGTTGCCAAAAAGAAAGAATCCCGGCTTTCCATGCTGGTTGAACCACCTACTGCGTTTCACCATCCATCGTCTGGTTGGACCCCCAACGTCGCCCAACCTGGGTTGCTGTTGACCCCCTCGACCAAAAGTGCGACTTGTTGTGGGTCCAATTCGGACAATCCGCAAAGTGTCCCTCCCGAAAAGCTGTTCAGTGCAAAGATCAAACCGAAAAAGCCATATGATCTTCACCCCATATTCATCAACCAAAGTTTGTGAATAGGGGGGGTGCTTCTCCCTGGGTTTAGTGACTAAGAGGTGGGAATCAGGCCACTTTTGGAGAAGCCAAGAACCGCCCCCCTATTAATAAACTGATCCTGATGAAAATCTGGGGACGCCACGTCCGACGAACCGATCACTCCGGGGGCGCATCCGCCAGCAGCGAGCCGATGGACTGCTGCAGCCTCTCCGGCGGCAGATGCGCCAGGAACTCCGGCAGCGCGGAGTCGGCCACAGCCGCTTTCGAAGGCTTCGGGGCATTGGCCTTCGGCCAAGGGTCCCCATCCCAAACCCTCTGGGTGTGTCTTGTTCCGCTATCCCAGATACGGTAGCCTAGAGGCAAATTGAGCACTGCTGCGTTGTCAAAAAATGGGAATACCCAAAATCGCTGGCCCTGGTAAATGGAAAAACATGGACGAGTTCACCGGTCCAAATTCCTGGTTCAATTTTCACCCATATCTAAAAATGTCCGGAGCCGTGCGTTGGGGCTGTGTCTTGTTCCGAGGGGCATTTCGTTTTGGGGGCATTCGGTTGAGACCAAGAAGCCCAAAGAAGAACCACCATTCGGTCAAAAGCCCGTCCGGGTTTGTGGGGTGTCAAGCTGTTCGCGTTTCTGGTCGCTGCCTTTTTTTTTCTTTTTCTTTCGCGGCAGGACTTGTTCATGCCAATACTTGGCTCTGTCTTTGGGACTTCCATGGTTTACCTTTGGTCTCCTAAACCCACAAAAGTACCCGCGAAAAATGGGCCGAATTCCTCGCAGCCCCCAAAAACGCGGAGTCAACTGGCTCCGTCACTTTGTGACATGCTCAAAATGACCCTCAAAGTAATTCTCAGCGCCTCTCGAAATGCTGACTTTCAGGGACCCAGGCATAGGTTGCCAAAAAAATACTTCAATGAGGGTCCGGGGGGAAAGAGGCCCTCGTGAAATATGTGTAAGTTGGAAAAATCGAGCATGATGTGTGAGTTATACAATTTGTTTGATATCAAGCCATTACTTGCAGTGGCAGTTCACCTTAAAATGTTACCTGCCTCTCATCTTGGTCCCACTTACTTCTCCCAAAAATGCCATATCCCAAAGCCCTTAGTTGTACATACGTTATACATGGGTACTAGGGTCATACCCATACTCCGAAACCTGTTCTTTATTCGCGCGGCTTGAACTTGCAGGGCTGCAGCCTAGCTAACCCGTCTGCTCAAATCACTGCCAGCTTGTTGCACCGATTCTTAGCCTCCCTTCCTTCCAGGAGGGACCCCCCTGATTCACCAGGAGGTTGATCAATAAAAAATCAACATTAAGGCGTGGCTCAAAATTGAAGGGCTAGGCTTGGTTACGCAGCTTTTAGTCTTTCCATTTTCCAAGTTGACATTTTGGGCTCCACCTATTTGAGCCGCCGCCAAATTATTCGGTGGAGAACTGAGCCACGTCCTCAAAACCGAATCGGGTAGATGATCCGGTTAGGGGCAGTCCCAGCCAGAAATAGTTGCGGAGTTTTCCGTGACGACCATTTTAATACAGATCGGTTTTGGTGCATGTGACTCAACTGGTTGTCCGACAAGTCAACAACGAAGCGGCCGCTTCTTTCGCCTGGAGGAACTTCTCCCTGGCCGCTTGGCGTATCGCTCGCAGCTGGGGATCCATACCTCTTCAGCGGCTTGTTCTGTGCAAAGCGATCGACCTGCATTTTCTGGTGGTCCTTCTCTTGCTTGTTGATCTGCGAGATTTGATTCTTTGTTGGCATTCGAGGTCATTGTTTGAGTCTCTCTCTGAGCTGGCTACGAATCTGAATAGGGAACCCTTCAACAGTGGTGGACATAAACCCCAACCTACATGATGTCCACCAATGGGTTCCCCCCCAAAAACAAAAGCCCTCTGAAGGGTGTGTATTTATATATATATATATATAAACCCCAGTGTCGTTGAGCCTGGGTGTCCTCTCAAAATCAGACAGAGCATGTGAATTCTTTGCTGTGTCGCGGCGCGGCTCTCTCGAGAGCGGATCTGCGGATCTGGCAACCCAAGTTTCTGGGGGCAGCCCAAAAACATTTGTTTTTCAGCACAAACCTTGCCAGGGTCAGAACCGAAAGCCTCCCAACCGTTCCAACGCCACACAACCATAACCCAATCAAATCATTCAGGAGCTCCTCCTTCTTGCTCACATCCGTCGCAAGAAGAAACGCCCTTCAGTTTTGGAACCAGACTCAGTGCAGTCTGCTGGTTCCAAGTTTGTTTTGCTTCCCGATTCCCTCGGTAATTTGGGAGGGAACTCCTCCTTACTATCGTTTCAGAAGGCACCTTGGGCAAAGTCCGAAAAGGAAGCGGCCAACATACTCAACCCCCAAACTGATTCGTCAGCCGCGCTGGCAACCCGAAGCATGAGTCGTATTTAGCAGGGGGCGGTTCCGTCTGCCCTGGAGGCACGCGGCAACAACTCAAGTTGCAGGCAGCGGTCTGCGATGCGTGTTTTTTACATAGGGCTGTGAAGCCAGATCCGCCAAACATAGGGCTTAGGGTTCCTCAAAGCACTTGGCTAGTTGCCGGTGCATCCAAAGGTCATCCTCTCTTCCCAATGCGGCTGAAGCCACAGAGGGCCATAGACGGTCACAAGTCGACGAGCAAGAACTAAAACTTGCGGGTTTGTGTGGTTTCATTTTGACCCATACCGACATGGAACCCTGCTTGCTTTGCCGTCACCTATCAGAGCAAGCGTTTCTTCGTTTGAATAGGACTCCACATTCTGCACCAATCTTTGTCAACTTTCAATCAAACATCCTAGGACTAAATTGTCCCACCATCATGACTTAAGTAAACGACAAAGATAGACGAACTTGCTGACCCAGGTGTCGCTCAATAATATGCTGCGCTAGTTGAATGTTGTTTGTCTTGTAACCACTCGCACCAGCGACACTGTTCAGCCAATTTCGTGAACGCTACCCCAAGAAAAACGTGACTTCTTTTAGAACAAATAATGTCTTGCGCAAAGCCAGTCACTGAGGCGCACGCCACCCCGACTCACAAACTCGTGGCGCATTTTTGGAGCTGGAGGAAGGTGACCGTTTTGCGATCCGAGTGCCTCCAAAAGACGCAAATAAGGCGGCCAGAATGGGCCAACGTACCTCAGAAGCTTGGACGCGGGGAATAGAGGAATCTTCTTGTAAAGAACCTGAGTTTGTCACATGTTGTCCCAGGGTGGGACTTAAAAGTGGCACGCGCACTTTGAACATCGCACATTACTCCTGTCTCGGGTAAACAACGCGGATGCAGCTTGAACATTTGCCGGTGGGTCGATGCATAATATTAAACAGAATAAACTAGCAAACACTCCAACATAACCTTAGACAGACGTGAAACAACCAGCATCTTATAGCCTATTTGGAAGACGATGAGCGAATCACTCTATAAACCGCCTTGAAGTAGTTAGGAATGCCATTGGTGATTTACGGCTACAGTTGCTCTTTCTGCTGTGGTTCCTGGCAGTTCTGTTCATCGCAGTGCTCCGCTGAAGCCAGCCAGAAAACAAACACCGACAACGTCCGGCAGAGCCGACGGGCAGACTTGTTCCAAGAGCACGCTTTTGCCCCTTCTCTCCCTCGTTTTTTGTTCTTCACTTTCTCTTTGTCCCTTGCAAACCTTTAAAAGGTGCCCTTAGACAAACAGGCACCGAAAAGCGGGACGGGATGGGGGTTTGGGCGAAAAGCCTGGGTCTCTGAGCCTGAGAGGCGCTTAGCCAGCTTGAATTCCAAGTGAACGATGCTTACGGAGCCTTTTGCGAAGCTACGCCTCCAGCAAAAAGAAGAGAGAAGTAAAGGTTAGAATCTTGATCACTGCTTCAATCCGAAAGGGAACATGCGGCAAAAGATAAAAGAGTACGACCGACAAACATGTGCGCATGTTTTTTTCTTTATAAGGCGTTGCTTGGAAGTTAAGGCTCGGGGGCGCAGGGGGAAAGACAGCGCGTGTCCTTTCCCCTTGTCTGCACCCCTCTGCGGAGCCTTCTCAACGTGTTCGACCAGGCGCCAGGTGTGTTACCTGGGAGGGGTGAAACAATCGAAGGCATTGGAGTATCCGGCTGGCGTGCCATGCGGCACACGGCGCCTGTCGAAACAGTCATGTGGCGGCAGGACGCAATGCGTGCATCCGGCTGGTGTGCAATGCGGCACACGGTGCCAGGTCGAAACCTGTCGAAACAGTCACGGCAGCCACGCATGCTTACAGCATTGATCCTGCGTACCAGGACAACCGCCGCACTCTGCCTTACGACTCCACGCATCCGGGCAATCCCAGCACACGGCCCACGCCCTTGCCCGAAGTGCCGCGGCGCCAGCAACGGGCAACTTTTGTTTCGCAGCTGGAGGCATGCATTCGCATCCCATCAGTCCGCTTGCCCCGCGCTATGAGGCATTTGCAAAACAACGGCAGGCATTTCCGCATGCGCTTCTATGACGATAACCAGCGGGCCAGCTGCGCATTGCCTTGTGCCAATCCGCAATGCCCGTACGCAGCCGTCTGTGGACAGTACGTGGACGGGGCCAACGACACGCATGACCGCCACCGGTGCAGTGGCTGCGCCGCCGATGCCCGTGACAGAGCATTTTAACCTGCTTTGCCAGCTTTGCATCCGCATTCCCAGGCATTTGTTTGCCTGGGCTGCGCAGCATTGCGTTACGCGTCCGCACACGCATGACAGCAGAAAAAATCGAGCTCAGTGGCCTGACATGTACCAGGTACAATGCCGGGCACCTGCACTTCACTTGCCGTTGCCTTCAGTGCTGCACCGCTTGGCCCTGACCTTATTTTGCAGCGACGCACACGTTGCCCTGCCCAAACAAGTTTTGCATCAAAAAGGTAGAGGGAGTCTGGATGAGGGCAGCGCATGATTTTGTGTTGTTCGTTGGCTGAGTGAGCTGTTTGTTGCCCACGCCAGCACGTCCGTGCTTGCGGCCATGACCCTTTTTTTAAAGTCGTCTACAACGTCCGCAGCCACACCCATAACCCAAGCACACATGCCATGGCGTGGGGTTCAGCTTGGTCCGCCAAAAAACCCCGCAAGGAAGATGGGAACGCACACGCCAAACATGCCTCAGTTTCTGCAGACCACCCCGTGTTTCAGCCTACGGCCAAGCCGACGCCCGCACGGGCGCCTAGGCTGGTGCCCACCCATAGCATTGCCAGCTTGCGCTCGCATTCGCATGCACGCCAGCAACGCAACCTCTCGCTGCACCTGCGTCCAGCTCTCAGCCCCCCCAACGTTAGACACAGGGGCGAGAACCAGCGTGCAGATGTTGCAGCAAGAACTTTGGCCAAGGAATTGCAGCATACCGCGCCTCGCAAGAAGCGCGCCTGCACTGACTCGGGGGCCTTGCAGTACCACGCCGGGCAGCACTTTTTCCGTGGCCCGCACAGGATGCATGTCCTTTGCAGCCACCGCCGCGTAGGCCGCCACCTCACAGCCTGGCACCCGAACTAGCGCCAGCCACTCTTGCAGAAGCCGCACCGTCTCAAGCGACCGCGCACCCGCCAAAGTTTAGCATGCCTGGCGCTCCAGTCAAAACATCCGCTCCGCGCGCTAACATCACCACTGTTGAAACCCAAGCCGTTTCTCAGCATTCTCAATGGATGAAGTGCATTAACGACTGGAAAAAATATCTTCTGGAGCAGGTTGGCGCCTGCTCTTCCATGTGTGTGACAGCGATCGCATCCCAGTCGCTTGAAGCTGCTTACGAAGCTTCGCTGAGAGACTTTACTCCATCCACGCTGGCCCAGTACTTCCGCTGCGTACGAGTGTTCCTAGCTTTTGCACGCGCCATAGACGCCTCAGCGGGAGACCTCCAACTTGTGCATATTGTAGACCTGATGCATGCCTGCGATACCTCAAAAACCAAGGACCGCACCAGTGTTCTCTCCTAAGCCTATGCTCAAGGCACTTTCGTGGCTGGCCCGCATAGGCCAGATCCACTCTCTCATAGCGCCGCTTGCCAATCCGTTGGTTACGACATCTCAGCAGAACGCACGCTCAGCCTACGCATTGCCTTAGGCTCCTTCCTCTTAGCAGCACACACCAGCATGCATTTTGGGGACATTCAGCGCATCCGAGTGCAAGACATCAGCCTTACTCAGTGCCCAGCGCGGCTCATGCTGGGCAACCAAAACCACTGGGCATGTAGGGTTAACTGGCCGTGATGAAAAATCTTCTTGGGTGCTCTTCTGGCTTTGCAGTTTGAGCATTTTGGTTACTCACAGTGCGGCATCGTCAGCCTGATTACCCTAGCTCCGCCGTGCAAGGAGCGTAAGCGGTACACAAGTAGTAAGGAACATAGGCTTATAGCACCCTAATTATTTGCGTTTTTTACCCGCCAAAACATCTAAATTTTGAACCGGCTGCTCGTCGCTCCCTTTTGGGCCGAAAAAGTGCTCAAAACGGCAAGCTTCCCGAATTCCCGAAAAGCTCGTTTTTCCTGTCAGACGGCAAGTGAGGTGCCTCAGCCTGAGGGGCAGGGCAGACAGCCAGCCCGAGTGGCAGTCGATGATTGTGAGTACGTAGCGATCTCCCGCAGCGGTGGGTTCCCCCGAAACCAGAGGTCGGCCATGAAGAGCGAGAGTGGTTGGGCTGGTTTCACATGCCCAAGTCCACCGCCAGTGCGACCGGAGGGAGGCTTCACCGCTGC